TATTAGCGAAATAATCATTTATTAGCTCTGGATCTTTAAGTGATTCGTCGATTGTCTTGGTGTTCTTTGAGTGCACCTGATTGGTGTGCAGTAAGTGCCACAATTTTGAGGGATTATTGACGTTACTATTTATCTCTGCCTCAAAAAAAGCTTTCTTTTCGTTACGTATTGCCAAAGTGACATAGTTTCTGATATCGGTTGAAAACTTTTGGTAAGCTTTTTGCTTTAATTTGATCATCTCTTTGATCGTAGGGGTAATGTATGGACGTGATTTTCGAGTAACAGTGAAATCCTTCACTGGGGCATGCGCATTGAACAAAGAGATTATTAATTCATTAATTCATTTATTAAATAAATAAAATTAAAAATAAATTTATTAAAACTAGACTAAATTTGCTATAAATTAATAAATCTCCGAAATATATAAATTATACTTAATTTTTTTTAATGGGTTTATGAGAAAGGCTTGTATTATAAAGGCAAAATTTTGTTATAAAGACCAAAATTAACTTCCTTATTTTCTTATTGGTTTAAAAAAATATATAAGTATTTCAACTCTCTTATTTTAATTATAACTATAGTAAACCACGTTTCCCCCCCACAAAGTAGCCTAATATTATAGCGAACGCAGCGTGGAAACTGGCAATATAATGCGGATCTCTAGCGGGGCATAGCTCAAGAAAGTGAAAATGTTTCGTGTGCTCATTACTTCCGCCTGTATACGTAAGTATTACAAAAACTTCCCTTTCATTACCAACAAACATCATTCATGAAAGGAAATTTATATCGGTTACAGTGTTTGTAATTGTCGTAGCGATTATCATCGCGAATACCATCTCTACGGATCGAGTAACCATCGGTTCTGCTGATAAATTAGAAAGCAATTTAAATCCGAATTCGAAAGGGAACTCGACAATACGCGAAGATCTCGAGGCAGTAAATATTACAAATCAAACGGTTGTGTTGAACTCGGCGAAAGAAGCTGATTCGGTTATCGTAGCCTCAAACATAGCAAAGGAAGTAAAAGTTTTGCAAGATGCCGCTTTTGGTGATGGAAAAGACCAGACAGCGTTAGACAAGAACGTTTCCGTAAGTGAAATTACAATTTATCGGTCGCACTCTTCTCGTTATGTAAATGCAAATTCTTATAAAACAATTATCACCGGTTCATTTAATTTCCAGGCCATCATCACATCTAAAGAAAAACAAATAGTACAGTTACAAACCGACATAAAAGAAGCAGAAATAGACCTTAAAGGAAAAATGGATCGCTTAAAACAGCTTGAACACCGCGCATTAACCGCCAAAAATCTTTCAGATGAAACTCAAAAACAATTTGATATGTTAATTAACGCTATGAATGTACTCCAAAACTCCATTATCCAAACTAGTAAGTCAGCTAACGAAGCTTTTTGGCAAGCCCAACTTCAAACCGCTAAATACAACGATGCCAAAAGAAGACATTCAAAATTAAGTGCAGAATTAGAAGATAGCAAGAGTGAATATAGCAAAATGAAGGTTGCTGTTGATCAAGCTATGAAAGCCGCTAAAATTGCCATGGGAAATGTTCAAGTACCTAATTTTAACATTAATAAAGAATAAATATGTTTATAAATCGATTTTTTTCTTTGTTCTTTTTCTATCTCTTTCAATATATTTTAAAGGCAAAAGTTGTGTTTTAAATTAATTAATAAAAAATAAATAAAAATTTCACCAAAACAAACATTTATTAATCCATAATTAATTAATATCATACAACAACAATACACCATGACTTATAAATGTACTTAATTATATTTATATCCCATTTTTATTTTTTAATAATGTCCATCAGATCCAGAATACGCATAATTTCCTCCATCATTTCCGTGATGTTGATTAGCTTCCTGTTCGGCTTCGTTGGCTGCTTGAGCAGCGTTAGATTGTGCAATATGTGCTGCTGAAGCAGCTTTTTGTGCAGCTTCTTCGGTGGCTTGTAAATCACCTTGTGCGCTATGAAGTTGATCTTCGAGTAAAGAAAGTTTTTGTTTGGCTGCACCTAACATAGACGATTGCGAAGCTAATTCTGCCCCGGCTTCTTCGGCAGCTTGGCCGGCGTGAACTGCAGTTGATTGTGCAGAGTTTAAAGCGGCGTTTAATGCGTGAATTTGTTGTTGGGCTTGTTGGGCTGCTTGTTGAGATGCAGCCGCTGCTCTTTGAGCTTGTTGGAGTTGGTGGGCTTCGGCTTCTAATGATTGGTGGGCTTCTTGGACTTGTTGCATGAGTCTTTGGACAAGGATTTGTTTGCCTACTAGCGCTGCTTGAGCCGTTGCAGCTGCCTAAAACAATTTGGACCATAATTATAGTATTTTTATCCAAATTTGTTTTTTAATTAAAAAAATTAATTACTTACTCCTGCTGCAGCTTGTGCTAAAGAACTTTTTGCTACAAATGCTGCTTGTCTTGCTGCAGCGTGTTGGTTAGCAACTGCGTTGTGTGCTTGTTCAGCCGAACCTTGAGCTATATTTCTTAAACCACTCCCAGCACTAAATCCTTCTTTATCTCCACCGCTTCCAGAAGTACCAGAAGTCCCCGAAGTTCCAGAGTCGTGATAAGCAATCACAGCTCCGTATCCACTACTTTGATGTACATTCTCAGTTTCACCCGGCTTTGAGGAAGCCAAAGTTATCGTAATGGTTAAAATCAAAATGGTTAAATGGTTCATTTTATCTCGATTCTAAGATCGGCTCCGTTCAACTAAAGGTTTATTTTGATAGACCTGGAATATATACCGTCTTGTTTCTAAATGTGGTTGGTGTGGCAACGAAAGTAATTAACGCATTGACAATTGAGTGACAATAAATGCGAATAAATCGAAATTCGCGGTAAATTAACTGTTTTATTAAAGAATTAATTTGTTTAATAAGATTGGGAAGTGAAATAAAATCTTTGTGTATTTTTTTTTCTCATTCAGGAAGGTTTTTGTTATCTAACGAAGTGAAACAAGGTTTAGAATAACTTTATGATTAGAAATGTGTTTAGGAATTTAGCATTAAGTTTTTATTTAATAATAATTTCATATTAATTAAATTTTTTTAAATAATAAATGTACGCCATCTATTTGTTAATTACTTAATCTCTTTTTTAAACAATAGATGTCACTCCATGAAATATTAATAATGTTAAATCAATAAAAAACAAAAATACAATTTAACTCATTTTATTAAAATCATTTTAATTACATAAAATACATTTTTTAATGAACATAAGTATCAAAACTTGAAGAATCAGAGATATCAAATCCGTGATTTTTAACAGAAGCGTTTGCTACAGCCGCGGCTTTAGCTGCATTTGCTTGGGCTTTTTGGGCGAAGGCTTCGGCTTTTTGTGCAGCGGTTCTGGTGGCTTTATAATCGCTATTAATTGCCTCTAATTGTTGAACTAAAGAGTTTAATTCTTGTTTGGCTCTTCTGACCATTGCCTTTTGCGACGCGGCTTCTTGTTGTGCTTGAGTTAAAGCGTCTTGAGCGTGGACTAAAGTACCTTGGGCAGCATTTAAAGCCGCGTTTAAAGTGTTTGTTTGCTTTTGGGCTTGTTGGTAAGCTTCGGCGGCTGCTGCAACGGCTCTTTGGGCTAAACTAAGTTGTTGAAGCTCTGCTATGAGTTGTTGGTGAGTGTCGTCTACTTGTTCTTGAATTGTGCGGCGAAGAATTTCTTTTCCCGTCAATGCTGTTTGGGCTCGAGCGGCAGCCTAAAAACAATATAAAAATAAAGCGGGAAAAGGATGGTTAAGAAAATACATTTATTGCAGTTTGTGCCAAAGAACTTTTAGCTACAAAAGCTGCTTGTCTAGCTGCGGTGTGTTGGTTAGCAGCGGCATTATGAGCTTCTTCAGCCGAACCTTGGGCAATATGCTTTAAGCTACTTCCACTGCTAAATCCTTGTTTTCCATAACTTTGCTGAGAATTTCCAATTGATGAAAAATGATCGAAATTTAAGCCGTTTACGCTTGCAACTAAAAAGGTCATTTTTTAAATTATATTTTTTTATTTTAACAACTTACAAAGTGCTATTAATACAAAAATATTCAACATTTTCGATCGATCGAAGAATAGATCTACAACTAGTGAAATATTGGTTTCAACGAGATATATATAGTTTCTTCGACATCTAAAGTTTCGTTTTTATCTGAATGGTGCTCGTTTTCTAATCGTAAAATTCCTGCGTTTACAAATAGAAGTAATTAGCGCCGTGAAATTAAGTTACTTAGACTTATTGAAAACGTTTTGAACGAACGCGTTAAAGGAGAAGGCCGTTTTAACGATTGACATGTAAGTTTTTAAATTCAATTCCCAATAACCTCCAATCGTTAATTTATTTGGGAGATTTGACATTATGATTACATACGACATCGCCTTCCTTAATTTTGGCTGAAACTTTTTGTACCAATCCGAATTATACAATGATTCTCCAACGGCTTCCATCTAAAAATATCGCTTTTGTTGTTAAATCGCATTTCATTTATTAATTTGAGGTTTTACTTCATTAAGAAGAATTTGTCCGTAAGAACAATAAATATATAATTGATAATTGTGGCAAACCAAGTACGAAACGTACGATAATTTATCCGTTGATGGTGGGAACCTAAAAATGGTTTTAAAAAATATAAATAATTAATAATTAAATAAATTTCGAACCCATCAACATTCAACATAAAAATTCCGACGCAGATACAACAAGTAGTTGTAAAAAAATGATTCAACAATTGAATAGAATAAATACCATTTATGTAAGTTATGAACCTCAAAATAAAATCGTGGTATTTAACCAATTTACAAAATTCTGTATAAGGATCTCGCGTCATATCTAAGTGCTCCAAACCATATTGCACCTTAATCATTTGAATAACCGCGCAATTAATTAATGTAAAAAACATGGAATCATACACAATCATCGAATATCCCAATGTTGTTAAATAAGTTTGATCAATAATCATCGAAGCGTATTCTGACCATTCCAACTGCTTTTCAAATACCTTGTATTCAGCAACTGCTATATTAATATCATAACCAATCACCGTCACAAACAACATGATTCTATATTTATTTAAAATTTTTAAAAATTCTTGGTTTTTATTTTCGAGATGTTTTTTGAATTCGTCCCCATAAACATCGTTATTCCAAAACAAATTTATTCTATCAATCACTTTTTTAATGTTTTCGTTGAAATAAATCGTGCAGACTAGTTTAAAAAGAACTTGATCGGCCGGGGGAAACAAATAAATCATGCTTTGAAGACCATCTAAGCCATCGGTGTTCTTGTAAACATTTATGCATAGCAAAATTGATGGAAAAATCAATATAATAACATAAAAAAATGTTCTTATGTCAGCCCAAATATTTCTGTTAAACGGATTTAACCCCAAAAGATTTAAATGAAATAACGCATATTTTTTTACATACTCAACTTCCATTTTGGTAACAATGAAAGTAGATATTAATTGATCACGAAATTCTATTTATATGGAGTTTAAGGATCCTTCATATTTAATAAAATAAAAGATAATTGCGTCAAATTGGGCGCCTAATCGATTTAAATTTCTATTTATTAATATTAAGGAGTTAATGGGATCATGTGGTTAAATTCACTTTGTTACAAATTTAAATTTCGCCGAAGCAGACTGTATTTTTGGAATTTTAATCATGTCAGTGTAATAAGGAATAACCTTTAAAGAATTGTTTGTTATTATGTTATGTTTTATGCATATTTGTTATAATATTTATGGCATAAACATTTTAAGTATTATAATTATTTGACCTTCACAACAACAATTATTGTCATGTAATATTTTTTTTATAATTTTAAAGATATTTTCAGTGGTCAAAACATGTTATTATAACATTAATATATGCCAAGAGTTTCGCCTGATTAAGCCGAGGTCACTTGCGGGCGAGGCATTACAGTTTATCATATTAACTAAGAGATTCTCTAACTCTTCATTGAAGGCAAAAGGTGCCTTGAAAAAGATATGCCTTGGTGGTTCGAACGTACATCTAGTGAAATATTTAGAGATGCAGTATCAGATTTGTCTCCTTGCCATCAAAAAGGGAAAGAGAGACTAAAGTAGCCATCAATGTAAAGAATAAAACTTGATAAATAATTATAATTATTTAATAAATTGCTGGACAGAGTTTGTAAACTACAACTTAAGATAGAGGGCAGAAGCACTCTCTGGAATTTGGTTAGATTATTGGACATTTCATTGGGAAAAATAACATTCTAATATTTTTGTGAGGTTATGTTGTTCATAACAAATAAGTTAATTCCTAAAATAAAAGTTATTAATGTTAATATTATTATTAATTCTTTTAATTTATTATTTCTATTATTGTATTATTATTAAGACAGTGTTAAATTATTTATTTTATGAAAGTGTGGTATTTGGCGGCAAATTCAAATTTGAATATGTATTCAGTGTTAAATCTTTTTTATCGCTTTGCGAAAAAAAAACTGATTTGAAATTGAAAATTGACGGAATAGTTTCGTTATGACTCAGTAAAAAAAATTTCTTTGTTTCAAGATAATAAATAAAGATTAAATAACTTTTAAAAATAAACTTTATTCGATTTAAAATCTTTATCGTAAAATTATAATTTTATTTAGTTTGAACTAAATTAAGAAATTCCTCCCTGGTTTTTGGGTCGTCTCGGAAAACCCCCAACATTGTCGATGTTACAGTTTTACTGTTAATTTTTTGAACTCCTCTCATAACCATACACATGTGACTGTAAAAAAATGTAATTAATTTAAAATTTTGAGTGAATACAATTTTTAAAAATTTTTACACAGCTTCAACGACAACGGCGACTCCTGTGGGTTGGACGGCGTTAGTAACAGCTAAAGCTATTTGTTTTGTTAATCTTTCTTGTACTTGTAATCTACGTGAGTAAATTTCCACGATCCTAGCTAATTTGCTAAGACCTAAAATTTTTCCGCATGGCAAATACCCGATCGAAACTTTTCCATAAAATGGTACAAGGTGATGTTCGCACATTGAAAACATTTCTATGTCCTTAACAACAACCATTTCATCATGATCTTCGTCAAAAATAGCACCATTTAGGGTCTCTATTAAAAAGATATGTTGTTATGCACAAATTGTTTTCTTCAAATATTATTACAAACACATGATAAATTTTAATAAACGATAAATATTTTGATGGATTCATTTTTTACCTTCTAAACTTTGATCATATCCTTTGGTAAAAAATAACATTGCTTTGGCAGCTCGTTCTGGTGTTTTTAATAACCCTGGTCTCGTTGGGTTCTCACCCAATGATTTTAAAAGCAATTTGTAAGATTCTGACATATTTGGAAGAAGAGCTTCTCGTGTTGGTGGATGATGATCTAGTTCTAAATCGTGGTGGAACGTACATTTTTCGTGTCCTATAATTTAAAAAGCGAAGAAAATATTTCAAGGTCAACCTATCTGTAATTTGTTTAATTATCTTACCTGGTGTAGTTGAAGTTCGCGGTGTTTTTGGTGTTCCTGGTACATGAACACAACCAAGGTTATCACTCCAAGCTCTAGAATTGGAGCTCTGTTGATTACCATTAACTTCCATGTGAAAGAAAACAAAATTTCTAAGAAATGCAAGATTAATTTTAAGGTAGTCACTTTTTTTGTCTTCCACGAACGCACACGAACTCGGCGATCACGGATCAAATGCTAAAATACCAGATATTCAACTCCTGGGTGATTCACGGCCGGTCGGTCGTTCTTTTCGATAGTCGAGTTCCAAGAAAAACAAAGCGATGACCGTAAGAGGTGTATACGAAATTATGTGTACTTTATGATAATGAAGCTTAATAATCGGTTTTGAAACTTACTGAGAGGAGTGAATTATTTTATATAAATCAGCGTTAATCGATGTTATTAATCAATTAGCAACTCGGGTCGCGGCTCTTATCGCGTTAAATATGAAAAATAAAACATAATTTAATAATTTTTGACAAACACTCTATTAAGCATAGTTGATATCTTCCATGTCAAGGATTGTTATCGTTTTCTAATAAAAAGGTCGAACCAAAAAAAAAATTAATTACACAAATTTTAAAACTATAAAAAAGAAATATTTTAATATTTCAATTTCCTTTCGAAATGTTAGAAATAATTTCTTCCTTCCTGTCTTTTGTATTTCGTCGAATGAAAATCGCGCAGAATTTCATAACTGCACGTGACAGTTAATTTACGTTTTAAAGTTTCGTTCGCTTACCCGCATATTTATGTTTGATTTGTATATCGATTTTTTTTTACAATACCTATACAAAAAACAGCAATTACTACTCAGTATCCATTTAAGAATCAACGTTTTACGTCAATATCTGTTTACCTAATTTTCAATTGCATCAATAACATGAAAATGGAAAATTTTCTTGCTTGTTTATTTTTAGAATCGATTTATAAATAATTTATTTATAATCTAATTTGTTATCTCTTTTAAGTTTCGTTATGTACTCTTTAAATTTAACACTTTTTGAAAATAAGTTAAAAAAGTGAGAAGTTTTTTTTTCTCCAAAGTCATTTTAAGTTGAGAAATGCAACTTTTTAAGGTTGCAGAAGACATCTCTGTAAGCGCATTGAGTAATGTAAGAGCATTGAAAGATAATGACAAAAAGAATTAATTTAGACAAAGTATGGTGGAATACCTAACGCAGGAACAAACCTGCCGTAAACAAGAAAGGAGAGATAAACAAATTCCAGAAGGTGGTAGGAGGTGCTATGCTATACAAAAGGCTTAAATTCATGACTAAAAACATAATTGGGGAATACCAGGTAGGTACCTTAACTATTGTGCTTAACAATAGTTAAGGTAGTGTTAAAAAAACCTGGGAGTACGAAATTAATATTTACAATATTAGAATATTAGTGTCAGAATTCGTGTAGGAAAGCCAATTAAAATGTGCTAAACGATGCTAACGAAGTCGGAAATTAAGGGAAGCCAAATCCCAACAAGGACTGTGGGTCACAAAAGAGAGCGAGGTTGCATAAAGGATAGGAATGTAATGTTATAAAAAAGCATTATATTGATTGTATTATTTATATTTAGGTCCCATACATTACAACAGATTGTCACAATAAATTATGTTCAAAAAATCAAATACATTTTCCTATTATTAAAATGTGTCTAGACATATAGAAATAAGAATTTGAAAAATATATAAGTATAAAAAAATACTTTCGGCACTCCCTGTATGTTTGGCAATTTTTTGAAATGTTTTGTTGTTGTGTGGAATGTTGTATATAAAACTATCATAAATCGCCCGGTTTATCACAGAATACGTAATAAATATATTCTATAATATATCCTTAAAACATGAACACGTATATATTATATTTATTCGGTAACACTGATAAATATTTATTTTTTTTATATACATTTCAACATTAATTTAAAATCTGGTCCACCGTTTTTTATTTTATTACCTACAACTAATTTTTTTTTCAATATTTTTTTATAATTTACTACATCATTTCTAAGTTCAAGACACCAATTTTTTTTAACGTAAATTTTTATTTTTACTTGGAATGTACTAAATTCAAAAACTCTTCCCTTGTTTTTGGATCGTCTCTAAAAACACCCAACATAGTCGAAGTAACGGTTTTACTATTTATTTTTTGAACACCTCTCATCACCATACACATATGACTAAAAAGATAAAAAATAGTTAATAATTAATTTAATAAAAAATTAATTAATAACTTACACTCCTTCAACTACAACAGCAACTCCAGCCGGTTGAACAGCCTTAGTAACAGCAACGGCGATTTGTTTAGTTAATCTTTCTTGTACTTGCAATCGTCGCGAATAAATTTCAACAATCCTAGCTAGTTTACTGAGCCCCAAAATTTTACCACACGGTAAATACCCGATGGAGACTTTCCCATAAAACGGAACGAGATGGTGTTCGCACATCGAGAACATCTCAATATCCTTTACCACCACCATTTCATCGTGATCTTCATCGAATATCGCGTCATTGAGCACCTCTACAAAAGATTCTTATGAGAACAATAGAATTTACGGCTAGTTTGATGACGCTTAAATCTAAAATGGAAACGCTGTTTCACGCGGTCATCGATCAAAAATGTACCCGACTTTGACGACTGTAATTAATGGTTAAAACGTAAAAAATAAAACATGACAAAAGAATAGCCCTCAAGCCTCATAAAAATGAAACACCGTTTGACTTTCAAAGAAACCCTCTTTGTTGAATTAGTTGGGATCGAGAGGGTGGGAAGTTCCCCCCTTTCTTTTAAGGGAAGCTACTTCGCTCTTTCGCACGTGACTGAATGTAAAAAGGTTCGGATTTAAGTTTAAGAGTCGCATCAATAACTCTTAAAATGAATTCTTTTTTATATTCTCAAAAAGATAAATGTTAGAAGAGAAATTGTCCCACATTTATAATAATTTTGGAAATAATTGAAAATGGGGGTTGGTTTCGAGTGCGAGAAAGAGGCTGGGGGGAGGGCTTTTAACGGCAAAAGGAAACCAAGGATTCTTAGGGGTCCATTTGACCGTAATTCTCTGAGTAATACACTTAATGTCGCATTGTAGAGCTCGCGACGTCGAGTATGCGAACGCATTTCTAAAATGCTTAATTCGGAACTCCACTGAATTGGGGGGATGGTAATTGATTGGCTGACACTTCCATTTCCAAATCCATCACCGATTACAATGAAGAGATTAATTGGAATTTTATTTGTAATAAAAAAAATTAAATCAAAAATAATAAAATAAAAAAATTTAGATAACATTAAGTTAATTCGTAAGCGCGATTTCGCCGCGATATGACGAATAACGATCCTTAAAACACAATAGGAAGATAATTGCCATGGATTTGGCCGACTCCAGAGATTCGTAACCATGGACACGGCACATCTTTATAACCGGGATTTCAGGGAACGATTTAACTTATCGCAAACTAAGCCCTTCTTACAACAAAAAATACTGGAACAAAAAAATTTTTTCAAAGTTCGTTGAAAGATTGATTTCTAAAGCGCGGTAATTGCGTTAAAGTTCGAGATTCAGGGTGACGGAAAGCTTCGGGTTCTGTTAACGAAGTTACCTGTTGAATGAAGAAGGATGAGACTCCCAAAGCACCCCGGTTAATTTTCATTCAATTACCAACGACCAATTACTTCTTCAGAGAGGAAACCTTTCAGGGGTAATTTAGTAACTTCTACGTATAGTTAAATAACAATAATGACATGGTATATTAGTTAATTTTCTAAAACATAATTTTGAAATACTTAATAATAAATATTTCATTGTTGTATAATTTTCAGATGAGTTCTGAACAACCTTGAGAAATGAAGTGATCGAAATAAGAAGCACAGTGCGATTGGGAAAATCGTCCGACGTTCACGTTCTTGTATTTATAATAGATGCACGCGCGACTTCGAAAAGACGTAAAAAGTAATTGGCGCGGAAAAACCATGTACGGTTGCAACGTTAATGGTTATTGCGTCAGGCGTCGCTCACCTTCCAGACTCTGGTCGTAGCCTTTGGTGAAGAAAAGCATCGCCTTGGCCGCACGTTCCGGCGTCTTCAAAAGTCCCTGACGCGCGGGATTTTCCCCCAAAGAACCCAACAATAATCGGTAGGATCTTGCCATATCTGGAATTAAAGCTTCTCGAGTAGGGGGACGATGATCTAACTCTAAATCGTGGTGAAACGTGCACTTTTCGTGTCCTTTAAAAAATCAAAAAAAATCAAAAAATTAAAAAAAAACTCAATTATTTTGTTTATTACCTGGTGTTGTTGATGTTCTGGGTGTTTTAGGTGTACCAGGAACTTCAATATCATCAAAGCTCTCAGACCAATTTCTACAAACTAAAGGAAGAGGTTTTTTCTTTTTGTATTGGTCACCGTTGGCGTGTTGATCCATTATTAAAATTGAAGATAAAAAAAGTTGATTAAAGCACTCCGATTTTGTTGTAAGTTTTGCTATGAAAACTTGAAATTGAAGGAAAGGGACGAAAAAAGTGATTGTCGGAGACCTCGAAAAGAGCGAGATGTGGCGTCGCGATTGCTCGAAGGTCTGCCCTAACACTGACTGACTGGCGCGGGCAGTCGCGATCTAAATTATATACCGGGCGTTCAATGTTCCCCGATTTTTGCCCGATGATTCGTCGGGATTTCAGTTCTCAGGAGAGACCGTGCTAGAAGTAGCGGGGATCAACCATGTTATCTATAATGAGTAAACATTTATTTCTCTTGGTTTCGAGGTGTTACGATTGGGGAATACACGCTGCGGTGTTAAAATGAATTTCTCTATTTTACGCAAATTTCCGAGAAAACGGTCTAGTTAATTCCCCGCCGGAGGTTTCGTAAAAAACCATAAACCGAATGGAAACTTATGACTAAAACACAAAATTTACTTTCAATTTTATAAAAATACATTATTTTTTACGAAAATCCCTGAACTTTTTGTTTCCGATAAAATTCTCTACATATAGTCCAGTTTCTTCGCGTTCCGGTAATTGCGGGGCGCCTTAATTACTAGGCTCCTACAAACACGTACTTTTACTGACCATAATTTCAATACCACTTCGCTTGACCTTAATGTGTTACAAGGTAAAGATAGATAGGAGCGAATTTGTTTTGTAGCGTTAAAGAAATTGAACCAGTAAGAGCGTTATCTCGCAATTGCCACGGTTTACCAGGACAAAGCCGGTTGTGTAAACCACAACACAAAATTTTTTATACACATATATAAAGTTTCTTACCTTCAAAGTTATCTACAAATTTGGTGATCGATGAATGACATTTTTAGCACAAGTATTACTTTCACCATTCTAAATAATTTCGCGTATAGACATGCGCGTTACTTTTATCACGTTATAAAAATGCAAATGCGCATCTACAGATTCGAAAATTATCCAGCGATTAGTCATTTAGGGACTTCCCATACCTTTTTCTTTTTATAAGAATATTTAAAATTATTTACGTCAACTCATTAATACTAATTGGAATCTTATTCAATTATTACCCATAATTTTAAAAGAATCTTGGAAATTCCAGTTTTAACAGATTAAGTAATTAAAAGATCGTAAATTATTAAATTTTTTCAATTTGACATGTTTCGATATTAATTGACCATCATCAAGGATAACAATAAGATAATAAATTGGGCTTCAAGAACTTTGCTCTACCAGAATTTGGCATTTTCTCTAATAACCTTTAATTTTCCTACCTTGTCAAGTTCTTAACACTTACAACTTTATCGCTTTCATATCTTTAGAGGGCGCTAGGGAAGCTTAAGGTATGCTGGAAAATGAGGTGTTAATTAGTAGTAAATACAAAATTTCAAATTCTACGACTTACTTATAGCCGGAATACTAAATAAAGTTCATAGCTCGTAAAGAAAAGAGTTGCTACCCTATATTTATATAAAAAACTTGTGTTATTTTGGTAAGTAGTACGTCGTAGTAAAGTTTCCCGATTAAAATCTGAACCACCCTGTATATCATATTTATATTAATAAATGAGCTCATGTTGCAAATTCAATCAGATCAGATTAGTAGTTAATAGTTGCCGAATTCTTTTGATACCTTCCTTCAGGTCCATCTTTAGAAAGTTGATTTACTTAGGTTCTTATTGTTTTGATTAAGGTCTCAAAATCGTTGTTAGCAAATTGTAGATTTCATCCCAGTTGCCACGAGACTTAAATTAATCCTTGCGCTGTTTCATTCAGCTTTGGGCGAATTATTATTTCCATTGGAAAAGAGTCATCCGACATTTTGGAGTAACGTGATGTCATTTCAAGCTCCACCAAGAAAGGAGATATACTTGCTTTCTTGCTTATTCCATCTTTATTAGACGCATCGCATTTCCACAACACCACACATCTCTTGCGAAGTCTTCGGATCTTCATCTTCAGGGAGAACAGAATCGCTGGAAAGAGGAGGGTGACGTTTAGCTCTCCTAATATGAGTTTATTAATATCATTCAATTCCAATAGCGGCATTTTTAATACTTAAAATTAAACCCTTTCCGCCATTTATTAAAGTAGGCAGCGCCATCTATTACGAGTTTTAGATGATAATGTTTGTGGGACAAATAATAAAGCTGAAATAATAATAATATATACCTATTATTAATAAATACAAATAAATATGAATTTGTGTTTAATATAAGTTTAGTAATGATTAATTTAGGTATATTTTATTTTTAATGGTTGATGTTCCTAAAACATGTTTTAGAGGAGTGTGTAGAGTGAAAATTTAAGTTGGTAGCGGGTGTAACTGTCAAACAGAATCGTTCTAAAAATGTCAATCCATTTAAAGATTTGATAATAATGTGAAATTGTTCGATTTAAACGAAATGGCAACCCAGAAGCCCGGGGAGTGGGCAAACACGTTGATTGTGCGTTTTGAGGAACAGGTTAGTATCGGTTTATTAACCGTTTGCAAGCGTTAAAGCGCGGCATTTCTTCCCACCTTATAATCAATATATACATACAGGATGTCCTGTGGTGTTTACATTAAGCTATGTCCTGTAATAGTAGTTTTTATTCATTTTAAAAACAATTTGTTTCTATTTTTCCTTTAATCGATTATTAAGTATTATTTTTAATATATATAATTATTTTTTAATATATATTTGTTGCATTGAATAATTTTAGCTGCCGTGTAGAGTTGGTTCCCAAACAGCACATTCCAAGTTTAATGAAGAAGAGAATAAAAATTGTATAATACAAATATCGCGACATAAATTTGCATTGGTTTTGGATGGATTTGTAAAAGTAATTAAGAGAATACATGAGATGTACCAAAGTAATGTGTGTGGGCAAAGACAACTTGTAGCTGAATTCGAGAAGAATTACTTTGATAGTTTATTAGTAGTCTTAGAGACTTTAGAAAAATGTTTCAGTGTACAACCAAAGGATTCAATAACATTGACTATGGAAGAAAACCAAAACTTAAAATCACTTTTAAAAGAGATTTGTACATTTCTAGGTATATCAAATAAGAATGAAAAAGTATAACGGTATCCCTTTTAAGTATTCCTTTTAGATATGCCAACTGAAAGTCCGCACACACATGCCATAAAGACTGCAGCTAGTAAAGTATTATTTGCTCTAAGTGTAAATTTTTTCAATGCGGTTTTTAGTAGGATCAGCTCAAAATTACAGGAGCTAGCTTCTTGTCCTGATGAAAATCCAGATCATAGTGATATAGAACTTATTCAACATATCAATGTCGATGTCACCAGATTAACACGTCTTTTAACAGGTTTGTATCTTATTAAAAACAATTATGTCATGTATTTCTTGTAAAATATACAAACATGAAAATATAAGAAAGTAACCTATAAGAAAATGTTAACTCTCAAACCACCGCTTGCAGGCGAAGCGCTATAATGTTTCAAAATTGACGACTTTGTGTTAATATATTAAATATAGCGCCTCGCCCACAGGCGACCTCGGCAGTTTGAACCAAAATCGTTCCTTTTACATCTTTGTACAAGTTGTGCCTCAAACCGCCAAGGTCGCTTGCGGGCGAGGCGCTAGATCCTGCAAGATTGACGTTTTTGTGTTGATATATCAAATCTAGCGCCTCGCCCGCAAGCGACCTCGGCGATTTGAGGATAAAAATCGTCTTATTGGAGAGTGTATATCTTAACCAAGATATATAAGGAACGATTTCGCCTCAAATCGCCGAGGTCGCTTGTGGGCGAGGCGCTAGATCTTACAAGGTTGACGATTTTGTGGTGATATATCAAAACTAGCGCCTCGCCCGCAAGCGATCTCGGCGGTTTGAGGATAAAAATCGTCTTATTGGAGAGTGTATATCTTAACCAAGATATATAAGGAACGATTTCGCCTCAAATCGCCGAGGTCGCTTGCGGGCGAGGCGCTAGATCTTGCAAGGTTGACGATTTTGTGGTGATATATCAAAACTAGCGCCTCGCCCGCAAGCGATTTCGGCGGTTTGAGGATAAAAATCGTCTTATTGGAGAGTGTATATCTTAACCAAGATATATAAGGAACGATTTCGCCTCAAATCGCCGAGGTCGTTTGCGGGCGAGGCGCTAGAATCCCCTAGAGCTGACTGTTTCGTATTGATAAAAGAATAAAATAAAATTGTCTCAAAAACGAAGTTAGTTACAGGGATGAAAATTGGTGTACAGTTATCACATTAAAATCGCAGATCTATATCAATTTTTGGACCAAATCCTCCAACCGGAAGTGGCACTTTACCTAACCACATATCAAATTTCTTTCATATAAACTTCCATTTTAAATAAAGATACATGATTAATATATGGTATGTGTCTATATAATTACGAAAAAGATTCAGGGTTAAAATTTCAATCAAATCGCGTAACCGGAAGTGGTACTTTACCTAGCCACATACTTAATTTTTTCATACAAACGTCTTGTATAAGTAACATAAAGAGTATATAAGTCTTGTATAAGGCTTTATAATCATGATAAAGATTCAAATATAAAGTTTAAATCAAATCCTTCTTTATTTTTATTTTTTATAGCTATTCAAAAATTTCGGCTTCTTAAAAAACCTGCACACTTTGTATTAATGATATCATTGGAACGAGCGATTTGGAACTGGATAGACACTTATCCTTATGAATTTGCTGACTTACAAAAAAATCCCAATGAAGAACTATCAAAGTGCTGTGAACAATTATTTGACATTTTGGATGCGTATACTGATAATAAAAAGGGGAGAGCGGCTATTTGGCCGCTTCAAATAATGCTACTTATTCTATCACCTGTAAGTTGTCACACCTATAATTGACTTAGTTAATTTATTTATTTATTCAAATCCAGAAAGTTTTGGAGGAGATTATAAACGCGGATACGGGAGGCGCTCCTTGTTCACCTCGCCATAGCAAGAAAAAACAATTCATAGACACCATAAAACGGGGAATAGGAGCACACGGAAACTCTAGTAAACAGTTAACAGAAGCGGCTGTTGTGACTTGTGTAAAATTAATAAAAGCTTCCACCTACATAAACACGACGGATACAAATAACATAACAATAACACTAGTACAAAGCATAATAACAGATTTAAAAAATATGCTTTTCAACCCGATAAAACCATTTTCAAGGGGTCAAAACTCGCTTAACCAAGACATCGATTTAATGATTGATTGCTTAGTATCATCGTTTCGATTAAAACCAATAAATAACGAAGCTTTAAAAGTTTGTTTAAGTTTATCTTCGCCGACTATATATCATTTTGTTTTGGTAAAATCTTTGTTTCAAATTGTAACACAATCCCGATTACTGTGGTGGCCAAACATCGATTTGGTTTATACAAAATCATCCGAACTTCGCGCCATGTTCACTGATACTTTAAATAAAGTGGCTCAAGGGTATATTGCGCATACACCCCTTAGAGTGATACAAGCTTTTGCATCGAAAGGTAAAGATTCTCAAGGAAAATACAAAGATAGAGCCGAAGATATGACTGGCTATAGAAATTTATTGTTGTATATGGTAAGATTAATACACGCAGATCCTATGTTGATGTTAAACAATAAAGGAAAAGCAGGACATGAGATTCAATCATCCACATTAGAGTTAATAAACGGGTTGGTTTCTTTAGTACATCAACCATCAATGACTGATGTGGCTCAAGAAGCCATGGAAGCACTATTAGTATTACATCATCCAGAAAAAATTGAAATTTGGAATCCCGAAGCTCCAATTAACACATTTTGGGACGTTAGCTCTCAAGTTTTATTTTCAATATCGCAGAAATTAATACAACATCAAATAATGAATTATACCGACATTTTAAAATGGTTACGAGAAATTCTTTTATGCCGAAATGCATTCCTTTTAAGACATAAAGAATACGCAAACTTAGGCAGTCAAATAGCAATTTGTAAACAAGCTCATATCAAATTAGAAGTTGTGTTTTTTATGTATTTATGGAGTATAGATATGGATGCCGTTCTTGTAGCGATGAGTTGTTTTTCGTTATTATGCCAAGAAGCAGAAATTCGATGCGGATCTGATGAACTAACCGTAACATATTTAGTTCCGAATTATCACGTTTATCAAGAATTAGCACAAGCTTCAAGTTTTTTAAATACCGGAACCGGCGACTCAAGAATGTTTTTTCCTGACCACACAAACGGCCGAACAGCTTTACAAAAACGAATCATGGCGTTACTACGTAAAATAGAACATTGCGTAAACGGCGTTCAACCCGCTTGGGAAGAAACGTTTATGAATTGGAACTCGACTTGTAAAACATTAGCTTCTTATCCAAAAATGAAAGCTGAAGATGGTCAAATGGAACCGTTTCATAGATCAATGGGTAAACGTAGAGCTTCACATCAAAATTCCGAGCATGAACTTGAGGATCAAATTAACGAATGGGCGAATATGACCGGGTTTTTGTGCGCATTAGGTGGTGTTTGTTTGCAGAGAAAATCTCCATCGCGCCCACCTTTATGTTCGTCGCATTCAAGCTATTCCAGTTTGTCAACAATTCCAATTAGCGCCATAGGAACGGTGGGTTCATTATGCGATTCAAGAAAATCGAGCGTTTTACCAAGTGGTAATCAAGAACAAAGACAATATTGTCCCGTCACACAATTTGTTGATCTTCTCCTTCGACTTCTCGTCTGTAACAATGAGAAATTTGGCGGACAAATTAAAAAGCACGTTACAGAATTGGTTGGACATGAAATGTCTTCGGCTCTTTATCCGATTCTTTTTGAACAAATCAAAACTATTATTGATAAATTTTTCGATCAACAAAGTCAAGTTGTTGTTTCAGACCTCAACACACAATTTATCGAGCATATTATATTTATCATGAAAAATATTTTGGACAATACAAAAAATGATCAACCCTCAGAACATTTAGGTGTAACAAGTATTGAAGGAATGATGTTGGCTATCGTACGTTATGTGCGACATCTTGATATGACTGTACACGCCATACAAATTAAAACAAAATTATGCCAATTGGTTGAAGCTATGATGGCTAGAAGAGATGATCTTGCGTTTCGCCAAGAAATGAAATTTCGGAACAAACTTGTTGAATATTTAACCGATTGGGTTATGGGCACATCTCATCAAATAGCACCACCAAGCAGTGGCGATGTAACTTCAATCACTAGGGATTTAGATCAAGCGTGTATGGAGGCTGTAGCTGCTTTATTACGCGGATTACCATTACAACCTGAAGAATCTGATCGTGGTGACCTTATGGAAGCTAAAAGTCAACTATTTTTAAAATATTTTACTTTGTTTATGAACTTATTAAACGATTGTACTGATACACCTGAAGTTACGGAAAAAGAAGTTGGCGGGAAAAGAGTTACAGATAAACTTAACACTTTACGTAACGCCACTATTCAATCAATGTCGAATTTGTTATCGGCAAATATTGATAGTGGGCTTATGCATTCCATAGATCTTGGTTATAATCGTGATTTACAAACGCGGGCAGCTTTTATGGAAGTTTTAACGAAAATTCTTCAACAAGGTACGGAATTTGATACTTTAGCCGAAACCGTTTTGGCAGATCGTTTCGAACAATTGGTACAATTAGTAACAATGATCAGTGATAAAGGAGAACTTCCCATCGCTATGGCTTTAGCAAATGTTGTGACAACTTCACAAATGGACGAATTAGCTCGAGTTTTTGTTACGTTATTTGACGCAAAACATCTTTTATCGCCGTTATTATGGAATATGTTTTATCGAGAAGTTGAAGTTTCCGATTGTATGCAAACGTTGTTTCGCGGAAACTCATTAGGCAGTAAAATAATGGCGTTTTGTTTTAAAATTTACGGAGCAAGTTATCTTCAAACTTTATTGGAACCTTTAATAAGTCCTCTACTGGAAGAGTTAAATTGTAGCTTTGAGGTTGATCCTGCGAGGTTAGAAGATAACGAGGATATAATAGATAATCGTAAAAACTTGATACAACTAACTCAAAGGGTTTTTGAAGCAATCGTAAACGCAGCGGATAAATTTCCCCCTCAATTACGGTCGATGTGTCACTGTTTATATCAAGTATTAAGTAAGCGATTTCCACAGTGTCCGCAAAATAATATAGGAGCTGTTGGGACTGTGATTTTTTTGAGATTTATCAATCCCGCAATCGTTTCTCCGCAAGAAATGGGAATAGTAACGAAACAAGTACCACCTTCAGTCAAACGAGGCTTAATGTTGATGTCGAAAATCCTACAAAACATTGCCAATCACGTTGAATTTAGCAAAGAGCAACATATGTTACCTTTTAATGATTTTCTTCGCGCACACTTCGAAGACGGGCGAAGATTTTTTATACAAATCGCTTCTGATTGCGAAACAGTTGACCAAGCATCTCATTCGATGTCGTTTATTAGTGACGCCAACGTTTTGGCTTTACACAGACTTTTATGGAATCATCAAGAAAAGATTGGCGATTATTTATCGAGTAGTAGAGATCATAAAGCTGTTGGTAGAAGACCTTTCGATAAAATGGCTACTTTATTAGCCTATTTAGGACCGCCAGAACATAAACCGGTTGATTCGCAGTAAGAATTTTTTTGTTATCAACAAACTATTTAATACAACTTATTTATTGCTAGTTTATTATTTTCGTCGTACGCGAGATGGAGTTCGATAGATATGTCTTCGAGTAACTTTGAAGAAATTATGGTTAAACATAACATGCACGAAAAAGAAGAGTTTAAATCAATAAAATCGTTGAATATATTTTATCAAGCCGGAACTAGTAAACTAGGCTTACCAGTATTTTATTACATCGCAAGGAGATATAAGTAAGTATCTAACAGAGAAGAGGCCATTTAGACGTTAATAACAGTTGCTATAGAATTGGGGAGACGAACGGCGATCTTTTAATTTACCACGTCATCTTAACATTGAAGCCGTTCTGCCATTCACCTTTTGAATTGGTCATCGATTTCACGCACACCTGCTCAGAAAACAGATTTCGGTGAGTCAATAAATCCTTTTAATCTTATTTTGCTAAAAAATTTTGGTTTGTAGAACGGAATATTTACAAAAATGGTTTTACGTTCTCCCAGAATTAGCTTATCAAAACTTACATGCCGCTTATGTTTATAATTGTAACAGTTGGGTTAGAGAATATACTAAATATCATGATCGCATTTTAAATCCTCTTCGTGTAAGTTAATTAAATTTAAAATAATTTTGTTTTAATAATTGTAAAAATTATTATTATAGACTGTAAATCGAAAAATAATTTACATCGATATTCCAAACAAATTAAACGACTACATAGACCCGGAACAACAAAAACTTCCGGGCGCTACTTTAAGTTTAGACGAAGACTTAAAAGTTTTTAACAACGCATTAAAGCTGTCTCATAAAGACACAAAGGTGGCGATAAAAGTAGGCCCAACTGCGATTCAAATAACGTCCGCGGAGAAAACGAAAGTTTTATCACAATCAGTTTATTTAAACGACGTTTATTACGCCTCTGAAATTGAAGAAGTTTGTTTGGTGGATGATAACCAATTTACTTTGACTATAGCTAACGAAAGTGGTCCTTTGAGTTTTATACATAACGATTGTGATACAATCGTTCAAGCGGTGGTTCATATAAGAAATCGATGGGAGTTGAGCCAACCAGAATCGGTGACTGTTCACCAAAAAATTCGACCGAAAGATGTTCCAGGGACGTTGTTAAATATGGCTTTGTTAAATTTGGGGTCGTCAGATCCGAATCTTAGAACGGCGGCGTATAATCAATTATGTGCATTAACGGCTACGTTTGATTTAAAAATAGAAGGACAACTTTTAGAAACTTCAGGGTTGTGTATTCCCGCTAATAACACTATTTTTATTAAAAGTGTGTCAGAAACGTTAGCTAATAATGAACCCCATCTCACTTTAGAATTTCTCGAGGAATGTATACAAGGTTTTGGTCGATCGAGTATAGAATTAAAACATTTATGCTTAGAATACATGACACCTTGGTTACCAAATTTGGTTCGTTTTTGTAAAACATCCGAAGATAATAGAAGGCAGAAACAAGTGGCACAAATTTTAGAGAAACTCATTTTATTAACAATCGACGAAGTTGAAATGTACCCATCGATACAAGCCAAGATTTGGGGTTCAATTGGTCAAGTACCAGAATTAATCGATATGGTTTTAGATGGCTTTATACATAAATCCGTGACATCCGGTTTAGGATCGCCCATGGTTGAAATAATGGCCGATACAGCGGTTGCTTTAGCATCTGCAAACGTTCAACTTGTTGCTAAAAAAGTTATCGGACGATTATGTCGTGTTGTGGATAAAACATGTCAAACTCCTACGCAATTTTTAGAACAACATATGATGTGGCACGACATCGCTATTTTAGCTAGATACCTTCTTATGTTATCATTTAATAATTGCTTAGATGTAGCAAGACATCTACCATATCTTTTTCACACGGTCACATTTTTAGTATGTTCTGGATCTTTATCGATGCGAGCTTCAACACATGGATTAGTTATAAATATAATTCATTCATTATGTACATGTACAAAACCATCATTTTCAGAGGAAACCCAACGAGTATTAAGACTATCTTTAGATGAATTTTCTTTACCAAAATTTTATTTGCTTTTTGGTATCAGCAAAGTTAAATCTGCGGCTGTAACAGCGTTTCGTTCGAGTTACAGACATGCCAACGAGAGATGGTTTGGCACTGAAAGAACTTTATCAACATCAAACAGCACAGAACAGGATCGCCTATCTTTAACTTCATTAGAAATAATCACAGATGCATTACTTGAAATTATGGAAGCGTGTATGCGTGATATTCCAGACTGCGATTGGTTGGCAAATTGGCAATCGTTAGCGAAGGGATTTGCATTCTGTTTTAACCCGGCTTTACAACCAAGAGCTTTAATTGTTTATGGTTGCATCAGCAAAAGCGTTTGCGATCAAGACATGAAACAATTACTAAGAATTTTAAAGAAAGCTTTAGAAAGTTACAACGATATGTTATTACTCGAAGCATTAGTTATGTGCTTAACAAGACTCCAACCAGTTCTACGACCAGAATCACCGATTCACAAAGCCTTATTTTGGGTTGCCACCTCCGTTTTACAATTAGACGAGGTTACTTTATACGCATCCGGGTTAGCTTTACTTGAACAAAACTTGCATACTTTAGATTCACAAGGTGCGTTTGATGAATTACCTATGGATCAAGTTTTAATGCAATCACGCGAAGCTCTCGAATGGCACTTTAAGCAATTAGATCACGCCGTTGGGTTGTATTTTAAAACAAACTTCCATTTTGCGCTTGTTGGGCATTTATTAAAAGGATTTAGGCATCCGTCTCCTACGACGGTGTCAAGAACTTGTCGAGTATTAACGATGTTATTAGCTATTGTTGCTAAACCACACCGAAAAGATAAATTTGAAGTTACTCCGGATAGTATCGCTTATTTAACAGGTAAAAAATTAAATTGTTTAATAATTGCAAGATAAATTTGGCATATATTCTCGGTGTAATAAATTATATAAATTAAAATATCAATCATTAAATTGACGTTTCAAGTTACACCAAGAAATACTTATCCCAAGTTTATCTTGTGACTGTTGAACCCGCCCTTAATGAATTTTTCTTTAATAGCTTTAATTGGATATTCAGAGGAAGTTCGAAATAGGTGTCATGTAAAATACGCAACTTTACGACATTCAAACGATGCAGTTAGCCAAGAAAATATCTTGTATGAAAATTCAACATCGCATCAAGCAAATAATGTTAGTGGGGGAGGTCCTGCTGCGACGACAAATTGTGGTCCAGTTAATCGAAGACAAAAATCTTGGGATTTGTTGGACCAATCGGCGATAGCTCAGGCAAAACAACACAAACAGCCAGCACAACACCAGGTAAGCTTTAAAAATCTTATTTTTTGTTTTAAGTCGGGTTATTTAATCGTTGTTTGATGTTGTTAAGTAATCAGTTTGTTATGATTGGTTTTAAAGGAAAGGAACAAGGTGATGATTGTATTTTAGAACGATGTTTTTAACGACAGTGTTTTACTCCTATTATTATTTTTTATGTTGTTTGTTTTAGAACGTTACTTCGTTTTTTTTGCTTGAAATTTATAATTTTTAATGCATTTTTTTAAAAAACTAAGTGACGTTTTAAACAAATCAGTAAAGTGGAGTTGAAAATTAAGTAAAATTAGTTAGATTGAAGTAAAAACGTTATAAACAAATTAAATTATTAGTTTAAAAAAAAAGAATATTATAATGGTGTGCACGAAAGGTTAATTGGAATGCTAACCAGGTTGAGAGTTCGGCAGCCGGCAAAAGCTGGCGCAGTTTAGACTTGAGCCAGAGTCCGGGACCTTTGACCCGGCCTCTGTACCGTACCCAGCGGTCTAGTTCGGTGCCAGAGCCGCAGAACCCGACACCTAACGCATTAAACACTGACGCTCAATGCCCGACTGTGGCTCCCAACAAAGTAAGAGTTTCCTCCATCCTTTTATACACAATCATCTTAATTAATCTTAATCTACATTACTTTAGTGGTTCTTATCTTTTAAGTTTATGAAAAGGAATGCTCTATTTATTTCTATTTTTTTATCACCTCCTCTTTCCCTTTGCACTGAAAAGATTTATCTAAAAATAATTTAAATTAATGACTCAAATAAATTTCTTTAAGTAGTCGTTCTTTTTTATAAATCAAGATAAGATCACTGCTTCTATGAATGAGTCACCGTTAATTTCTTCCCCAATATTTTCGCGCCTCCGCCCCTCACGTTGAGCATACTAACTCTTGTCGCTTGTCTTGCCTGCTGTGCCTGCCTTCTGTCCTGGACTGACGCCAAATTCAGAGCGCACGTGCCCTCTTCAAAACACAACGCTCATTCTCGGTGCCAACAACCAAAGAACAAAAAAACCACGATGATAACTCTAAGGTAAAAAAAAATAAACTAAACTCGAACTCTCTAAACAAGTTTATAACTTAAAACATAAAGTTGTTAAGAGAATAAGTGATACATTCAATCCAAAGAAAAACACTACTCACGATTTTTCGCAATTTTATTGGTAGTTTAATATTTATTATCGTCTGCTTTTGCATGCGGATTGCATTAAAACCCTTTCTAAAAATTTATAGAAAAAGTAGTTTTTCTTTTAAACCCACCAATTTTTGGAAAACCTTAACTAACCTCTGCAATTTCAGAATCGAAGCACCCGCGTATCAATCAGCAACGAAAACAACATTTTATTAGACCCCGAAGTACTCACCGATTTTCAAACGCAAGCTTTAGTCCTCACCGTTTTAGCAACGATGGTTAAATACAGCACCGAAGAGCACGAAACGCGCATTTTGTATCAATATTTAGCTGACGGTGCCGTTGTTTTCCCTAAAGTTTTTCCGGTTATGTAAGTTTTTACTTCATTACTAAATCATTTTTAAACAATATTATTTCCAGATACAATCTGTTAGATGTAAAAATTAATAACATATTAGCATCATCGAACGATCCCGTTTTATTAAACGCCATTAGGTGTATTATACAAAATATGATCGCTTGTGAGGATACAAGCCAACAACAACTTCATTATTTACAAAGCTGTGGGTTTGCTGGGTTGTGGAGATTTGCTGGTCCATTTAAAAAGGTACTAAAAAAAATTATTTTAATACTTGTGTTACTTCGTACTTATATATAATTACTTTTTTATTTAGCAAAAAAATAATCTTCGTGATAGCATCCAATTATTCGTAAATTATTTAGAAACGTTAGTAGAAACATGTCTTCCGGTTGAAGAGTCGGAAGTTGAAAACGGCGAGATACCTCAATACCCATCGACGTTAAGTGTTAATTCAAATATGAATTTGTCGTCGAGTTTATCGAGTTTAACGGTAGGATCTCCGACTGATAAAGAAATAACGCGCGACATGGAAGGAGGAAGTAGCACGTCGCTGGGTAGATCAAGCTTTACAAAACAAAGAAGCATCAAATCGAAGTCGCATTCTAATCCTGACAGTTCACCGCATCATAATAACGCGTAACATAACGTTTTGTGTACATCGCTACAATTTTTATAAAAAAATTCGTTTTCGGTCGGAAAAAGTTAAAAAAAATAATAATAAAATGAATAATAATTGAAAATAAATTACAGAGAGTTGTGCAAAGTTTTCGTTATTCGATGGTCTTTATATTAAAGATCGAATGATTATTAATTATTTTTAAGGTGAAAAAAGTGGGTAATGAAGGAGGAGGAGGACGTACAAGTTTAAATTGCGGGTAATTGTCGGTAATAACCACCTAGATAGAGTGGAATTTTTTAAATCATTCACTATATACCTTAAGTACCTAGTAACTGCCATGGTTAAAATAAATATTTGATAGTTTGCAGAAAAAATGAATAATATGACAGTTGTGTGTCATTTAGTTTATAATTTTTGATGTTCTAGGTCTATAAAGCTAGAGTCTATATTTAATTTTTGATATAACATTTTATACATGACATATTATACATATATATTTATTGTGACGAATAAAAAAATAAAAAACGTTGATTATTATAGTTAGACAATCGTAACACGGACGATGATCAACTTTCCATTTACACAAAAATCATAAGTAGTTAAATAATTTTATATCAACAAAAAAAACAAAATTAATAGTTATAAATTTGTTGTGTTTTTAAATCGTTCTTTTTTAATACAATTCCTATTAAATAAAAAGTAGGTAACAAGAGGTAAATAGTTAATAATAATAAGGTTCACATATTTAATAAAAAAAATTTAATAATAAATTTATAATTTAACGTGAAAGTGTTATCAAAATAAGATGGTTATAAGATTATTTAGAACAAAAAATCTCAATCGTACTGTTGTATTAAGTAATTTAATTAATTAATAGCGTTTATTGTTGCTAAAAATTAATAATAAGGCTGTGCTTAAATTCTTTAATTTATTGTATAATTAATTTTAAATAAATAAACATCTTATTTTAATCAGCGCTTTAGCTACGTTATAAAAATGTTGTTGAAAACGCATATAATGACAAAAATATGCCTTAATTAAATTTTAAAAATATATAAATTTAGTCTGTTATTTACAGTGAAAAATTCACTGTTTAATTATTAATCGTAATAATAGATTATAAATTTTGCACAACGCTCTGTACGACTATAAAAAATACAGCAAAAGAAACCATGAAAATAAATAGGAACAACGCGCACACGAAAATGTATTAACTAAAAAAAACCGACATGAAAATAAAACGGTTCGTAAGGTAACGAGGTTACCCGGAAATTATTTCCACCAATCTAAATCTCCCCCTAAATAATACACGAAATGTCTAAATATTCATATATTTCTAAATAATCTATTTGTCTATTTCTCTGTATCTCTTAACTCTTTAAAATTTTAATGTTGTTCATAAATGTTTTTAGAGATTTATTTATTTTCCATTTTTCTTGGATATGGTATCATCAGAATATAGAGCAAATAAAAAAAAATCAAAAACAAATATTAACTGTATCGGTACCAAGATTATTGACGAATCTGTTTCGTCCAACGCTACGACACCGTGACGCCATTTTGTTTTGGAAAAAAATAAGAAAATAAGAGGTTATTATTAATGACACCCATCCACACATTAAAACTAAACTCTGTTTGATAGGGTTTTGGGCGTATTGCATGAGGTATATTCTATTGATAACATATCCATATTTCTATGATTTCACTTAAAAACAAATTCTAAAAAATCTTTAACACATTTGCATGTAAACAATAAATATTAAAGAATATATATGTATGTGAACGTACGACATATATAATATGAAAACAAAAGTTGTTGCTTCTACCTCGTTTTTTATCAAAAGTACATTTGACTATTTTGCTGTTGTTGCAAAAAAGGATTTCGTTGACGGAATTGTTTGCCGAAATAGTGAGATGTACGTTTAGTACAACATATAAAACGCAGAAAAAAAAATGATTTACTATAATAAAAGAAACAAGAAAATATTCTAAACGAAAAAAAAATTTTAAACAAAAAAAATTAAGAAAAAAAAAAGTTAAAACGAAACGTGTAGTTTACGGCGCCTTTGTCCACTGTCGTAAACGGCGCCCCAGCACGTATTTCATATTGAAAACCCAAAGACCAGTGTATGTCTTACTCGTTATATTCCCCGAACCGAAAAAAAAAACTTGAAAAAAAATGTAATAAAAATAAATCCATGTTAAAAAATTCATAAACGATGAGCGATTGTAGTTTGTAAATCAGAGCACTGAATATATGCACAATGTAAATGTCGTAGTTTAAAAACGGAGTGTTTGTACGTTTATTATTGAATTAAAAATTAAATTAATTAATTATTAAAGAAAATGAAGAAAGTGTCCAATGCAGAATAAGCTAAAAAAGTACGTTTCAGTATTGTCATAGTTATAGATATACGTATAACTGTATTGTTATATTATTACCTTTTTTATTTCCTTCTTTATTGCGTTCTTATACATTTTTTTAATTATTTAGGTATTAACATCAAATAGGTATTCAAAAAAATGGGTCAATAATCCATTCATTCGATACATTCGTTTGGATATCTATTCAAATAAAAGTTAACGCTAACTTCTCGGCCGAAGATCCATCGTCACTCATTTTTTATAATTTACATTAAGTGCCTTTAGAAATACAGTGTCATCTGTCTTAAATAGAAAACGAAATTTCTTAAATAAAATCTTAAAAATTATTTTTTTTATTAAAGAGTTGATTTCACTGTATTTCGTAAATTATTACCAATAACAACTGTGATTATGTCTACGGCAGAACACAATTTTTGTCCTCCCAATTATCTTATTTAAAAAATTCTAAAAATCTCGAAAATCCACAAAACGAGCCTTTAGATGGAAAAATCGTGATACTAAAACACCACATAAAAATGTTGACCGTCATTTAGTGAATAAGGCAAAATAAATTAACATTAAAATTTGAATTGATTTCCCGCCGAGATGTTAACGTTACTTTTTTAATAAAAAAAATTAGTTCTATTAAACTGCTCAAGTAATTTTTGAAAAATAAAAAAAAATGGGAAAAAAAAATTATTATTTTTATAAATATATATGTATAAACGCTGTATGTATGTTTATGTATAGAAAAAATTGAAAACTGTAAATAATTTATTTAAAAAGAGATTTGTTGTTCTTATAGTTGAGACTTTGTTCCTATCTCGTTGCATTTTTTATCTTATTCGTTCTAAAAAATAAGAAACAACAAAAAATACCATCTTCACATATCCCAAAAGGAAACAAAAAAATGTCACTCTCACGGCCCGTAAAAAATTTGATCGAATTATTAAATATTTTTAATAAAAAAAACTTGTTAACTTTTTAAAATTTCCGTTAAGAAAACAAGCTCTCTCTCTATCTCGCTTCGATCATTTACGGACGGTATACTTCGAATAGGCTTCGAAAAAAATGGCTAATACATACCACTACATGTATATGTATTTCAAGATTATACGTGTATGTATATAAATTATACTAATTGTGATAGTTTAATTTTACTTCTGAAATGACAACAAAAAAAAACTGTATGTTTCTTAATTATTATAACAAAAATATTTGTATCTATGATATTAAATATATAAAAAAATATAATTATTTAAAAGGAAAATAAATAAGGAATGTTTTTTATTTATCTTAAAAAAATAATAATTCACTCGTCTTTTATCATAAAATCAACAATTCCAACGAACTTTCCTTGATTTTAGTCATCCTCAAGATCGAGTGAATTTAAATTACAGACACTAAATTATAAATGAATTATAAATTGAGTTCAACTTCAATAATTTTTGGATTTTCCACAACCATAGCAGTATTTTCTCCTTTTTCTACTTCGCCGATAACCCAAGCATCCCATCCATCAAGCTTTTTCAACTCTGCGATATAATCTTCGGCGACATCTTTAGATATTGAAACTAATAACCCACCAGAAGTTTCCGGTGTGAGTCCCTTCATAAATTTCAGTTTTGTGCCGGTTACTTCAGCGATTTTTGTTACATTCTTAATAACTGGAATTGTATTTATTACGAATTTAACTCGATTCTTTTGATGTTTAGCCAAATTCATCGCGTGACCTAACAATCCAAAACCAGTCACGTCAGTTGAACAATGTGCTTTGTATTTGTGCATTAATAATGAAGCTAAAAAAAATGTCTAAATTGATGTTAAAGTACTTTTGAGTCATTACCGTTTTTATTTAATCGAGCCATCGATAAAATGGCGTGATTATAAGCTGATTTAACTTCTTCTAAACTCACAACGCTTTCGATTTTTTTCCATCGCTCGGGATTTTCCGACCAACGCATTGCGTTGCAAGATATTTGGGCGCCTAATGGTTTCGTTAAAACCAACACATCACCAATTTCCGAATTTAAAGGACTAAAAAAATTATGATTAATTTGTTAACTATTTAATGGGATTTAATTACTTTATGTATTCTTTTTCTGTACAAACTGAAGTCGCAACGCCCCCAATTATACACCAAGGATTAATCCAAGCTGTTTGAATCGAAATTTTTAACCCAACTGATTTTGCATTATCCTTAAATCCATTAATAATCAGCGGCATGATTACATCGCGTACTTTTTCCGACATTTGCTCACAAACAGAAATTAACATAGTTAAAGAATCAATTTCGTGGACTCCTGTGGCGTATACATCACTTAAAACGTTCGCGCAAGTTATTTTACCCATCATGTAAGGATCATCAATTAAGGGATAAAAAAAATCGACGGATTGAACTAATGATAAACCATCACGTAATGGAATTAAACACGAATCTAAACCTATACCTAAAAAATAACAACTTTTAATTAATACTAGTGTTAGTTCTAATTTTAATTGTGATTCAGTATGAGGATGTTGTATATTTTTATTAAACTAACGGGTTTAGTATGTCTCTTAAGACCGCTAAATTTTATTATTACCTATCTTAGTGTCTGTAACTAAATTTGAATCAGTATTGATTCCCGCCAAAAAGTCCGTTAAGACTTCCTGCGGTACTTTACAGCCTCATCCACGCAAGTCGGAGAACTTAGTCAACCGGAAATCTTTTTCCAAACCATATTCTTCAGGTAAAAATTGCTTAAACGTTTCCATTCTTTCTCACACTACGTTACGCAATGAACATACGCGAAGATAACAGATGTTACAAATTTATTAGGTTGGGTTTGTTATTATCGCTTGAATACCCCACGTAGATAATAGATGGCGTCAACTGAATGTCTAATTCGGTGTGAATGTGATTTAATCGTGTTGAATCAAACTGTTTTTTTTTGACGACCTTGAGTATTTTTAATAGTATTTGTTATTATTGAATGGGAAAAAATGTATTAAAAAAATTAAAATTTTAAGATTTTTATGTGGTGATGGGGAACGTTTTAAAATAGATGTAAGGAAATGTCAAGGACTTTTTGGTAATACTATTTATAAATAGAATATAGTTAATTTAAATTGAGGTCCTTAATTCTAAAAATAAAAAAATAGCTTTTGGTTTATTTATTTATTTTTTTTTTTGAAAGAGTTTTATTAGAAAAAAATCATAATGAGTAGTCGTTTTTTAACTCAGTCTTCTAATATTGGTATGTTTGAAAGTAGGATATTTTGTAGCTTTGTTATACAAAATTTTCCTAAAATCGTTTTAGTACTACCCCAGTCACGTTTGCTTTTATTCAAAGTTTACAATATTTATTACGAATGTTAACGTAGCGTAGTGTTTGTAGGCTGAACGCGCTAAACGTAACCCATACATTTTTTTAAGGATCGGATTAAAACCCACGAATTTATATCACATATGAACTCTTAAAAATCATGACAATGTAACAACGAAAAAACGATAAACTGATAAATAGACTTATAATAATCTAGAATAGATCAATAAATTCAAATAACAAAAAACATAAAACTTTGAACTTCAACACATTCAACACATTTTTATATATATTATATATATATTCTCACTTTTCGGCAGTTAGGTTATAATATTCCTTTCTTTAAAAACACCTAGATTTTTTGAAAAATTCAAAAATCACTAGCCACCTCTAAGCTTATTTTTACATCGATATAGAACATTTTAAAAACGTCCATTTTCATTCAACAACAACACTAATACTCCCACAATCTATTCCCTAACCCCATTTTTTTATACGAAAGTTATAACTAGGTACAATTCATTTTTACTGAGTGGACGTTTTCAAAATGAAAAGACTTGGTGTGCCAATATAATGTGATTGCTTTTTTTGTTAATAATAAGATGATAGTTTGACTTTATTTCATTTCTTAACTATGGCTTCATGATTAACCATTCCGACGATAACGCATTTTCCGCAGTCAAACGTAATTCCGGATCCGGCTCGATCATCGCATCGATTAAAGCGGCAAATGGAATCGCATCCACCCTTTTCCATTTGTATTTATCTACTAATACATCTTCCGTTTTCCATATACGTAATTGTGATGTATTAAAACAGCTTAACGTACCTGCAAACAAAATTATTTCATTAAATATCAATTATTAAATTAATTTAAAAATATTAATTATAGTAGGCGGGTCTGGACAGTAAATACTACCTAGTTACTATTTGGTTTTGCACGAATATGACCGAATAAACTTGATTTTATACCATTATCTAATTGGTAAAGTTTGTTTATTAAAAAATATTTATATTTAAATAAATATGAACAATAACTTCAGGAACTAAACGGTCATTAAACAGACCGTGTCATTTTCTTCTACTAAACTTACTGCTTGTAAGGTTAGAACAGTTTGGTATCAATGAATACAATCTTCAGTAGTATTTTCCCAGTTTTGCCCAAACATAAGATTTAGAAGTTTTTTGATATCAGCAATCTTTTCTTTTGAAGTTGGGTGAGATAGAGGAAGATTAGAGATCATAAATTGGGAGCAGACTTTCCATTGAAACACCGTCATACATCATTGGAAAGCTAAAAATATGCTCTCAAAATAGTAGAAAATATAAAAATTAGAATAGTGTTAAAAAAAATCGGTATCCGGAGCATAATACAGAAAAACTTTTACAACAAAAAGTGTAGCAAATTGTACCTTTAACACATTGCTCATCAACACTTTTGCTCCCAGATGCATCAATGTAGAGAATTTTTCAAAAATATGGAAATTAGAAGAGTGTTAAAAAAAATCGGTATACAGAAAAACTTATACAATAAAAGTTGTAGCAAATTGTGCCCTTAACATAATGCTCTGTAACATTTTTGCTCCCAGATGCATCAATGTAGAGATTTTAGTTAAAATAGGCAGTATATTCATAGCAGGCAGTATAGGCATCATGGCAGTATAGTCATATACAGGGGTGATTCTTTAGTGAATTTTATGGGTACTTTCATATATGAACCATGGGCGACTTCGCCCCCCCTGGGGAGCTACGCCCCTCCAAAAATGGCGGAAAATTTTGGTTAAATTTTTTTTTCTCAAAAACCATAAACGCTAACAAAATGAAATTTGGGGAATATGTTTAACTCATAATAGGGCACGGTTTGACCCTATTTGTACGTTCATCCTACCCTTCTAAACTACTAAACGTAACCACCCCCTTTACATTTTTGCTAAAATTTGTTGTATGCAGATGATAAATACATTAGAAAAATTTTACATAGCTGGATGAAAGTATCCTAAAACTTTTTTGTCTCTCTAAAATTTTCCCAAAAACGACTAATTTTTGAGAAAAAAAATAATAAAGCAAACACTGCCCGTTAAACAACGGGATTGTCGATCAAAAGTTTTGTCAAATATTTTTGACGTTTAAATGTCAATGTTTTTCTTACTATTATTATTGTTTTTCAAATTAATTTTTGATTCAAGTTTTTCAAGCATTTGCGCTCAAAATTTTAAATAAAATAATAACAATAGTAAGAAAACCACTGACATTTAAACGTCAAAAATATTTCTGACAAAGATTGCAAAGCCTACTAAGGTTTTTTCATTAAAAATTCATTCCAACTTTCGATTAACAACCCTACAGGTTAACAGTTAGTTGCTTAATTATTTTTTTTCTCAGAAATTATTAAATTTTCAAAGAACTTCAAAGAGATAAAAAAGTTTTAGAATAGTTTTACCTATCTAACTGAAATTTTTCCAATGCATTTATCATCTTCATAAAAAAAATCTAGGCATAAATTGAACTGGGTGGTTACGTTTAGTAGTTTAGAAGGGTAGGTTGAAAGTCCAAATAGCATCAAAACGTGCCCTATTATGAGTTAAACATATTCCCTAAATTTCATTTTCCTAGCGTTTATGGTTTTCGAGAAAAAAAAATTAAACCAAAATTTTCCGCCATTTTTGGAGGGGTGTAGCTCCTTAGGGGAGCCGAAGTTGCCCATGGTTCATATATGAAAGTACCCTTAAAATTCACTAAAGAATCACCCCTTGAAGTTTGTTGCAGTCATTCAGATACGCCCTGTATATGTATACAGGGTGGTTCAGTTTTTAATCGGGAAACTTTACTAGGATGTAGTACTTGCCAAAATAACACAAATTTTTTATATAAACATAGGGTCGCAACTCATTTGTTTTCGAGCTATGAGCGATTAAAGTAGAGAAAAAAATTTACATTTTGTTTTGTATTTCGGCTGTAAGTAAACCGTAGAATTTGAAACTTTGTACGTATGTATTACTGGTTAAGACCTTATTTTCAAGCATACCTTAAACTTCCGCAGCGCCCTCTAAGGGGATGAAATTCATCACCCCCTTGATTTTTTTTATAATAACTTTTTAACGCTGTGGAATATTAACATAAAAAAATATGGGTTGTAAAGCTCATTCTTTAGTGGTACTTTTTTGTCTCTTTAGTATTTTCCTTAAAGTTAATAGTTTCCGTGTAAAAAAATAAAATATCGTGCCGTGTACCGCTATGTGCCGCCATGTTTAGCTAAAATTATTCTAAAAGTTGGCTCTGAGAACTTGTAAGTTTCATTTACAGTGAATCCTCATAATTATTGCTGGTTATTAATAATTTTTGTACTTTACAGTACAATTTAACATATTTTATTTTTTTACGCTAAAACTATTATCTTTAAGGAAAAAACTAAAGAGATAAAAAAGTACCAATAATGAATAAGCTATACAAACCATATTTTTTGATGTTAATATTCCATGGTGTTAAGAAGTTGTTATAAAAAAATCAAAGGGGTTGTGAATTTCATCTCCTTAGAGAGAGCTGGGGAAGTTTAAGGTATGGTTGAAAATAAGATATTAACCAGTAGCTCATAGCTCGAAAACAAAAGAGTTGCGACCCTATGTTTATATCAAAAACTTTTGTTATTTTGGCAAGTACTACGTCCTAGTAAAGTTTCCCGATTAAAAACTGAACCACCCTGTATATGAGCATTTTTTGAAATCGCTGAAATTTGTCTTTGCGGGATTGGATTAGTCTAGGAAAAAGAGACTGGGACATGGCACCTACTTTTTTCATATCTCTTATCGTTTTTGAGATAGCCTAATAATAATAACACCCAAATTTGCCCACCCTGTACATCAGAAATCACGTTAATAAATGAAATAACTAGTAATAATAGTAAAAATGGATGATGATAAAAGTAACGAAAGTTTTAGACATTCTAATAGCGTGTTGGCTATTATGTAGAATATAATAGAATATTAGATACCCATCAAAATGAATAAACTATTAGATTTAATGTAAATATGTATAAAATTAGTTGTTAGACCAAAAGAATTTCTAGGTAGATTTTTGAATTATGTCATAAATGCCACTATTATGATTTATTAAAAATGACACATAGTGAGGTAGCCACACAGTGTGAAAATAAAATAAATCAATTACCTTCGCTATCAAAAAATCGATTAGAATTATTTCCTTTTTGGGCAATATATTTCGGAATTCCGCCAAGTAATTCACATATTAATAAAATGTGATCTTCCGTGGAGCTGATATTGCTAGTTCTCCGCGGATTAAATAAATATTCTCCGGTAGCTAACTCGAAGGCCAAACAACCAACGGACCAAATATCCGCGGGAAAGCTGTACCCAGCGTCCAAAATAACTTCCAAAGCTCGATATTGTTTCGTTTGAATGTTAGTGGCGAAATGATGATCGTCCCAACAGGCGTTGCCTAAATCAGCGATTTTCACCTCAATATTCGACGATATGTACATAGGTCCTCGCATCACTGGTGATCGTTGCGTTTTTTCTTGGATACCATCTTCGTTTTTTATTGATTCATTACGAATTGAACGTGCTCTAGGCCGCGGTATCGTCGGTTCCGTTTCTTGGTTATCATTAAATTCTTGTAATGGTCGACAATACACATAATTTTCCCAAGCTTCAGCACTTACTAAGAAATTAATTAAGTACATAAAAAATATTTTCATTAAAATAATCTTACCATATGTTCGTGGCATTTGAACACCTAATTCAGTATATCTAGTACTTGTTTCAACCAAATTTCGAATATACTGGTCCTTAACTTTAATTAGAATATTCTCGGGTTTAATGTCCGTGTGGATTATTTTACAGATTTTGTGCAAATAAACCATGCCTTTAAGAACCTACAAATAATTAAAAAAAAATTAAATGAAATTAAAACAATGAAATAATTAAGTACTTGAATTAGAATGTTTTGAACTCCGGGTAAATGAATGCCGCAATAGTCGCTTTGTATCAAAAGGTGTAACAGAGATGGTCCCATCAGTTCAAAGGATATGCAGGTGTGATATCCGTTGATGCTCATCACCTGAAAGTAGTCGAGCATTTGTATGATGTGTTTATAGCCGGCGTGGTTTGGATCGGCCGATTTAATGCTACGTAACAATTTGATTTCATCTTGGGCAACGCAATTGAACATTTCCGCTGATTTTACAATCTTAATTGCTACATATTGAGATTCCGCACTAAAATAAATCAAAAAATTAATTGTTTAATTAATTGTAATCTTATTGTGTATACCTAGTTTTTATGTCTCGGCATAACCAAACTGTGGAAAAGTGTCCATATCCAAGTTTTCTAATCACGGCATAACGTTCAACCAGTTCTTCTCCTACCTTAATTGGTTTGTAACCACCATAACAGTAATCGGTGGCGCTTTCTTGTTCGACAAATTCATCAGCTCCGGCAAGAACTTGTAAATCTTCGGCACTGAGGTGCTCGATGGCTTTTGATGGTTCAGATCTGGAAATACAGCGATTTAGTTAATACATTTATTTAAATTAAGAATTGAATAAGTAAGTGATTCACCTAAGCATGATGGGACTGCATGATTTAGAAACCTTTGGTTTGTGCAACTTTGGTTTTAGTGTTCTGGGTTTTGGAATAGGGGGAAGTGGAAGATCTGGTGAAAAAGCGAAAGGTTCGCGATCCTTTTCCATTTTCTTGGAATAATTGATGAAGAGAATTAGGATTAGGAAACAGATAAAATAAATCACAAGGGATGCGTGGTTGCCGTACTCAATGACAAACTGTACCGCGGTGGGTTGTTTGTCAATTGTTTGATTTGAGCATACTAGATCTTCCATTTTTTTGAAAGACAACACGCAGACCCCTCTATCGCAGACGCACACAAAACACTATTTTATATTTATAAAACCCAATAATAGCCGGTAACACTATCAATGCCAAGTTTTATTGGGACGATGTAAAAATGATTTTTCCGATTAAATGGAAACTACAAAGTGCACCTCGAATTTGAACTGAGAAGTATTGTTTTTGCGCAAACGCAACCGGATCTCGGCCGACTATACCGGGAACGTCTTTTGTTCAAAGAGTTTTCGCGCGAAATTTAAAAACAAACATTTTTGGCACACGTTCAACTATTAGCCTACCGACACCGCGGATTCGGACGAACTCAGAAATAATTTTCAACCGACGATTATCGCCACCCGGTTAAAATAAAACACCAATAGTAAAACGTTATATATCTATCTTTTTTCTTACTCTTTACTTCAAAATAAAAAAAAAATCTTATAAAAATTAACAAAAATCTTTGAAAAATATTTAATTATTAAACTTACCGTAATGTTCTACTAGAATCGAAAGGTAATTGTTTGTGCCTTTCGACAGGTGAAAGAGATAAAGAAAGATAATCAGTAGAAATTGTGTCAGCAGCCAATTTTCTTTTAGAATATTCTTTGTACCCAAATTCGGTACCCGAACGATCGTAATTAGTTCTGCACCTTCTCGAAATGAACTCATCATCATCATCGCGGTTGCGATTTTCGACCAGATTTCCCGTTCCGAGTTCGTCGAGATTCGTCGTTTGATCTCCTCCGGTTGTTGTTTTCGCTCGAAGAAGAAGGGTATTGTCAATATTTTGTTGGTGATTGTTCTCGACACCATCGCGACTGGTCGATCTCGAGGGGGCGCCTCGGCCGGCCGGCTGAAGGCTGCTGGGGACTTCCGGAGCCAGGATGATGGCGTTTCCGGTCGAAGTACCGTCCGAAAAAATTCTCCTACCGAAAGCGCTCTCGCTGGATCTCGGCGTTTATCTCCAGAGACGCCCAACCGATCGGTCATAATGGCAATGGGACACCGGTTTTGTCACAATGTGTCTCGCCTCGCGACATAGGTATTGCGAAGGGCGTCGTGGGTCACACAGGACTGTAATATTCGAGCCCTTTTTTCACACCGACGCATGCGTCTGGTAGAACATTGTCCAGAAACCGTTCGATATTCGACCTCTTAACTTAGGAATTAAATTGATTTACGAAATACGCATTTATTTAATTTATTTTTATTAAAAAAAAACATCGTATCTCTTTTATTACGCGGATTGCGTTATTAAAAACTACTTTACAAAAAATTTATATAAAAAGTTCTTTCAAATTCTTTCTTTTGTTAGTGGGTCTGATTAAAATCAATATATTTTTTACACATTTACATTCTTTTAATAAAATTTTGCTTAGTCACTAACTAATGGAGAAGAAGATGTTGTTAACAATTATCTATGAGTCAACCACAACAAAAATTGTATCCGTTTGAAGAACGGCTGAACACCAAAACCCCCGTAGGTTAATTCAAAAAACAAAATAACTCATTAACTCTCTAATAAGAAGACGTTTACACTCAAATCGCCGAGGTCGCTTGCGGAATTTGATATATCAACACAAAATCGTCAACCTTGGAGGATCTAGCGCCTCGCCCGCAAGCGACCTCGGCGATTTGAGGCGAAATCGTTCCTTATATATCTTGGTTAAGATGTACACTCTCCAATAAGACGATTTTTATCCTCAAACCGCCGAGATCGCTTGCGGGCGAGGCGCTAGTTTTGATATATCAACACAAAATCGTCAACCTTGCAAGATCTAGCGCCTCGCCCGCAAGCGACCTCGGCGATTTGAGGCGAAATCGTTCCTTATATATCTTGGTTAAGATATACACTCTCCAATAAGACGATTTTTATCCTCAAACCGCCGAGATCGCTTGCGGGCGAGGCGCTAGTTTTGATATATCAACACAAAATCGTCAACCTTGCAAGATCTAGCGCCTCGCCCGCAAGCGACCTCGGCGATTTGAGGCGAAATCGTTCCTTATATATCTTGGTTAAGATATAAACTCTCCTATAAGACGATTTTTATCCTCAAACCGTCGAAATCGCTTGCGGGTGAGGCGCTAGTTTTGATATATCAACACAAAATCGTCAACTTTGCAAGATCTAGCGCCTCGCCCGCAAGCGACCTCGGCGATTTGAGATGAAATTATTCCTTATATAAAATTTAATTTACTGAAATATCTTAAAAAACTTTAATTTATTCAGAATCATATATCTCGTGATATCAAATTCCATGTTTTAATTAAATTTTGTTACATATTGAAATGTAATACTATCGATCATTATCCGCGAGAACAAAGTGGTTTAGGTGTTGAAAAAAGAATAAAATTTTTAATAATTTCATCATAAAATTATGTAATTCTATCTATAGAAATAAAAATAAGTACATGAAAAAGTTATTAGGGATTTATTAGGAAGAGAATTTAAATGTGTTTTAGAATGTTTCCGAAAAAGCAGCATCTGTAAATCAAAAACCTACCGTGTCAACCTCACTTTCCATTAATAGATGTCAGTAGAGGCACAAATCAAAGTTGAAAAGCCAACAAATTAAGAAGAATATTTATTCATCATATGCAATTGACATAGAGACTCACTTTAATGGATCAATTAAAATCAATGACGTCCAATTTAATTGTGTCCAATCTAAAAAATTATCACACTGTAAACAAAGATGCTTGAAAATTTATTAGAATTGTTCTGATCATGCGTAGTTCGCCCTAAAAACGAACAGCTGGCTGTTAAACAAGTCCCTTCCTTTGCCGCTACCGCAGTATTTGTCGTGGCGTCGGCCGCGACGGTTGTAATGACGCAACCGTTTGATTTTTTCTATTAAATCGTGATAACACAATTAATTTTTTTGATGAGTTACTTGGATGGGTTACAAGGCTGTTGGTTAAGATGTCGATGCGATGGTATTGAGAAAATTTAAAAGGCACACGGCCGTTTGTGCTGTCGTCGACGTGCTGTTACTTGCCGTCGCCGTGCACAGCCTCTGCACGCATGTTCATCCGAAACATGATCAGGTAAGGTTATAACTTTTCGATACATCTTTAATATATCAAAAACTTTTGTTATGTTATTACCTTAACTTTGCAATTGTGTATGTTAATAAAGCTGTGAAACGGGAAATTTATCAAGGACGATGTTTTTGTTTTATGATTGAAACTTGAGTAAACAATTTTGAAACTAACAAGAAGAAAATGAAATTAAAAATTAATCAAGTTAAAATAAATACGCTGTATATTAATAACATATTTGTATTGGTATATTGTTATGGATATAGTGCATGCATTTTAACCTGAATTTTGTGTGGGTTTTTAAAAAGAATACTATATATTATTGATTTATGTCGGTTATATTAAATTTTAATATGATTCACGTGCGTTTTTTTATGTATTAAATTTAAATGCTCATTAAACGCTTTGCGACGAAACGTAGTTTTTTCTTTATCGTTAAGACCTGTTTTTGCATATTAATCAGCGTCAGATTTTTTTTTAAGTTTTCTACAACAGAAGCTATTTGTTATTCGTCATTCGTTTTAAGGCCGTTACATGATTTCTTTCTTTTAAACAACGTTTCGCTTTTAAACCTCATCCTTTCATATATCTTTATTTATAATTTTGTTTTTGAAAAATTTTTTTTTGTCTCTTTGAAAATAAATTTATGTGATATCCGCCTCGATTTCAATTTCTAATAATACACGAGAACAAAGCTCGAGGTCCGCGAAAGACTTTCACTATGCGGTGAGAAGTTTTCTGTAATTATGTCCTCGAAATGACTAAAAAGTGTTTCCTTTTCAAATTAAACCCATCAACTTATTTATTTTTTTGGAACAAAATTATTCGGGACTGATTTCTACCCACCTGGCCATTATCAGGAGCGCGACAGATTAAGATTAAGTTGTGGTGTTGGTATTATACTAGTTTGCGGTCATATTCTTGAAAATTATTTCTATAAATAATATTAATCCTTGGATTCTCAACTTCTTTACTCCTAGAAACATCATAACAAAGTCATTTCAATAACATATTTCTTGTTCATTTTATCTAATTATCAGTTAATTTATTATTTTTATCAATTTGGGCTAATTCACCTGCAATGTTCGATCCGCGTTACGCATAGATATGCGGTTAAAAAAGTTAATTGTTAATTAAGGTTAATTGTGACGACGTTGAGTGTTACGCGGTTTTGTTAATCGATAAAATTTAATTAATCCACATTGTAAACAATGACACATTTTTGGGATACAATCGGGTTATACAATCCATTTTATATAAGCTTCACTTGTTTCAAAAATTACATGCTGTATTGTTATGAAAAAAAGTTGTACTTTAAAAACTGATATCTTACAAAATAAATAATATTTTCAAAAACGGTCTTTTTCGCTGAAAAGCTCACATTTTATTCTATAATTTTCAAAAATTACTTTGCAATTTACTTTATATAAAAAAAATCAAATTTAATTTGAATTTATTTTTACTTAGATATTTTTTTATTTTTCATTTAATTAGTTTCTGTGGGTTGGCTACTTATATTTACAGTAGCAGAGACCTTTAAAGGTTTTGCTTTTATAGCGACCACCTCCGTACAGTAATTAAACGTTAGATCGACAATTTTCGCTATTTCCAGGTCCTTCACGGTGTTTACATAGAGCCCGAGCATGTTATGAAGAAAAGAAGCGTCGATCAACCTCTAAGAATATTGCTTTGGTACGATCATAGTGTTTATAGGTAAATTAAAAATATATATAATTTTTTGTATAAATTTTTTTGTTTTTTTTATAGATTAGATGGCGAAAAATTTGATTTAATTAACGTGAGTATATGGAGTTTTTAATTAAATAAAAGGTTTTTTTTCATCCCCAAAATATAAAAGGTTTTTTTATTAACTCTAATTAAAATGAATTTTTTTAGAATACAATTTTACCTCGCGCTGTAAGTTTTTGGGAAGAAGCACTTTACGTACGTAAAGTAGAAGATGTTATATTATTAACGAGAAAATGTAACGATTCGAATGTATTCGTAAAAAACAATTTAACACATTGCATTGATGCTTGCAAAGAGAAGACAATGTGCGGTGAAGTAGAACTTCCCGAACATCATTTGGACGCATGTAGGACTTGTAACGCTTCTGCTCAAGATTGCACCAATACGACTTCCGCTGGTAAAGGTATCACAGGTTACGATTTCGTCTTTTACGTTTCTGCGATGCAAACGGACAGGTGCAATAAATCCTTAACTGTTGCATACGCGGCGCACTGTCAACAAGAAATGGGATTAGATCGGTAAGAACAATAATAAAATGTGTTTGGTGAGAATTTAAAAGAATTCTTTGCGATTTCAAAAGAGAGTGTATTGTGTATTTTGGAGATCTTTAGATAACAATGGTCTATTGTTAAAGAATCGGTAAAGAGTGGATTTAAACGGTGCAATCTTTTTCAATAGATACCTTAAAAAGCGATTCTTTGAAAACAGTTTTTTATTTCGCAAGAAACGTTGAAAAACAAATTTCTATATACCTATAATAGTTATTTGTTATTTTTAGGCCAATCGCTGGACATGCGAATTTATGCCCGAAAAGTATAAGTACAAAAGAGCAAGAACTAGAAACGCTCCTTTCGACTGTAAAGCATGAAATACTTCATGCACTAGGTTTTTCGGTGAGTTTGTTTGGTTTTTATCGAGATAGCAAAGGAAACCCGCTAACGCCTCGAAGACCTGAAACTGGAAAACCAGCACTGAATGAAAAATATCAAACTTATGAATGGAGTGATAAAGTAATAAAAACGTTCGAAAGGAAAAATTGGTTTGTGCGATCTGGTATGAGGAAACGAACCGTGCAAATGGTGGTTACCCCGAATGTTGTTCGCGAAGTACGCCGATACTTTAATTGTAATGAATTGGAAGGTGCCGAATTAGAAGATCAAGGCGAAGAAGGTACAGCTTTAACGCATTGGGAAAAACGCGTATTCGAGGTGAAAAAAAATTAAAACTTAAATTTTCTTTCCAGGAATCTTGTAAAAAATCAATTAGTATTCCTTCAAAATAATTTTTAGAACGAAGCTATGACTGGAACTCACACTCAACACCCAATCATTTCCAACGTAACCTTGGCTCTTATGGAAGATACAGGCTGGTACAGAGCAAATTACGCCATGGCTGAACCTATGTCGTGGGGTAAAGGCCTCGGTTGCGACTTCGTAATGAAAAGTTGCAAAGAATGGATCAGCACTAAAACCGCCAGAGGGTTATCAATTCATCCGTTTTGTAACAAAATTAAAAAAGATCCACTTCAAACCGAATGCACAGATGATCGAACTTCCGTCGCTTTGTGCAATTTAGTCAAGCATGATCATTTATTACCCGAAATTTACCAAAATTTTGATTCACTCAATTATGTTTTACAAGGTTCCGAAGGATATTATGGCGGATCTGTTTCATTAGCTGATTATTGTCCTTATATTCAAGAATTTACGTGGAGCTCGAAAAATGTTATTGTAAGAGGTTCTAATTGTCAATATTTAGATAATAATCCAAGTAAGTTCATTTCAAATTTACATATTTATAAATATGTTGTTAAATATGTTAATAATACTCTTTATTGACGCCTTATATTATAAAAGAGTATATTCACAACTCTCTAAAATCGATGGAAAATGACGATAAAAAGCAACAACTTCATCTAATTATCATATTTTCGTATTTCTCTCGATATTGGCGCATCTGACTGAATGCAATATTGTTAAGAATAAAATTTGCTACAATTTTTGCTCTACAAGTTTTTTTATTAAAAGTTTTTTATAATTGCTATATATTAAATAATCGATTTTTGGTGAATTTTTAAAAGTGGATTTGTTCTAAAATTTTTTGGCACTTTTGAATTTTAGAAATTCTCTTAATCTTATCTTAAATAGTTTCGAATTAAACTTTTTTGTATTATTAAAATTATATTTATTATTATAAATATTGTATATCTAATATATATCATTATTTATTTTAAGAACCAGATAAAAATTTTGCATTAGAAGATTATGGAAACCACTCAAAATGTTTTGATCATACAAATCAAATGTGGGAGGAACGCTCTTGCAAACAAATGCGTCAATGGCAACATTGGGGTTCAGGTTGCTACTCTTACAAGTGTGAAAACGGCCGATTACACATTTTAGTGGGAAATTATACCTACACTTGTTACCATCCTTTTCAAGAAATTTCCATTCGTATTCTCAAGGACGGTTGGTTACATAAAGGAGCCATCGTTTGTCCCTCGTGTAAAGATATGTGTGAGGTGAGAAAAATTGAAATATTTTTTTTGTTTTATTGTTTTGTTTAATTTAAAATAGGAGGAGTTTTTGATGAAAGGTCAAAGTTGTAAGTTAAGAGAAGAGTCGCCACCATCGACGGCGTATCCAAGAGATGAATTGCAGTGCAGTGCCATAGGTGTATACGTAAATTTGATGCTATTTTTGCTATCGACGATGATTCCTGCTTTATACTCTTTAAGATGACCGAGAAATGTCTTTTTTTCGCCAATTCCAATTAATTAATCATTTTCATTCCTTTTATTCATTCCTTTTACCACATTCCGTGAGGCGGCCAATAACCAGCCTTTTTTGCGATTAATGTCAATCAATTTTCGTGATTCGAATTATTACGAACTATGTATATTTTATTTTGTTTTATTATAGAGCGATTTGTACAGTATTATTTCTTTTATAAATAAAGAATTATATTTATGAAATTTGACTTTATACTGTCTGTATCCCGAATAATAAATAAATAACTAAATATAATTAGTGATGAAAAATAATAAAAAAAAATATTCAATATTGTTCTTTAATTTGATCTAAAAAATTTTATTACAATTCGTCAGTTTTATTTAATATTTACGTATAATAAAAATTTTCACTAACTATCACTGACAACAAAATACAACAGTCTTTATTTTATTTTTCAAATATCATTCACTATCGCTGTAAATAGCAGTCCTAACTTTACGCTCCATTTCCCGAATTTTTTCGTCACTTGAGTCAATACCTGTGAACCTATACGACATATCCTTTCGATATCTTATATACCAGAGCACCAGTAATATGAAAAATATCACAAAAAAGAACGTCAGGAGCATGAATATCCTAAAATACCATTTTTCGTCCTCTATTTTCACCCTCATCGATAATGGATAACAATACGACTCGGATTCTTTAGGATTTGTTAATATGGCGTCGGGATAACATTCGGTGCATTGATAATCGTTTGATCCCGAACAAATTCTGCAGGTGTAGTGGCAGCTTAGACAAACTTTCTTCGTTGATCCGATTTCTTCAGCTGTATCCTTAATTTTCGTTTCTAATGTACTTGGATAATATCTTTCTGGGCATTTATCTACACATTTTCCTTCAAATACAAACAAACCATCTTCGCATTCTGCAACAACAAAAATAGTAGCGTCTCTTTGCTAGTTAGAAAGTATATTATAAGGATTACTCGAGTTCTGACAACAATTTTATAGCCACTTGAAACTTACCTTAATATATCTTTTAATTTTTTGGGGGGGTTAAATGAAAACGGAGGGTATTCGACACAATTTATTTTTGCCTCTCTTAGTATTATTTTTTTTGATTCTTAAATAGTTTTACAAATATTCGACTTTTTACATTCACTGATGTATATATATTTTTTTTTGGGAAATTGCTTATAAGCTACACACAAAATTCCAATACATACGACCACTACACATCGATTAAAAATTCATTCGTTGTCGATCATACAACATTTACAAACAGACATCATCTTTAACATCATACTTTTCGTCTTTAATGATATATTCATAGTTGAATATCTTTTTGATTATGGATAAATATAAACGATAATACAACAAAAATAATTAATTAATTAAAATACTTTTTAATTTAATTTTTTTTTAATTTTACTTTTTTTTTGTTTTTTTTTTTAGTTTCATTTAATTTTATCCACAACCAACCAAGTTTGTTACAACAAAAACGTTTCCTTTGTGCACATCAAGCATAATAAATATTCTTTATCAACATTATTAAAATGCGATGTGTATAAACGTTTTCGTTGAAATCAACGCAAGGTTTCAGCAGCCAATAATAACGGTAAAAGTTTACATAGGAACTACATTCACTAAATTAAAAATCGTATTATCTTTTAAATAGATATATACACATATATAAATTTTTGTCTATCAGGGATATATTTAGATATTTGGAATATCATTATTATAATTGTTGAGGATATAATATTTATTGCTATTTATTAGCACCAATCCTAATCTTCCCAAAGATCATAATTAAGGATAAGAAAAATTAATAATATTATTAAGTACTAAAAAAGATCTAATAAAAATAAATCTGCCATGGAAATAATAAGATATAATAAGATGAAAGATGAAGAAATTGACTCAAAAAATGCCATCAATGATAACTTATAATGCCGTAATCTTGTGGCTTAGAGTTAATAATAAAATATCACCCAAAAATAAATAAAAATAACTTGTTTGTGTAACTTGCGTGACTTGTACTCATGAAACAATAAATTTAAAATAAAAATTCGGATCAAAATAAGTTGAGGAGCATTACCAAAAGTATTTTTATAATAAGTTCACAAAGTATTATTCAATTAATAATAATTTAGCATCATTCATTAGAATCTACACTGTTTTTCACTTCAAATTTTATGATTTCTAAAGAATTATTCATTTTAATAACTCCAAAAACGTTCAATTTTCGATATTTCATGTTTAAATTACCAATAACTTTTTGATTTGAATTTTGTTAATAATTTAGCATACCTCATTATAATCTATATCCATTTTATAATAAGTTTTGTAAATTTCAAACCAATATTCCAACATGAATGAATTTTAATATCTCTAAAAACGCCCTTTTCATGATAATTTATGATTTAATTGTCCAGAACTTTTTTATATCAATTTTGATAATCATTCGTTAGAATCTACACTTTTTTGGTCCAAATTTTACAAATTTCATGATTCCAATCATTTAGAATAATTATTGAGACCAATAAATCTTTAGATGAATACTTAATTATGAATCACTATTTAATTACTTAAATCAATTGAGTGTAGAGACACCTTGATATTATATCCACAAAATATTTAGTTTCAAAAATTCTCCAAATATTTAAATATAACCTCGACGCTTCTCGTCACTCTATTTCGTTTCAGATTTTTTTCATTTTATTATATACACATATACACAATAAATAATAAAATCACAGCATAATATTATTCTTTGCCTATCCGCTTTTAATTTAAATTTTATTATTTTTAGGTCGTAAAACGGTTGCTCGCGAAAGGTCACTATCTACCCTTAAAGTGTGTTGGTACGAATTTTTTTTTGAAAAATGTTTTTTCTTTAAGTAATTGCACTTGAATATCAAAACTGCACAATGATGTTTTTCTTTTTGGTGTCTAATTAAAAATGTTCTTTGAATGCAAAAATTAATTTTAATGAAATTTAAGTATAAAAACTTTTTATAGACACCGTCGACGCGTTAGGTTATCAAAAAGGTTAAGAAGATTTCCCTTGTTGACAATTATTGCCCCAATTGTTTATAACGGCGTGTTGTGCATTTATCAATTTTGCGCAATATAATATATCTACTTATTATTTAAATAAAAGATAAACAGCGCCCAATTACGTGTTAAATTGGACACATTCTTTGGCACAATTTAGATCTAAATTAAAAAAATAAAATAAATCTGATTTCGCTAAAATTAAGTAATCAAATTAATTCTTTTGCACTTGCGAGGTAGCAAAAAATAATGCGCAAGCGTAGAAGAACTGCCAAAAATTAAAACCCGTAAAATGTTTTCTTTTTTCGTTTTTACAAAAATGTAAATATATATTATTTTATATGTATATATATTTTTACGTTGTAAAATATCGACTATGTATATTCGCGAGTTTTATCACAACTGGTGAGGATTTGGACTCTGTTGGTCTGTGACTTATTAAAATTGTTGTCAGACTTGCCGCGGACGATGCTCGACAACATATCGATGATGTTTAAAAGAATTATTAACAACAAACCTATGCACAATCGGCCGTTCGACTTTTCGCACCCGGATATCGCGTTCACTTGCGGTAAATCTTCTTCGACTTCCGACGTATCTTTTCGAATCTAAATAAAGTTTTATAAAAAAATTTATTTCATTTTATTACAGCATTTTTTATTTACCTCTGCGTCACCGCTCCATGTTTTTAAAGGCGGTGTATCATCATCGACTGAATTGTTAGGAACCTCTTGAGGTACCGTTGGTTTATTAAAACTTGTCGTCGTTGAATCAGCTACTGGAGGTGTTGCTGTACCATAAAGTATTAAATCCCACGAACGAAATTCAACTAATAACAAAAAAATTTATTGAAAAAACGTTTAAAACTAAAAAGAAATTAATTAAACAAAAAATAAATCAATCCTATTTTTAAGAAAATCATGCAAAATACATTGAATCACCGCCAAAATTCGTGCACCTCAAGCAAAATATTTTATTGTTTAAAACCCACTATGAATAGCCGGTTCTTTTATGACGTCTAAAAAGTTGTGTATGTTTTTTCTTTTGGCACCGAGTTACTATGTTTTGTATACACTGTTTAGATGTGTATAAAATAAACAGTAACTCAAGTAGCAATACAAAACGCGTTTCCTTTGTATATTTTTACAAAAGAATCGTATCCGCACACAATGCAACATTGTAATTTTTAACTATTTTCAATTGAAACTTCTCGGAACTTTACAAAACAATTAAAATATATCATTAAACATGGTTTCCATTGAAGATAACGTCGTTTAACATTTCAATTCAAGTACCGTGAATTATATCAAGCACGTGCCCGTCATGCGACAACGTTATCAAATGTACTTTAAGTCAACAAATTTGTTTACAATATATTGATATGCAAATAACGTTTTTTTAATCGATTTCTAAACGAGTTTAAATAGTTGTTTTTAAGTTTTCATGTATATAATTTATTTTTCTAATTGATTTAATTAAATGTTGCCATTAAAAACAACTTAAATTTTTGCAATTATTCTAACGAAAACAGTTTAAATTTATATTTATCCAAGTTTATTTATATATATAAATGATTTTCGCCAATAACAAATAATCTTAAACAACAAATAAAGGTTTTAAGCTAGGTGGTCCTTTTCAATTTTCGAATGACAACCTATTATAGCCTATTATAGCCGCGTTCATTGTTTGTAAATCAAGCTAACCGCAAACGCAGCGTTTATCTTATTCTTTTTGCGCTAAAATTAATTTCAATTTATATTTTGGTCTAAATTAAGATTTAAGCAATAATATAGTCGGTAAAACTCATTCATTGATTTGGCTGATTGTAAAATCAAAAAAATAAGTTTTAAATTAAAACATAAATTATGTTGCCATCTAAAATCTAAAATAATTAAAATAGTTAGCGATACAAGGGATATAAAAGAAAATAACATGCGTGTTAGTGATTAGAACTGATTAGATGTAGCGGTTAGAACTGAAAGGAAACGAATAAAAAAAAATAACCAACTTGGACGAGAGGCGTCATGCAAAAACGTGACATGCAAACCGAAACGATCGTCGGCGGTTTGGTTTTTGAAGAGGGGAAAAAGGGAAGAGAATAAAAGAGCGTCTCTACAAACTCGTAATTACCGGCAGAATCATTACTCCCTAGCTTTGTTGGGAACGTTTCCGTGGCGGTCATTTTGGTCGTGGTTGGCGGCGTGGTGCTAGGGTATAATTTCGAGTTAATATTGGAGTTTAGGTCGCGACTTTTCTCTTTCTGCTTTTGCGCCTTTCGAAAAGAAGTGGGTTCTCTAGATTTGACGTTGTCAAGGGATGGTATCATCACTGGATACGTGATGGTGAAGTTTTTAAATAATTTAAAGTAATCGCGATCCGCTCCGTTTCGGAACTTTGAACTATTAACGGCGTAAAAAAATGATGATTCTGGTTTTTGATTTTTCTTTTTGTAAGGACTCGCGGTTATTTTATTTTTTGATTGTTTGTTTTGAGATTTATTCGAGGAAAGAACAATTTGTTTCGCGACTGATGTCGGTGGTACGGAAGGTTTTGCTCCCGCTTTGTTTCCACCGCCCCCTAGTCCCCCTTTCTGTTTCTTATTCGATTTCTTTTTCGCTGCCTTCGACGTCGTCGACGCCGCCTTCCCTTTTCCCAACGGACTCTTTTCTACGGGGCTAAACGATCTAGTCCCGTACAATATCAACGACCAACTCTGTAATGTCGCTCTTCCTGAAATTGGTTTTGTTAATCATTTTTGTTACCATTACCACGCTTTTTTTGTTTCGTTAGCATGTTAGTGTTTTAGTCAAGATGCTTCAAGAAAAAATCGAAATTCCCTTAAACATTATTTTTACTTACCTAAAAATCTTCCATCGTTATGGATCTCCAATTGCCAGATTCCGATCGGTGATTCACCCCATGAATGAACCGACATAAACGGCCAATTACTAAACCCAGCTCTTGTCATATCGTGAGGCCTGATAAATTTATTAATAAATCAAATGTTATCAAAACGATAAATTCGGCAAAAAAAATGCTTATTAACAACAATTTCGATTACATCATTTACAATTCTTCGATGCGCGTTTAATTTAGCGCTGATGCAGCAAAAAAATAATTCCTTGAATGTGTAAAAAAAATATAAAGAGCATCTTGTTTTTGTAGAAAAAAGTAATCCAAAGAATAATAAACAGTTATCAAGGTTATTTTAAGGTTGATAATAGTAAATTACGCGTCGTTAATCATTATATCACGAATCGTTTTTCCAGGCCGGGTTCCTTTGTTTGTTGTATTAATTCCAGTAAAACGATCGCTTGGAACCCGGGAAGTTTTTTTATTGATAGGGATTAAAAACCAACTATATGAGGCATTCAAACCGCAGAGATAAACGCTTTAATTCAAGAGAATATAAAACCATCAATGATAACAAATTTATAGACCGTTTTAGTTTGCAAGAATCATCAATGTTAAATATGTGAAGGACAAAACTCATTTGTACTCGTTTTCTCAATAAAAAACGTGAGGTCCGTTATATCGAGGTTTTACTGTATTATATTTCTTGTTAACCTTAAAATGATAAGAAATGTGTTTTACAAATTCCATTGCATTTCGGTAATGGCTCACATAAAGTATGCGAAGGACAAATTTGTTGTCGTGCAACCATAAAATGTCAATAATTCTACATAACTGCATTTATAATAAGAAGAATAATTTTTCTACTATAAAACAAAGAAATCCACTTTAATAAGAAATTGATTTAAAATACCTTACCTATGAGCTAGAAGTGTAACTCTGGTCCCTATCGGTGAAGTAAGTTGAATATTTAAATCACCCCTTCGATGTGAATAAATGGTGAGTTTAGCTTGAACGTGTTCTAAAACTTGAACCCCCTCGCATTCTGTAACTTGAAGGTTTAAAACGACCACACTCTTAGCAGGAATCTGTTTCTCGCCGTGCGAAGCTGTAATCTCGCACTTGTGCTGTTCCGGAACAGTTTCCCAAGTTCTCGCTAATTGCACCATGGCATAGGCGTCCATTAAGCCGTATCCAAAACTGTGCGATACATTTCTACCTACGCCGTTTGTCTGCCAATCGCGTGCTATTAAATTTTGAGGTCTCGCCGTCCTCACGACAATGTGCTGCATATCTCTCCACGTCAATTTCGGATTCGCTTCGAGTGCTAAAGCACAAATACCCGCCGCTAATGGTGCCGATGCGCTAGTTCCAGTGTGACTACTCGTACAAGAATGATGAAGATCGGTTGTCACCACTTGTTTTTCACCAACGGCACCGCTACTGTACGTAGACGCTAAAGTTGAACTACATGCTTCACTATACCAAGGTACATGACCCTGTTCTGTTGCACTGGATATCGATAAACTGTAGATCGAGTTCGTGTAACCGTCGCAATTACAATTGTCGTGATCTCGACCTCCATTCCCCGATGCCCAGATGAATATTGAACCTTTCCCGTTACGGCCTTTTGTAACGCCTTCGATAAACGCCCTCGTGGCCAATTCACCGGGACCGTCAACCGTTTTCCCATCATCATCCGGACCCCAAGATGCGCTATATATGTCTATATGTTGGGGATTTAAACTTAACGATCTCGCTTCAACAGCATCTGTCACGTCACCGTCTAACATTCTTACACCACCTACTTGAGCACCGTGGGCTACCCCCAAAGCACAAACGGAATTATTACTTGTCGCGGCTACTTCACCTGCACACCTCGTGCCATGACGATTCGAATCGATCATATCGTAACGAGGACTTGGATCCGGGTCTTGATTGTTTACGTCATAAGATGCCATTGGATCCTGGATTTAATTCAAATTTCAATTTAATTTCATGTCAGAAAGGAATTAAAACTTACATAGTTTTGAACTAAATCTGGATGATCTTTTTCTAAACCATCATCGAGAATGGTTACCACGGCTCCTTTTCCAGTTATTCCTTCTAACCATGCAGGGATTACGTTCATATCCAATCCGTTTCCGCGATTCTAATTTTTAATAAATCGTTACTTCAGTTTATAGAGAATATTTTAAAATTGATTAAAAATACGTTTCCTTTGAACGTTCTTAAAAATATCTTTTACACAAATATACAACTCCTCAAATAAGTATATTTACAAATTTACTTCAACCAATCAAGACAGGAAAAAAACAGGAACGTGTTCAGATTTTCATAGAAGATAAAAAAAAAACTCTTGAAATACTAACCAGGTACCACATGCTGGGCCACCGAGGGTCGGAATCCTGCAAGCGCAGGTCCCTCTTGACCCTCTTCTTGGCCTTTTGCTGTTGCGCCCATCGAACGCGCGTGTCGGCAGCCAGAAGGGCCTTTTTCCCCGCGTGCGACCTCACGGACCGCTTCGCGACCTTCCTATGTTGAAAATGGTAGTAGTCTTCGAAAATCTTCCAAGAAAATAAAATCACACATAATCATTTCATTTTTATTACTCACAATTGTAATTCAGAACTTGTGTGTTAAGGTCATTTTCGCGGAATAGAAGGGAGTAATCGATAGTTTTACTCGGTATTACTCAAGGTCTTGTAGATTACTATATTAAAAATGAAAATTCTTAAAGCGATATAAATCAATTTTGATTAAATTAAAAAAAATTTATTTAATTTTTAAGTAAAAATGAACATTAATTTCGGCTAACTTAAAAGATTCATATCCTAAGATCTAATTTTTCAAATCTGCTTGTTTTATTGAAAAGTAAACCCTTTTGTTGTTAATTAATGATAATTTTTATAAGAATTTTGTGATGTATAGATTTTTCATTCAATTTAAGGTTCAAAATTGTAGAGTCCCGGCCGAAAGCGACCTCGGCTTATTATATATAGTCATTATATCCGGGGTGTACAACTTTCTTTTGGAAATTGCACCAAATATTGACTTATGACCAAAATTAAAAATTGTTAAAAATTCTTAATTCTATCGAAACTTTATTTTTGGTTTATCCTTATCTTGGTTCCATTAATAAATATTATTATTCCCAATCTAATCTAATAAAATTTTTTATATTTTTGTGTTATGGATAATTTTAGATTTGTATGAGTGTTTCTTTGGTCGTAACTTTTGGGTGTTAAAAAAATTAAACATATGTTAATAATGAAAATATTAAATAATTTAAAAGGTGTTAATAGCAAATATCCTCCGAAAACATGGTTTGCGAGATGAAAACAGTTAGGTAATATTTACATTAGTAATTTTTGTAGACTGAGAAAAGCGGGTATACTGTTATTGTTTACGGTGAGCGTTTTTAGTTTCACCAATTCGGTTTTATAAATAAAGTCGGGCGGCGCTTTGGCATACGGCCACGTTTTGGCTCGACATACTCTATAAACCCCGGGATCGTTACGGACAACAATGCCGCCCGAGGATCGGAGCGCGCGGGGCGAGATTTCGGCATTGTTGCCGCGTGTCGCCGCAGAAATTGCCGCTAATGGATTAATTAGTATGGGGCACATTCGCAGTCGGGTTCGCGGTGGTGACGCAACTCGACTTAACGAGTTAAATAAACCGGCAGAGGTTCATCGTCTGATCTCTAACCCCGTTTCGAAAATTGATAGTCAGAACAGTACCATTCGTAGTACTATCATATACGACCCCATTTTATTTTATGCATTCTATATTAGGACAATAACACTTAAATTAAAAATAATTTGAGATAACTCTTAAAGGGGATTATTTTTTGGATTTCAAAAAAAATCATTAATCAAGATCTCCAAGATTCTTGACACATATTTCATTTATATGAATTTTTAAATGTTTTATTGTTTTATTTATCAGTTAATGGATTAATTAATCAAAATGTAAAAAAAAAGTTGATTAAGGTAAATTTTAGAATATATCACAATAATTATTGTTGTGTCTCGAGAGTTGTTATCTACAAAAAATCTATGTATTTCAAGATAAAATTGTATAGATGTTCGAAGGGAAATAATACAAGGTAAAGGAATGCGGTCGTATTTTAAAAGGGATCCCGTAATTCAGGTACTTTAGAACGATTTACCTGAGACTTCGGGGGGTTTCTTTCCCTTTCTATTCTGGATATTTCTTTATTTTTTGAGATGGAATCTGAATTACAAAAGGAGATTGTTCAAAAAAATTATTACCTCTCCCAAATTAACGAAACCGTGGTCTCTGGCGACGGCATCGGCGACGTCGCTCCCACCATCCACATGGAGCACCCATTGTTGAGTATAATAACACTGGGATTGTTTAATAAACAAGGAACAAACACATAGTACCAGCAGGTAAATCATCATCGTCGTCCGATGTGTTGTGAATTTCCGCGTTCGCACGACTGACTACTGGTTATTTGTAGGTCAGACGATTTGAATATCATTTAATTATTATTCGTCCGGGACTTATCTCGCGTAAATCTCGGTACTAAAATGTTCACGTTTAACCGCACTGAAAGACGGGGCACTTCTACTGTCGGCGCGTCCGTCATTTCCTACGTTCCGGACGCGCATATTCCTTCGCGTAGACACCAAACCGTTCGCCCCCCAATCTATGTATTTCCCCTTAAAAATACTACGTGCGTTTACAGGCGACACACACGTTGTTGTCGTCGTTGATGATGCACTAACTTGACTATTACGATGACTAAAACTGAATGAGGACGATGACTACCTGCACGAGTGTGTCCCGTTCGAGTTCGAGTTCCCACTCGGAGAGTCTCAACTACGAACCACACGAATCGCTTTCGTAGCGATCACGCTCTGACTTTCCCTCAACCACACTATTCTGACTGCTCTAAAACCCATCGGAGAGACAGATTCGGCGCATGTCTTGTCAGAATCCATTGCGCGCGCTCAACGATTTGCTCTCTTATCTTTTGGAATTTTCGAATTTCATCGCGACCCGACGCCGATAACGATGTGGAAAAAACGTGAAAATCTGGCCGCGATTCGACGCCGTTTCACCATTTCTCCATCGTTCCCGTCACAAACTCCGCTCTCTCATGGCAAACAGCCAAAAAACCCCTTTTTTTACTTTATTCGATTATCTCTTCTTATACAGCAATTTACGCGAAAATAAATTTCTACATCACAACTTCCAGATGTTTTCTTATCAATTATATTTAACATTTCGATTTGACCTCTCTCTGGGAATATAGTTGCATAACCCTACAAAAAAAAAAGAGATATTAATTATATCTTCTAAACAAATCTTACTTCCAATAATAAACATTATAATAAATCAATAACTTCATTTATTTGTTGATTTATCATTTTCTCTCATTTAATTATTTCCGCTTTACGTCATTGTAGTTGCATAACTTCAATTGGATAATTTTTTACCTTGACTTCATTAAAATCTTTAATAATTTTTATTTTTCTATATATTAATATATTATTTTCCTTCCTCTTTTTCCTCCTTTTTTTCCGCGTTTTCCATATCTAGTGATATCAGGAGGCAGTATTCACGGTTTGAACTCTTCCTTTTTATCTCGTCTATTATACTTTTCACTCCTAATAGTCCTATTTCTCTATGGAGCTTCATGTAATGATTTCGAAGAGCTTGCTCGTACTGTTAAACATGCATATTGGTCTAAATGTAGGTTCTTCTGCTTTTTCGATAATTTAGCTTTACAACCTATTATAGTCGATTCCGAACCATTCAATTATAAATTAATTCCACAATAGAAATGACTTGATAATTAGTAGATATAATAGAGATATGATGTAATTTTTTATGGAGGCTTAACTTTGTTTAAACTGGCTGATCAAGAATTAATAAAAATTTTGGAAATAGTTTGATGTAGTGGCCATCTTTATTACAAAATTATATTAAAATATATTTCTTTTCGGGGCGCCATCTCTTAAATGAAATTAAAACTAAAATTGTTTGTAACAAATTTAACATAAACACAGTTATTTTCATTTCCTTAATGTTTTATTAAATTATTTTAATAATTTATAATAAGCTATTAAAATGTATTTATGTTTTACTAGCGTCCTCCTTTAGAAAGCATTAAAATTAAGTGCACAACTGTCAAAACCTTCAACCTGCGACTAATTTCGTAGTATTTGTGTGCGGGAGCGGCCAATTTCATTTCTCACCGATTTTTCATGCGACTCGGTTAATTTATTTTTGTTAATTTAGTTTTCACACCAACTACTCTTTCGAAATGGATCTCAACTTATCCGTGTTTCAAGAGCCTCGGGGCGTTATGCGTATATTTCATTTCGTAAGTATGTTCCTGAAATTCCCTTTTTATCGCTACCTTCAACGCACTTGCAACAGGAGGTGACGAATATTTTTGTCGACAGGTGTTCGCGATTGTAGCCTTCGCCACTACCGTCGACTTCTCCAAGTCGATAATGGTTAATTGTGATGGAAACGAAAATGAATTTATAATTGATTATCCTTTTGATGTGACCGAAGAAAAATTTTTTGCTAACTGTACTGTTACACTTTATGGAAATTTTTCATCTGATGCGAAATTTTACGTTTGTACCGGGGTTTTATCCATGCTTTATGCTGCTGCTATATTAGTGATTTATACTAAGTTTGACCAAATGTATAGGGATAATGAGAATTTACCACTTATTGTAATTATTAATAATCATCATTAGTTAACATGTTCACTGCCAGAACTTTTTTAACATATTTCATCTTCTCCTAATGGTAGTGAACATGTTAAGTTTAATTTAAATTGAGACCTCATTAAAAAAAATTTTTTAGGATTTTATTTTATCAGTTATATTATCAATCTTTTGGTTATCAAGTAGTGCAGCTTGGGCTAATGGATTATCTGGTTTAAAAAGTGCTGTAGGAAATTTAAATATAATGGAAGGTTGTCATTGCACGTCTTCAGGAATAGGATTCTCTTCATTAAACATATCCATAGTAAATATTGTTTTATTTTTAATTAATTTTCTTATATAACTTTGTTTTTAGGTGGTAGGATTTTTAAATTTCTTCCTTTGGGCTTCGAATTTGTGGTTCCTGTACAAGGAGACGAAATGGTTCCAAAAACCGGTACCCTCTTCCCCTGCTATTTAAAGAGGACGCACAACAAATGCAGGATGAAATAGTTTTATCACCTAGTCACCCCTTTTAGGCTTTACCATCTTTAATTATGTATATAAACCATTGGCTACTAGGATATTTGATATCCTTAGAAATAATCGAGGGTAGCTAAGGTTCATTCTGATATATTTTCCATCATTAAGTAGGTATATTTCGCATGCGCAATCAATACTTTTTAAGAGCTATTCTTAAAGCGCACGCCGAATTTGGTTTGAGAAAAACAACTTAATTTTTATTATTATTTCTATATATTTTTTTTTTTTTAATAATAATTTTTATTTTTTTAATATTTTTCTAAATGATTTACAAAAAGAAATATATTTAAAATAAAATATGTATAACTCTGTAAATAAGATTACAAAAACCTTGTTAGTATTTTTCTGATAAGTATTTTTTGATTAATAATGGGCGAACCCATCTTGTTTATTATGTTATAATTTACTTAAAATAAGTATTATTCTTTTTTGTTTTTTGTGTACCAATTACACAAGTTAATGCCAAATAAAATATTAACAAATGTATTTTTTTTTCATTACTTAGGTTATTCCCCTTACAATTTAAAATTGAAAATAAATTATTAATTTTTTAATAACTTCCCAAAAAAGTGTCGATTCAAGTATATTTTTATGATGTGCTCATTTCGTGGAATTCTTCAACAAAAAAGTTCTCATTTGTACCTTTTTTTTATCTGGAACAGGTCCAAATGATCAATACGGAACGACATCTTTCTTCTTTCGGTTCCCACAACGTCGAGTTGTTCACTAAACTACAAATTTATCCAATTTTCATATTTCCCTCCAATTTGCTACAATTTTTGTTCTAAAAGTGTTTTTAGAACATCCGATTTTGTTCTAAGTTTTTTTTATTAAAATAATTTTAAGACAAATTTTGTAATTTTTAGTACTACCTTAACCAGATTCTACTCACCTTTAATTTATGAAAAATACATTACCTGAGTTTTAGAATAATTTATTTTTAAATTTGACACGGAATAAATGATGATCTGGGGTAATTTAAAAAATTTCATTTAAAACATATTCTTTATATGATTAAAAAAATGTTTAATCACGAGTGTAATAACTTTGGAATGAAAAAATGTCTTAATTTTATTTAGTAATCTCCCTATGTCTATTACGAATAATATAACAAGGTTGCGGTAGTGTAGCCTCTTCGCCGATAAATCAATAAGTAGCGAAACGATGTTTCTGTAAAGAATTTATTTGTAAAAAGCCTTACATATCGTATTTACAGATAATCACTCTGATCAATGAATCGTAAAATACAGAACAATTTCAATTGAAAATATAATGCGCATATGCACGTTTTAATTCTTTCTTCTTTATATTTTTGTAAAATTTTACAACTCTTATTACAAACACCAATGACTTAAGCCGTCTTAGACCATCTAGCTAACGCCGCGCGCCGGTAGACACCGTTCATCGGGAGATCATAATTTAGATCGTATTATTATGTTGATATATATATTACTGCTAGCATTAAAAATCGGTTTATTATGAATAAATAAATAACTGATTTAGGACTCTAGTAGTAACATATATAAAGTCTATAAAATAAGGTAGGTTTGCTTTTGTTGCGCAGAACAAATGTAAAGAAATATAAAAAAAATATTGAAGGAGAAAATGAAGATTTGACCACCGTTAATTATAAATAATAAATTTAATAATAATAATAATAAAATTCTGTTTACTAAGTGACATTATTGAAGAAAAGTAATAATAGTAAAAAATGGGTGCCGCCGGAACGAAACTTGATACCATTTTTATTGTATTTTCTTTTAAATTAATATTTCCTTTTTTTCTTTTTAAAGAACTAAATAGAAGTGACAGGGACATCCTCGAATTAATTATCCATAGCGTATCGGCGCGTCCATTCTTTAGCATTACGGATTGCCTCGGATTCGTTGACTTTCCATAGTTCAGCCACATCATTGGCAAGCGGATCATCAGGATTCGGGGCACTCAACAGCGCTTGAATTGACAACAGAACCGTACGTATTTGCAGAGCAGGGCTCCATTTGTCTTTGAGTATATCCAGACATATACGACCCAGCCTATCAATATTTGGATGATATATTTTGGTTATAAAACGTACTTTAGGCGCGGACATTGGATAATCTTCAGGCAGGAAAAGTTCTAACTTAAATACACCGCCTTCGAATGGGGAATCCTCAGGCCCCGTTACAATTACATGAAAATAACGTGCATTGTCATCATCTGGTACGGCACTAATTCCCGGCACGGGTTCTTGCATTAAACGTTGAGTTTCTTTTATTATCCGGCGAGGTAAGGATGCCATTTTAACAGCGACCCTTGTGATTTGTTCCTTTTTTTCTTTTATCTATTTATTTTTGTGTTTCACTTACGGTTTCTTAAATGCTGATCTCGTTTCAGTTCTTTTACTCAACGGGCAACCTTTTCATTATATTTTAACACCCGATTACTTCCGCTTGATTTAATTTTGGTTCTTCAAGAACTGACATTACATATCTTTTACACGTTAGAATTGTCCACTATCATTACGCATGCGCCAGTTAAACTTCAATCCGAACAATTGAAAAATATCTCTATGTCACTCACACTTACATTATTTCATATATATACATCCTTTTATGGCTACATTCATAAACGCGATGTTTTTCCCATTTTCTTATCATTATCTAAGTATTAAACGTAAAACGATATCATTTCTTTCAATATTTTATTGAAAATTTTGTTTTTATGTCTCAATACATCGTTTTCTTTTATTTCTTCTATTTCAAATTTTTCTTAATCAATTCTTATTTAATTTTCTATCAAGCTAAAAATAACTATTTTTTTGTAAATATATAATAAAAAAAAGTTCTTGGTTGTTTAAACGATTTTTCCTTCATTTCATATCGTTGAGGTTATGTTGTTACTAACTAAATGTCAATGTCAATTCGATCTTTTAATTTGAATTGTACTACGATAATGACTTAATGAATTCGCTCTTTAAGTTTTATTCTATTCAACTAACGCAAATGTGGTTCTTAATTTTCTTGAGATTTCTACGACCGAGATAATCGTTTCTCTTCTTCTTAAGAGTTCTTGAAATACAATCACGTTACCAACCTTGCTCCGCGACCTCAAAGATTTATTGTACACCGATAGATAACATTATCAAATTTCATCGTAATGCCAAAAATCGAGAATCTGATGTTTGGCCATCGCAAATGCGCTCATCTGCTGCTTCATTGCCAGCAACCCCAGAGTGACGTGGGACCCAGATCAGAGAAACTGTCTTATCACAACTCAGTGTGTTTAAAGTTCTTTTAACACCGTTTTCACGGCTTGCAGCGCCTGGAGAGCGGCTTGACTGCCAGAAAAATCGTATTGTCATGTTTCTTTCTCAAGAAGGATTTTAGCACCCATGTCAATATTAATTTCCAGCCTGGAATACAGTACAGTACGTACCCAGGCTGTAAGCTTCCTTAATCCGAAGTATCTGGCAGTATACATGCAAATATTTTCCTCAACCAGAGAATTTTCGTTTTCGATCCAGGACTGCCATTAATTTCTCTCGATATTGACGCATCTAAGAGCAAAAGTGCAAGAAAGCAATATTGTTAAGAATAAAATTTGCCACAATTTTAGTTCATGATATAAGAAATAATCTCGGCCGACTTCGAAGACGTCGGCCGCCCTAAGTACTGTTCCTTGGGGTTACTTCGAGATTATTTTTTCCATACATTTCAATCAGGGTCTACTTAGTTTCACGCTCCGAATCCCGAGTGATAGCATTAACAAGTTATAAAACTACGAATTAAGCAAATTCTCATTTGATACTTGGTACGTTATTTCTTCCATAAACTTCAAGCAGGCTATCAATAGCATGTAAAACTACGAATTCATCTAATTTTCATATTTTTCTCGATATTTACGCATCTGAGCAAAAACGGAAGGGAGTATAGTCTCCGATATTTCTGGTGGTTTTTATGACGCTCAGAAACAGTAGTGGCAGTAATTATCACCCGGAAAAAGTACCTGGACATGATTTATGATAGGTCCTCCTAGGGAAATAGGTCCAGGGACGCACTTCTTTTTTATTTTATTTTAAATTCAACAAAATAAAACAGAAATGTAGTAAAGAATATAAATTTACTTATATTTAAATGATTTTACAAAAAAAAGCAAGTATTAATTTATAATATAAAAATTAAAACATATTTTTTATAATTATCTTAGAATTAGTGTGAAAAGATAATAAATTTTATAATAATAATCATAAATTATTTAAGCAAATGTACTTTTTTCACACAAAGTAATGATATTTAAGTTTTTAAATATTATGTTATTGAAATTTTCGTTAATGTGGACCTGAACAACTCACGCCAGAGCTTGGGGTTCGTAAACTACCTGTATACAACCCCATCTTTGTTCGTTATATGACTGCAATTAAGTCATAAAAACCACCAGAAATATCGGAAACTATAACATTGTTAAGAATAGACACAGTCTTTCAGGGGTAATTTTAGATAGTGACACTCTCGCTGATCACATCGCACCTTGATTCAAATCATCCAATTGCTTCATGATTGACGAATTCTTATATTAATAATTGGCTGATATTTCGGCTTATACCAACCAAAATCCCAATATCAATCAATTTGCTTCACACATTACTAAATGCTTACAGAAACTTATTTATTCTAATCAGGGGTATATAAATAAAGCAACTAAGGGATTACTATACTATGTGATAACAAAGTGTTATCACATTTCAGTTTTGCTGACTCTCACAACTCTTGTATATGATTACTGTTTAGGTAAGTACATGCAGCATTGGTAATTCGCAATTTACTATAATTATTATAGTTGGAGAAAAACATTTAAGGGTTAACATGGTCTGTAAGAATTTTTTAAGACTAGCTTTATTAAATTTATAATATATTTAAGGACTTGATTGCAAAATTTAGGATGAAAGAAAAAATCAGTTGAAAGGGCGAAAAGACAGTTTATGGAGGATATGATATAATATTAATATATAATATTTCAAAGAATATTTATTCACCTTGTAAGTATAACAAATAAGTTTACTTAATAGAACTTTGAGTGCTGCTCTTGCTAGCAGAGCGGCGTCTTTTAATTAGTTCATCTCTACGTGCTTTGGATTCCTTTTTACGTTGAGCCAGCAACTTGGCGTAGTTATCAGCTTGTTCTTTACGTTTCAAGCAACGTTTCTTCTTCAAAGCTAACCTATGACGTTTGCGCTAAAATATAAAAAAAAATATTATATTTATCTATACATAAATTAGAAAAAAATTTAATGTAACTTTTTTTAACTTCTTAATAGTCATTAACTATTAAGATAAGTTTTTAAAGTAATGCTTTTCCACGCATCTGAACGTTTCTCAAACAATAAATTTAGTTTAGAAACTGCCTGTGCATGGGGAAAATAAAAATAATATGTTTGAATGGAAATTATTTACTTGTAATACAGTTGGAGTGATTAAACGTTGAATTTTCGGTGCCTTGTACCGTTGTTTTGTCTTGCCCTCTTTAAGGGGTAATGGGCGCTTGATGACATATTGGCGCACATCATCCTCTTTGCTCAAGTTGTAGAGTTTACGGATTCTCGAAGCTCGCTTAGGCCCTAATCTTCTGGGCACTTGAGTATCGGTCAATCCAGGAATTTCAGATTCACCTTTGCGGGCAACAACCAACGCCAAAACACTCAAGTTACCATCAACGATGCATCCTCGCACAGATTTACGTTTACGCTCACCAGTACGACGTGGACGGTAACAAGAATGACCTTTTGAAAGTAACAGGCGGACTCGAGCTGTAAAGAAAATTGAGAAATAAAAAAATATAATTTTTTTATTTTTTGATTATTATTACCGTTAGTAAGGACACCTTGTTTCATAGGGAAACCTTGTTTATCGTTGCCTCCAGCAATTCTCAAAACATAACCTTTCCACTCATCTCCAAGTTGATCAGCTTCAACTTCCGCCCCCATACGTTTTTCGTAAAAAATACGAATCTTGTGTTCGTCAACAACCTCGATCAGTTTTTGAGCCCCGGTCGCGGGGAACGATATGTTGAGCTACAATTGAAAAACATTTTGACATACTAAAAAACATTTCGGTCATCAAAACCGCCTCGTGGCCCAATTCGATTATATCCACGAAAAGCGGTGCTCTCAAAGTTCGATCGATGAGGCTTTACATCAATTTTAATGCTTTCTAGTTATTATAAAACGAGGAAAACTTACTTTCATGATGACGGCAGGAACTTAACCTGCGAAAGAGAGTTAAAAATGGAAGCAACACGAGCACGTTTCCAATAGTCAGTGTTGACAACTTAAAAATTAAAAGTCCCTAAATAAAACTAAAATTTTTTTTTTCATTTATTTAATTATTTCGTTAAATTATTTGTGATTATTTATTATTTCTATATATTTTTTTATTACACTTTATGACTAATTTCTCGAACAATAATCAAGATATCTGCTGTGACATCTAAAATTCAATTATTCAATGATTTATTGAAAACTTTCTAGGATACCCACAATTACTTAAAAATGATTATAGTTATTACTTACAATCAATGGGAATTAAGTAAAATTACACAATTAAACAAATATTTAATAATTATTTTCAACGTTTTTATGCAGATGTTTTTATTGTATTGAAATATTAATGTCTTCATTTAAATTATTAAAACCTTGAACATTGTTGACTCAATTTTTATAATGTAAGCTAAACTTAATTAAAAATTGACCAAATTAGATTTAATTAATGTACAGAGTGTCCCAATTTCGATGTACCTATATACAGTTAGTCACAAAAGTCTACATACACCAAATAAATGCACTGCAGATCATAAATACATAATTTATTTATCGTGATTGTATAAGGTATCTATTATTACCATAATGTAGATAATATTGGAACATTGAAATTGTAATATAAGAACGTAAATATTAAGAAAAAAATAATTAACTGGAATTAATGGGTCACAAAAGTCTACATACACTAGATATTACCGTATAAATTACGAAGTTAAATGTACGCAGAAACAAAAATTTTAATATTTTGTTGGTCCTCCTTGCAAGTCAAGGACAGCTTGTAGCCTTCTTCGCATTGAAAGCACAAGATTTTCTGTAACACTGGCTGGTATTTCATTCCAAACTTTAATTAACGCATCTTTTAAAGATTCCTTGTTGGTTACCCTATATTTTCGTACTCTTCGTTCTACTTCGTCCCAAATGTGCTCAATAGGGTTGAGATCGGGTGATTGGGGAGGCGAATGGAGTTGTTTCGGCACATTATAGAGTATCCATTCTTTGACAACACGCGCGGTATGCTTCGGATCGTTGTCTTGTTGGAAGACCCAACGATTTCCAAGTCCTAAGCGCTCAGCCGACGCATTCAAATTATCCTTCAATATTGCCAGATATTGTCTGTGATCCATAATGCCATCAATAAACACCAAATTTCCAACTCCAGATGCCGCCATTGACAACATTGACAACACTCTACGCACTGTTTCTTGATGTACGGCTTTTTGAGTGGCTTGTTGAACATCTTCAGCAAGTTGGGGTGCACCAAGTCTGGGGTTTGCTTTAACTTTTTTCAGAATTGTTCGAACATCACGCTGATTCAAAATTCTAGGACGCCCAGAACGTGGTTTATTAGTTATACATCCATTCGAATTAAAATTTTTTATAATAGTTTGAATTGTTGCGCGACTTTTACCAACAATTTTTGCAATTTCTCCATACGACTTTTCCTCATTCCGTAATTTTACTATTAAATTGCGAATATCCACTGAAATTTCCTTCCTTCCCATAATTCTCGATATGTAATAAATCTTATACAATATAATTTCTACTTATAAATATTTAACTGGATACTACAACAGCAAACTTATGGATACAATTTATTATAAACACAAAAATAGCAAATATCTAACTTTCGTTGTCATACACGCTATACTCAGCACAACTGTATGTTGAATTTTGTGAAGTTGATTTATCTAATTCAATTTTTTACGCGGCCATGGCATGCGTGATTTTATTTTATTTAGGTGCACTGAGCTTATCAATAATAAAGAAGTTGTTTTGTATATTATTAAAAATTAATTTTTGTTTCTTTATTACGATATTGCATTTTTAGGTANATCGCGAATATCTCACTTATTATCAAAGATGGAGTATTATAAATAAAACATTATATGGGCAACTTTTTACGAAGAATTCAGTGGCGTAGGTAGAATTTTTTTCCCATCTTTTATTTTCGAGATGATGTTTTATTTATAATACTCCATCTTTGATAATAAGTGAGATATTTGTTATTGTCGTTTTCGCAAAATTTTCAGTTTTTGCCGATAGGGCGAAAACAAAAGACGATAGCTGTTCGGAGTTTTCGGCATTAGCATTTTCTCGGTAAACGAGATCATGACATGTAAGCTACTTTTTTCTATCTCTTTTAGTTTCGGAGATAGCCTATGCGGACATCGAAATTGGGACACCCTTTACTGAGGAATAAATAAATAAAAAAAATTAATTTCTATAAAAATTTATTAAAAAATTTCTTAAATACTCTAAATATATTCTACAAAGAGTAACAAGTATCACCACAAAAACAAAAAAAAATCGTGGCAAGATGAGAAATATCAATAAAATTAAATTAGCTAAAACATAATATCAGTTTGTTTAACAGGTGTATGAGAACTATATGGTTTGGGGCCAATTAAACTCAAAATAACAGGAAGTAGCACAACACCGTGAAATAATCCAAAAACAGTCACCAAGAAAAAAATCTACAAAAAAATTGCTTTTAAAACATTTCATTTCATTAAATTTTTTTTACCTTAAAAAATATTTGGAAAGCGTAAGCATCCGAAATTGCTAAAAATGAGACTCCTAATAACGTGGAGAATCCACCAGAAAAAACTGCAGCCCCAATACTTGAAACGGTTTTAACAGCTCTTTCATTTCGACTTCCTTCGTTAATAATAAGAAAAGTGTGACCAATATGAGTTGCGTAATCAACGCATAAACCGATGGCGAGTTGTAGACCAACGCAAGAGGTAACATCTAAAGTTAATCCCCATCGTTGCATGAATCCTGCGACGTTAATCATCGTAAATAAAACGCAAATAAATATCCAACAACAAGTTTGAAGGTCTGCTATTAAAATTGCAGTACAAATCATCACGCATATTAAGGCTAAAATCATGTTTCTGAAGATTTCTTCGTCGATGACTTCGTCCGTTATCCAAGAAGCGAAAACGAGCGACCAAATAAACGATCGTTTATCGCCGGTTGTTAAATTTGAGTTGTCGGTTAAATGAATTAATTTCCGCATTACTGGGAGATGTTCTTCGGGGCCTTTATAATTTTGTAGTCGAAAATCGACGCTGGATACTTCAATTTTTGGAGCCGGTTCTCCGCATTTTAAATTAGTTTTAAATTGAAAGTTAGCTTGGAAATTTGTTCCATTCGTATACAAAAAATCGGTGAGGTGTTTATGAAATTCGTCCTCAGGCAAAACATCGTGATACAAGTTTACGTTTGTTTTTTCAAAAACATAATTTGTATAAGCCGGCACCCAAGAACGCACACCATACAACATATCAGTTGAATTTATCAAAACGTCGTTCATTCTTAATAAATTCTTCATTTCGTGGGTATAATTTACCCCACCTACATACATTGCTGCTTCCACTCCAATATGGGGATAATAACTTTTCCGCTGCCTAATATACTTATTAAAATAAGATTCCGTCGGGATAAACCACATCGGATCAAATCGTTGTTCTAGTTTAAAAGTGCTTTCAATACTGAACCCTAACAGGATTATAGTTATCAATCCAATTAAAAGTTTTCCCGGCCATGTTAAAATAAATCTCGAGTAAATTAAATTAAAAAATCTTTTCATGTACCTTTTTTGACTGAAAGCATTTTTCTCAAAATTATCGTATTTTATACACGGACAACAACAATCTCTATTTGATTGAATACGTCTTTCATCGATTGAAAAACAAGCCACGAAAAACGTTGTTGTAAAAACAAACGTCATAAAAATTCCTGCAGCCGCATAAAGACAATAAGATCTTAACGAAGGGAGGATCTAAAACATTAAAAACACTTACAAAAGGAAATTAGTTAATTTAAAATCCTTACAGTGTAAGCACCAACCAAAAAAGCTAAAATATCCGTAATTGAAGTAATGGTAATTGAAACTCCAGCATGCTTCAACATATTTCCAATTTTTTCACTTAACGATAATTTTCGTTCTTCTTCTGAGAGTTCGTACCAACAACAAAGTATAACAAACATATCATCGACTCCTAACCCCATAAGTAGAAATGGCAGAGAAGGATGAACGGGTCCGTATGGAATTCCGATGAGCGAACAAAGACCGCAACCGACCAAAAAAGCCATGGCGATCGTAAATAATCCAATGAAACCCAAAATAACTCTTCCTTCCACCCAATTGTATTTAGAAAAAATTAGCTGGATATAAATCACCATTAAGATACCACCGAGTGCTAAAATGTGGAAATCTTGAAACATCGTATCGTTGCTGATATCTCCAAAACTCCTTGCTGCCATGTAATTTATTGTTAAATTTCTTGTGTGTCTTTTAAGAGCAGCCATGTATTTTAAGTACTCAGATTCCCATTCTAAAGCTTCTGGGGATGCCCAATCAGCCGTTCCTACCGTATTTCCAGCTTCATTAATATCGATCGCAGAAAAATTAACATGTAACATCCACATTGTATGAAGAGCTTTTGCCGAAACTATATGTCCAGTTGCATTTTTAGTCACTCCACTAAAAAGATCTTCGTATTTCTTCATATTTTTAAAAATTGGACTAAAAAAAATTTATTATTTAAAACTTAATCAATTTTTTTGGACACTCACTGCATTTTATATGTATTAACTTTATGCAAAATATCTTCTTTAGTAATATCTTTCAGTCCGTTTCCATGAAAATCCCATAAATCCAAAATATTTTGCTCGTAACATCCATTAGAAATCACGTCAAGTAAATCGCAACTAAAACTGATTTTATCGTATAAAGTATTCGTTGCTTCCAACATGGGGATTTGAAAGCAAACGTCTTCGAATGTTATGTTGTTTTTTGTACGGATGCTTCTTACGTCTTTTTCAATCAGGAGCAACTAAAAATTTAATAAAAATAAAAATAAAAATTTTGTCCAAACTTATATTATCCAGATATTTATGTCTCATTTTTGAACAATTAAATTTGAGGAAACGGGGAATTAAACTACAATTAATGGAAGTTGAAAAACAATTAAAGTTGATTGACACCAATAATTTAGAAATTAATAATTAAATGGTTTCTGGGTGAGGATATTAATGACGTCAATGTTTATGACCATTTTACTTCCTTCATAAGTTTTAACAAACACATTTTGAAGGCAAATATTTAATTACTTGTGCAATGCAATTAGATGCAAAACATAAAGTTGTTATAATTCATAGAAACGATTAACAAAATTGTAAGTCATGTACAAAGCAATTTTGAAAATAATTGGAAAAGTTGTGCGCATTTTTTGTTTGATAATTGATACCTCTCTAAATACTTCGGGCGTCAGAACATCATCTGCTTCTATTATCATAGCCTCTATTCGATATCCTCGTTGAAATGTGCTCATCAACCATTCGCTATGTTGAACAAACTGGGAATCCGGTGGCACCCAAAGTTTCATAGGATTCTTTTCTTGATAATACCGAAGAAATCCAAAGGAACTTAATATAACGGCTATACAGCATATTGCCATTGTTGTTTTTGGTTTTGATGCCACTTTGAAACCTAAACTAGAATTAAAATAAATTAAATATAATCGATCAATTAATATTATTTATACAACATCTTGACCGTATCCCAAATTTTAAAAATCAAGGTCTTTGCGTAAAAGAAGGTGAAATCATTATACAACATTTGCAAGGTTACAAAAGCAGTAAAATATTCATTTTAAGGATGAATGTATTGTTTATTAGTAATAATCATAAAATTAAGTGACACTAAAATTATCTTATTAATACTAGTTCGCGAGATCCCACCTCACCAAATGTTAACATTTTATGCAAATTATAAATTAAAGAATTAATAACCAATGCCGAACATGACGATAAATGCAAATTTATTTTTAATATGTATTTTAGTTGAAATTCCACGAATTTATGTAAATTTAATTTGGGGACTTGAAAGACCTTGCTATTAATATCGGTAATTTAATGATTTAATTTTAATTGTCATAATGGCTGTTGATTAACATTTTGATGAATTGATACAATTATTTGGTTTTAATAATTTTTTTCCAACTAATAAAAGTTAGATTAATTAATCTTTAATTTTAGATTGAAATGTCATGATTGCCAAAAAAAGTAACGATAAAATAGATCTACAATCAAATAAATGTCCCATATCCATTAACTCTCACTCTATTTTACGACTACAACCCATTATTGTAATTGCAATAATTACGTTTAGAAACATTTTGTAACATTTAATTTTTTTGTTGTTGGTGAAAAAGCCCACAAATTAATTTTATAGCATGAATTGGCTATAAAATTTAAATACTCCATTGAAAAATTTATAATAGATTGATAATCAAATTCTTATTCATTTTAATCATTTCAAATTTTAATCTATAAGTAATACTTACTGATAGAAAAAGAGTTCGGTGTATGTGGTTACAGCACTGCTGATCCTTTTGTGCCATTTCAAATTCCGCGCGTATTTATCAACCATTTTTTTATCAGAGTAGTACGCGTCTCGACGCTCGACCTGGTACTGAATGAGCTAGGAAACACGCGTGTGTGTAGTTTTTCTTTCTGTTTTTTTTAATTCGCCTCCTCTCGGAAAACCACTTCGACCACTTCGTTCAACACCATTTTACACGTCATGGCTAACTGGTTGCGAAACGTCGACGTCGCGACGTCTGATTTTAGTTTAAGCCAAAACCTGGTTATGCGAAGGTCATACACTGTTTGGCTTAAGAAAATACTAGTTAATAAAAAAAAAATTTTACACCCACACAATTCTTAATAATAATAAATAAACAAATTTTTTTTTTATTAATCAATACGTTACGAAGACTACAAAAAAAGATATTGTGACAAATTAAACTAGAATAATCCAGTTATTTCTAAAAAAAATTAATATTTTTTTACCTTGTTTTGGGATTTTTGACCAGGTTCAAGGTCGAATTTTTAAAAAGGTTTGGTTCGATACTGGCGATTAGCGGCGTGTGTTCTTTGTGTAACAACACAGGAAATCTGATTTCATTTCGCATGAAACAACGGGAAATAGTTATTTTAACGTAAACAGCCGCGTGATAACGAGCCACGAGTGAATCAGCAATGCAAAAATATCGCATAACTTATTTGTACATAGTTCAGAGCGATAATACTTATTTTTTTTCTAATCATAATTAGTATGGAAACAAACACCTAACATATTTATTGGGTGCAGTCAATCTTTTTTTATTAAATTTTATACAGCAATATAGTATCAAAATAAAGTTATATTTTGTAACTAAAAGCTTCTTGAATAAAAATTTTGTCTAATAATAGTAATTTTAATTTTAATAATTGTACCTGAAGTTTCTTGGAGGTGTTCGAGGATGAATCGCCTCCAGCACCATGTCCTTTCTATTTAAATCAAATTTATATCCGTAAGAACAATAACTCGCGACAACTTGTTTTGTATCACGTCTACCTTTATTAATTTTATATTCACTTCATATCATGGATGATCAGAAAATTGTCAGAAACAATTTTCCTTACTTTTGACCACCAACCGTCACTATTAATCTTCTTCACACCATTTCACACTTTCCTCTTACTGCCTCAAAATGAAGGAATGTTGTACAGTAATAATACTTAGGGCGGCCGACGTCTTCGAAGTCGGCCGAGATTATATTCATAGTAATTCCTTTTTAAGCAGAACACTTATATATGATTTGTCAAAATTAATGAATATTTGTAAATATAATTGTTTTGAATAAAAAAAAAGGAATAAGGATATAAAATAGGTAAACGAAAAAAAAAAGAAAAAAATATACACAAAAAGATAGAGATGTTTTTTTTCTATTTAGTATTTGAAATAACTCCATTCAGTCTTTTATAACATATAGGTGGTACATTACCATTCATATTATCAATCAGGTTTACACACAGTACTATTTTTTTTTTTGATACACCGTGCACACAGACGAATATGTACAATTAATCGCTGCGTGCCAGCCAAGCCAGTTTTGAACCAGAGAGATATAAAACGATAACGCAAATGCGAAACGCGAGAATGATCGCAATCGAAGCGAAAGAATTGAAAAATCGTTGGCAAATGAATGCGCTGCTGATGAGGGGGGGCGGTCGAAATGGGTGGTCTTGCATCTTTAGCTCGTCACTGGCGCTGGACAACGCAGTTCCCGTAAACAAATTTGAGGATTACGATCGAATTGCGGGCGTGTTTTTGCGCGTCTCTTAGGAGGCTTATCGCCTTCATTTTTTTCTTTGCTCTTTCACAAGGACGGTTACGATTCGTATTTTTTTAATGAAAACGCAGCAAAGGTCTATTTAACGAGTATTTCTAGTTACTATTACACACATTAATCGTACACATATTTTTTCTTTTATTTATTTTTTTACGTCCAATCCCCAAGCTTGTCTACAGCTTAATAGGATTTTCCAAGACAATTTTTTAAAAGTCGTGATTTCTCCGAGTTTTTGTCTTGGATAGTCCTATCATTATCGATAATAAAATTACAGCCTGAAAACATTATACGTATTTGAATGTACACGATAACTATAGAGGAGTGGAGGAACACAGGTGAACGGAGCTGGTACGGCAACGCCATCTGATTTTCTGTTCCGTTGCTCCCGTTTTTTTTTTCGGGGGGCAAGTCAGTACTGTTCGCTACTTAAATGTACACAGCCTTGTTACGCGTACACAGACCACACTGAAACGACCCGTGCACAGTATGTACAGGTTGGGACACCGACGATTTCTTTCTTTCCATTTTTTTTTAATTCTTTTTGATTGAAAGGTCGCAAATAAACACTACACCCTGCTGCTTCCTTCGTCGCGGAAGACAATCGTTTACGATTGCATTGAAATAAAATATAAAAATATCCAAAACTGTACAAGGGGATTACGCGTTTATTTTTAAGAGCTCCACCTACATATCCATTCAATTAAAAGAAAAGTTTAGGTTATACATTTGAGTATAGTTTTGGAATCAATTCATAATAAAATTAAAAATTAATAGATTACATTTTTTATACTTAAAAATTATTACAAAATTAAAAAATTAATTAAAAACATGACTAAAAACAACATGACTATACGTATAATATAAAAAAATTGATTAAAAATGTAGGTTTTGAAGTGATATGATGTGGAGCCCTTTTCGAAAAGGTACATGCATCATACAGTTATCAAAAAAGCGTCGTTTCAATTATTATTTTCTTTTTGTTCTTTCGTGATAATACGTAAATATCGATATACGGAATATCGGACGTACGCCGGAGATTCAGCATAGCAAAGCAATGAACAGACTGGTTGTATTCGTAAAAATATATAGTACACTAATTTTAATATTGAGGACAGCACACCACTCAAAAATCCTACCAGAGGCACTTTTAGAGTCACTTGAGTGCGCGCCATCCGACACTGAACGATTATTAAACGGCGATCCAACAACACATATAGAAAGTCCGCTGGATATGTATAGCTGTTTTTTTTTTAATTTTCTTTCTTAAACTTTTTTTTCTTTCAATACACATTTCTTTTTTTCTTCCATTTCCCTTCATAATTTTAATTTTTTTTAAGTGATTAATATTTTGTTGTGTTGACTGTTGACGTCCGCATCGGTCGGTGATTCAAGGGGGTTTTTGTTGTTCATTACGGCCATCAGCAGGCCAATTCCTGTGCGGCCGTCGGAGATGCGACCGGCGAAATGGGTGGCGCGGACGGCCGCGTCAGGTCTGGCCAGTATCACGGTTGCCCATCTTCCATTATTTTGTGGACTTGCTCTAGTTTGTAAGCCAACCGTTGTCGTTGCGAAAATTCATCTTCTTCTAATGTCACCGTCAGCTGTTCGTTGTATTTTACCGCATACATATACAGCTCATGTAATGCACAATTTAAATTGAACTCTGTACTATGAAGCTAAAAATATATTTTTTTATTAATAAACGTAGTTATAAAGAAAATAAATCTTACCCTAGATTCTTCTGCTAGCATAGCATTCATATCCTGATCAGAAATTGCAGTCATTCTCTTAATATCTGAGTAATATCTATCAACCCATTCTTTGTAGCATGGAATGTCTTTTGCATACAATAATTTTGAACTTGGTGAATCTTTGCCTATAAAATAAGTAGTTTTTTTAAATAGTTTATAATGAAAAAACTTTTTCTTTTAATTACCTAGTCTATGATCGGAAGTAGAACATGAGTCCATAAAAGTTTGAGCAACGACAGATAAACAAGAATCGACGATATTCGATTTGTGAATGTCGAAAACGAAGTTGGGATTTTTGATTAGGTTGACCCAAAACCTAAGAGGTAACGAGTTGCTCTTCCAGGTGTGTACTACCTCAGGGTCGGAAATGCCGTGGTGTAGAGCCTGGTCGTCCAGGAAATCGAACATATATTTAATAGCCAACGGAAGCACATTGCCTCTTTGAGCCGTACTGAAAATGGTCTCAAACAAATCGTCGACGTATTTTTGCAGCGTGCCCTTAGTGGCTAATAGACGTGTTAAATAAATTTCCGAAACCATTTTGTTGCCGCGTTCACCCTCTTTTTGTGCATCGTTGTCATGGTGCTTCACTAAATGCCAGACTTTTACGCTGGTATCGTGATCGTTGTTTAAAGGACTCGTCGCGCGGCTCAATGGAGGACTCGCCGAGCTGAACTTGTTAATATTCAACGTCTCATACTTATGCGACTTATCATTCTTTTCTGACAGAATACTAAAATTGTATATCGAACTTTGTTTTGGTACTAAAGTCAATAAACCACCGTCTTGAACTTTGTAATGTTGTAAAGTATTTCGACGCTTCCAATCACCCTCAATTTTTGTTGTACTGTCTTCGTCGTATAATATTAATCTACCTGATTGACCAGTTCGCCATTCTATAAAACAAAATTAAAAAATAAGTAAAAAATATTAAAAATATTCTTTAAAACATACCAAGGTCTAAATCTTCTTTACGTGGTCTTTGAGAATTAGGAGTTGCTCTATAAATGGCATCTAAAGCCTTTTCTTTAACTTGGCTGATTGTGTCGCAATCCAAAACTTTAACTGGCACATTATCATTGTGATCTACATAAACAGCTTGTTGCGATATGGATACATGTACAGTCTAAAAAAAAGATCATTTAATTTGCTTATATGTTTAACAAAAAGGATAAAAATGAATCAAATATGTAAATATGGAAGGTAAAAAGATGTTTTGGGAATAAGATATGAACAAAACTCGTCATTTTAGCTTCCTTTTAAGATATTAAACATCAAAATATTATCATGTACTCAAAAGATATCGAAGAGAGAGACGTCCATATTCCTGTAGCCCAATTTAGGCTTTTTTGCTGAACCGTTATTGAAGATTCTTTAATAATTCGAATGTAACGTCATATTACTTTGGAATCGCCATTATTTAAGCTTTCTTTTAAGACATTAATCAGTAACATATCTTAAAGTACTCAAAAGATATGGAAGGGAGAGACGTCCATATTCCGGTAGCCCATTTTATGCTTAACCGTTTTTGAAGATAATTTAATAATTGGAATGAAACGCCATATTACTTTGGAATCGCCATTATTTAAGCTTTCTTTTAAGGCATTAACCAGTAAAATATCTTAGAGTACTCAAAAGATATGGAAGGGAGAGACGTCCATATTCCGGTAGCCCATTTTATGCTTAACCGTTTTTGAAGATAATTTAATAATTGGAATAAAACGCCATATTACTTTGGAATCGCCATTATTTAAGCTTTCTTTCAAGACATTAACCAGTAAAATATCTTGGAGTACTCAAAAGATATGGAAGGGAGAGACGTCCATATTCCGGTCGCCTATTTTATGCTTAACCGTTTTTGAAGATAATTTAATAATTGGAATAAAACGCCATAATACTTTGGAATCGCCATTATTTAAGCTTTCTTTTAAGACATTAACCAGTAAAATATCTTAGAGTACTCAAAAGATATCCAAGGGAGAGACGTCCATATGCCGGTAGCCTATTTTATACTTAACCGTTTTTGAATATACTTTAATAATTGGAATAAAACGCCATATTACTTTGGAATCGCCATTATTTAAACTTTCTTTCAAGACATTAACCAGTAAAATATCTTGGAGTACTCAAAAGATATGGAAGGGAGAGACGTCCATATTCCGGTAGCCCAGTTTATGCTTAACCGTTTTTGAAGATAATTTAATAATTGGAATAAAACGCCATATTACTTTGGAATCGCTATTATTTAAGCTTTCTTTTAAGACATTAACCAGTAAAATATCTTGGAGTACTCAAAAGATATGGAAGGGAGAGACGTCCATATTCCGGTAGCCTATTTTATGCTTAACCGTTTTTGAAGATAATTTAATAATTGGAATAAAACGCCATATTACTTTGGAATCGCCATTATTTAAGCTTTCTTTTAAGACATTAATCAGTAAAATATCTTAGAGTATTCAAAAGATATCCAAGGGAGAGACGTCCATATGCCGGTAGCCCATTTTATACTTAACCGTTTTTGAATATACTTTAATAATTGGAATAAAACGCCATATTACTTTGGAATCGCCATTATTTAAACTTTCTTTCAAGACATTAACCAGTAAAATATCTTGGAGTACTCAAAAGATATGGAAGGGAGAGACGTCCATATTCCGGTAGCCCAGTTTATACTTAACCGTTTTTGAAGATACTTTAATAATTGGAATAAAACGCCATATTACTTTGGAATCGCCATTATTTAAACTTTCTTTCAAGACATTAGCCAGTAAAATATCTTGGAGTACTCAAAAGATATGGAAGGGAGAGACGTCCATATTCCGGTAGCTCATTTTATGCTTAACTGTTTTTGAAGATACTTTAATAATTGGAATAAAACGCCATATTACTATGGAATCGTCATTATTTAAGCTTTCTTTTAAGACATTAATCAGTAAAATATCTTAGAGTATTCAAAAGATATCCAAGGGAGAGACGTCCATATGCCGGTAGCCCATTTTATACTTAACCGTTTTTGAAGATACTTTAATAATTGGAATAAAACGCCATATTACTTTGGAATCGCTATTATTTAAACTTTCTTTCAAGACATTAACCAGTAAAATATCTCGGAGTACTCAAAAGTGATCAAAGGGAGAGATCTATTTTGGTTACTTTACTCCATTTATAGACTCGCCGCCTTTGAAGATTCTATATCAAATCGTTTGATACCACCTTGGAATCGTTATTATTTAAGCTTTCTTTTAAGATATTAAACATCAAAATATCATAATGTACTCAAAAGATATCAAAGGGAGTGACGCCTCATACTCATGAAGCCCAATTTACGCTTTTTGAGTAACAGTATTTAATGATTCTGTTATGATTTGTTAAGCATCAAACTTTATTGACAAAATGACGAAATTATTATGATATCAATAATAACTCCAGATAACATTGAGTCTTAATATTACATGATTTAATTGCAAGTTACATTTGGTTCTAAAGCCACAAACACTACTGAATTAACCCATTCACGACTGAGAAATCTAACACGTTTGATCTCATCACGACAGAATTCACACAGCGCGCATCCTACCTGAAACGTTTGTGTTTCACGGTTTATGGTAACTAAGGAAAATATGGGAAATTAAAAGTGTTAAATGAGAACATTAGTAGGAAAACATAGAAAAATTTTACTTACCATTGGTTTAAAGTTAATTGATTGTCTTATTAATTTTTCTTCGCTGAGTGAATATCTGGCTTCTGAAGTGATGGCATCAACAGGTCCTTTGTCTACCTGTTGTTTAACCGCACGGAATAACATATAAAGAGGTTCTCCGGCACATTCGCGTAGAAATTTATAAAGAAGGAATGTGAACCATGCGCTAAGCATTTTTTCAGCAACGCTTTCAGTACGTCTCAGGAGTAGTTTTGGATGACTTTTGCCATCAATACATTTTTCGATTAATTCGGCAAGTAAAGTCTTAAGAATATCAGTGCAGTACTCCATCTTACTTTGCAAAGCAACCATTATTAACGATGCAACGTTGACCCGGTCCCTCATAGAAAAGTAACGATTACTTTCCAAAGTTCTGATGAAGAGCAGCAGGAAGGTTTTGTTCATGATCAACTGTCCGAATTGTTTCAAGCCGCGTTCTTTGCGTAAAAGTTCAGGGCGATCCCATTGTAAAACAACGTGATCGTCAACATTCGGAAAGAGGATCTTCATGGCGTAAGTACAATAATCTAGGAATGGAATGCCACCAGACGTTAAATCGCTGGTTAGGTCAGTCATTTCAGTTTGTAATTCGGCGAATGCTTCTTTGCATTCGGCCGCGACACGTAATTCTAATATATCCATTTGTTCTTGCATATTTTTAAGTACCCGATTACTTTCCGTTGATTTTCTTCGATAAGCTATCAAAAATCCGATGAACACAAGAAATACGACTATGCTAACAATTATCACACTAAGTATTGTTGATTGTGAGATCGGGGCATTCAGCCCTTGAGGTGAGGAATACGATAAACTCCCAATATTGAATTTTAAAGTTCCACCAACAATCACGACTACTTCGGGTAGAACTTCCGCATTTGGCTCACCATTTTCTCCTATTCCCATGGGTTGAGCTTCCGGAGGTCTACATGTTAATTGTTGCCTACTCAACGACGTTACATTACAAAAACTATTCCCGATTTTTACGATAACGTCCGATTCTTGGCACGCACGATCTATATTTTGACCCTAAAACAAATATTTAATTAACCAATTTTTTTTGTTAAAAAAATGCATAAAAAAAAATTTATGGTGTAGTCGGCGTTTTACGCGTTTTACGAGTTTTACGAGCAAAAGTTTAATAAAAAAATAGTCATAAAACGCATTTGTTGTTGAGTTATTGTTCATAGAAAATATGGAAAAAAAGATAGTTAAATTTTATCGATACTTACGTTTATATTAAGATATTCTGATTTATAGTATTTAACACGTTCTTTATCGAACGGTTCAAAATGTGGATTTGGATATAAAAGGAATGATGCGAAACCGTTGGCTGTACTGGTGAGATTTTGGACTCCTAAAACGTTGTCCATTCGAAAGCCGTATTCAAGCTGTAAAGGAGCATCGGCGTTTAACGTTTTGCTATCAGCATCAATGTCGGGGCTGAAGCATGTCATTGTTGTGTTTGTATGTGCAGTACATGGCTAGAAAAAAAAATCGATGTTGAAATGAATTTTAATAATATTATATAATTTTAAATACTTACGCTTACTGTCATCATTTGATTGTAATAAACATACATTTGTGGATGTTGAATATATCCAAGGTTCCTTCCTGTAACTGAAATTCTAATTCCACCAGCTGGTATACCTTTAGGTCCTTTAACTCTGCTTCCAGAGTCGACGGAATCAATTACTGGGTCGTCTACATATTGGAATTTAATATTATCAAGTACACGATCACCTTTGTCAAATTTCATCTTAACGGTGCCTTCAAACGCTTGACTAGCGGCGCTGGTTATGCACAAAGCTTGGGTTTGTTCTTTGGATAAAATATTGCACGGTAAATTATCGATAAAAGCTTGAATATTGCTTCCAGCGTTCATGAATTCCCCGGTTATCCTCAAAGACGTTCCACCTGATTTTGGTCCATATTGTGGGCTAATTCCTGTTATTACCGGATTAACAAACTTATAGTTAGTCCTAGATTCCCCTCGATAATCTTCAACTCGAACCACAACCGGACCTTCTCGTGGTTCATTTGTTCCAGGTCCATCAACTTTGCAAACGATCCGTTTCGTTTTTACGTAAAGTTGTTCGTATGGCTGACAGTTAATACCAGCGATGTTTACACCGCTATAAATATCTTTGAAGACCTTTCCAAGATTAATACCTTCAATCGTTATATTTGTACCACCCTCCCATGGCCCTAATTCCGGACTAAACGATGTTACTTCTGGATTCGGACACGTTTGACTTCTATTTAACCACACCGAGAAACCTTTCTCACATTGATCTTTTACTTCACAACTATCGGTACTTTGACACCAGCCGCATTCATATTTTTCGGATAATGCTAAACACATTCCGCAATTATCCGCCATATCGCGACATCGATATATAACAACTAAAATAAAAAAATTTTAATTAATACAATTATATTAATTGTTTTTTGATTTCTAATACTTACTGTGAATATTATCCGGATTATCTAAAGGTTTTGATCCTCCCCAAATAACAGCGAATGAAGCGGTGATGTTCGGTGCGTGAGACGAATAAGAAAATTCCATGGAATCACAATAAATGGTATCTCCAAGAAGTTGAGCGTTAACGCTTGTTACTCTTCCTTCGATGTTAAATTGACACACAAAGCGAGTTTGTACAATGAATTGACCGATAATATGGACCTTGACTTTTATGGATCTCTTTATCCCATGCGCAACAAGAATTTCCGGTGAATTCCCAACTGTTGCGTTGATTGTAGGACAAAAACCAGGACCAGAACGATAACTTGGACCGACACGCTAATAAAAAAATAAAATTAATTAAATGTTATAATTAAAAAAAATTAATTAAAATCACTTACATTTATGCCAGTTACTAAAATATCATTTCGGCAATTTTCCGCGGTATCATGCGTACATCTATGTCCATCAACGCACCAATCGCAAGGAAATGATGATGATACGCATTGAGTACAAGAGCTGTACGTGTTGCAATCGAAAAATGTGAAGTTGGTTGCTACAAAATCTGGTCCAGAATCCATTCGAACAGATAATTTTGCGGTGAAATGATCTATTCAACAAAAATATACATACAGGTAAATAATAATAAGTGTATGCTATTTAGATTTAATTTGAATACCATATTAACGTTATGATATAAAGCAATCGTTGATTAAAACAAGTTATTGAGATCGGATGAATAAATTCAATGGATTAAAATAAAATATTACGTGAATGGTCTATTTATTTTGTAATGTGAAATTCACCCATTAGCATAATAAACAAAGCCGTTGCGCCGCGAACACTCTTTTGACGCTGGCTTAATGTAATTTAAATTATATTGATAAACAAAATGGGTAGAGGCATGAAAAGATACGTTGGGACGAGTACCTGTAATTAAATTTGCATTCGTATTTAATTCATATTTGAAATACCGGCTAAAGTCAACAATAATTAACAAATGGTGCGTCAATCGGCTGGAGACGCGCATGTTTTTGTTTAGTTGTCCAATTTTTAATTAATCGAAAATTACGTAGGGGAATGTAAAAATAATGTTTATTATCCGTAAGCTCGTTATTGAAATTTAATCTAAACATGATTACGTAATTTGTTTTAAAATGGTTAAGCGTTATAGAAAATTTAATTTAATTTGATTACACCAAAAAATAAATGAATCTTACGTTGTCCTGGTGGAATGTTTGGTAATAAATCAGTTCTAGGTGTAGTACAATTAACACCATAATTTTTCTTGGTCGCTTTAGTAATTAAAGTTTTGTCTAGTGCTGTGAATGCGCAGAAGAAATTTCCGGATAACGTCGGCAAGTTTTCAATAGCCAAGTCAAGCTAAAAAATAAAAACAATAGCACACATTTTTTTTGTAAAGTTTCAAAGAAATATTACCGTTCTAGCTGTAGTGCGTTGTAGTTGATTTGGAGTGACGGTGGTGATTGTAGTGCATCTTCCGCTTTTGTAACTGATCCAGTATAGAGGATCCTGTGCGGCGTCCGAGCAATCAGATCTGAGACTGCATCTGAAAACGGGGAATGAAAAAGAAAGCGGTTAAGAATGGGTGGTAAATCAAGATGAGCTCCGGATAAGACGTATTCTTTCGGCATATAAAACGGCTGTCGGGGGAAGAAATATTTTCCAATCAGCCGAGGCATCTACGGTTAGATAGTCCCTAACGCGGTGTGAAATTATATAATTGTGAAACGCAAGACGATCTCTTTAAGAATTTTACCGATATGAAAAGAAAAAGAAAACGAATGAGAATTCTTCGGTTGCCAATTAGTCATTGATCGTGGTTTTAAGTTTTTATGGCCGGGTGGTTAATTGACCTTAGAAGTTTTACTGCAACAGATACGAAACTCGTAAAAAAGCTCGGTAGCAATTTAAATTTTCGGAAATTACGCTCGGGGAGTTGTGGATGGACTTTGCCGCGTAGGTAAATGAATGCCATTTATAACGGATAGAACAATAAATAAAGTCGCCCGTCGACCCCTTCCTCCCGACCTAAATACCATTCAGAAATGTGGAAAGCCCCACTAATTAAAACGCATCTCCTCCGCGAACACTACTTGCACTTTAACGTTACCTCACTCGCCGCCTCCTCTTCTCACAGCGGCACTATCTTATCGACAAAACATCCACAATTTCGCTTCCTTTTTTCTTCTCAAAATGCTATTAATTAACGTATCATTCTTTACAAGAACCAGCACCCGCACGCTAATTAGTTGCTTTCTGTTGTATTTTTCCTTTTATAATTCTTTCAAAAAATTTCAATTCAAACTTCAAAAAATGAGATCTTTTTAAAATTAATTAAATCAATTAAAAGTATTATGTTGATAGAGTATTATTAAGAGGTAATAATATAGAGTAGTTGCTTCGGAGTAATTAGTTCGAAGTAATACTCCGGAGTAGCACTACAAAGGTTGATGTAGAGTAATGGGGAAAGATTTTTTTAGAATATTCAAGAGTAGCATTCTAAAGTAATGCACCAAAATAGCATTCTAGAGTAGCACTCTAGTGTAGCACACGACTTTTTGGTTTTATATTTATACTATATATATTTATTTATTACTATAATTAGTTATATGTATAAATGAAGATTGTACACAGCGAAACCTCGAATTGAGGTTGTAGCCGAGGTCGCTTGCGGCCGAGGGATTACAATTGAGATCTTTAGAAATGAATCGGCCGCAAGCGACCTCGGCTTAATTCATAATTCTAAGCTTCGAATTCATATTGAAGCTGAGGTCGAAGGAATACAAGCATTTTAATATTTCTAAATATATATATTAATAAAAGTTAATAAAATATAATTAGATAGAAAAAAGAAGAAAAACTTAGTATATAAATTTGTTAATAGTTTATTTATTGGGGTTGTACATGCCCTAGTAGTGGATTTAAGTTTTAGTTGTTATAAGTTATTTTAATTGCTGGCGGCCTGATGAGATTAGCTCGGGTAGGAGGAAGTTTTATAACTTGAAAGGACGAGGAAAGTTTAGTTTATATGGTTTCCGACGTAATAGTTTCAAGTCGGAAATAAAACGAAGCTGATTGATAAAAGTACAAAGTACCCAGACAGTGGAGTGGAAAAGTAACTGGACACCGTTGATTGGTAAGTTGGATGTGGGAATTTATATTTTTTGTTATTTTCGTCGGAAGTTTTGATTTCTAATATCTCTCATAAAAATTCAATTTTTCGAATGCTTTCGCACGGAGCTCGGCCAGATATTGCACGTGACAGGTACAATACCTTTCATTTCACGCGGGAATAGGTACAATATATAGCAATAGTCGGCGGGATGGAGTTTTTGCCGGGTCGTACAATGAATATAATTTACTTGTTTGCATTCAATCAAAGTATTCATATTTTCCTCCCTGTCAACGGCAAAAAAACGAGGGGACGCGGAAAGAGGAAGGGTCCTGCATAAAATCCCACTTCGCTATTTCGACGACTTTGCCCCTCACGAACGCGACACAAAAAAAGCGACTTTAAAAAGGTGTGGAAAATGATCGAATTGTCGTCGACTTATGACGGAACAACGTCGAGTAGTCGCGCTCTTTATCGACAGGAAAACGTGAATTATTAAACGATTTCTGTCGACCGTTCCTCGAGGAATCTTACCCTTAATAGCTAAGAAAACAATGCTGAATTAGTGATAATGGGGAACGCTCTACTGGGGTTTTGTCGAGATCGTCAAGATCAACTCGCATTAACATCAGATTAAGTCATGAGATTCGCTACGTTTATTATGGAACAGGTTAAAATTTCACTTTCTAAAATCACGCAATCAACTCCTTTAATTTTCACGGTTTCTTCCCTTCACCTAGACACATCTACGTCTTTACGTTTGAAATTCATAAACGTTGTACGTCGGAGAAGTAAAACGTTACAATGTAATTTACGTCTTGTTTACGGCTCGGCACGATACATCGCAACAAAAGGGCGTAATTACACGTAGAACGTATTGCGGATCTAAGAGGATGGACGAGCTCATGCTTTAAACTTGAGATTAACGCCTCTGGCAAATTTCAAATAAATAAACTTGACCACCATTAGAACATAAACTTTCTAAAACTTTTAGAAACGATTATACCACAATTTATAACGGAATCAACAGATTAAGTAATTAAGATTTTTTAACAGCAAGTAGTTCATGCCGTAGGAATACTATTTTTTTGTGGATTTGATTACGGAGTGGAATAATTTATTTTAAACACGCGCCGAAAATCGGCGGGAACTAAAATTTATCGACATCCGGAATAAAACTAATTCGACAAATATTTTTAATTAAATCCTTGCTCTTTCATTTTACGCGTACCGGCGGAAACTGTACAATTAGCGCATATCGAAAATGAAAAACCGGCTGCTTTGTCCGCTCGGCCCAATTATATAACGGCTTCGTGCAAAAAGTCCTGTGTTTGAAAAGCCCGTTCACCCGTGCCTGAATTAAATTATTCGCTCCTGGTACATATAATTTGTAAACATCAGTACAATTTATGTTGTATACGCGTTTTGACCAAGTTTTAATGAGATACCAACTGTAAATCAAAAATGCTTACGTTGCTATTTCATTAATTATTATTGTTTTCTTACTTGTATAATTTTTTGTATATAATTTTTTTTATAAACTTTGTGGATGGGATAACAATTAATAAGCTGACATTAAATTGGAGTTGGAAGGTTATTGTTGGAAAGAGATACAATATCGGCCTTGTTTAAATATTTGTTCGTGAAACAATATCGCTGTGAAACTGGAACGGGGCGTTATTTTGTTAATATTTTCGACAATCGCACAATAGCGCGTCGCGAACAAAAGCGTTGTCCCACAGATGCCCCAGTTTTCGGTCGGCGATCCACAATGGGCATTTTGTTTTGATAGGAACAATATAGATAAATGACGAGCTGTTTCGATGCCGAACTTATTGAGTTCGCAAAGACGCGTTTTAGGAATCGCAATCGACGCCACCATTTGTCATTCCGAACCGAATCGCGATGCCATTTTTTTTTTCCCGTCGCGGATCGAGTTTCGCCGAATACGATCCATTATCGTTTAAAAGCCTCGCACACGTCCGTAGGCGCCGAACATAGAAAATGTATTAATGGGTTGCATTGAAACCTAATTAATGCACTCGTTCCGCAATAAACGCCCAGCGAGTTATCTAACCGCCGCATCCAGTTGTCGTCAGCATCTAAACACGATTTCAGCATTTCCATATTACTACACCCACACGGAAGTGAATCTACATCGAATATTGGTTTTCATTCCTTTTCAAAAATAAATTCTATTTCTTCACTTTATTAAATTTAAATAATAAATATCTATTTAATACATTAGTATATTTAGATAGAATCCATCGAGTTATTTCCCATCTAGAATATACAGTGTGTTAATTAATTATCGTACCCGACGTGATCATTGCAAGTATGCAACCAATATCACAGTACTAGTATTGCAATACGAAAATCGCCTATACTGTGATATTGGTTGCATACTTGTAATGATGACGTCGGATAGGATAATTAATTAACATATTTTTCATTGAACTAAACTAGAACTTAGTACTTAGAACTAGAAATCTGTTATATCCGATAATAACAGATTTCAGAGTTATATATAAAATAGCTTTATGTTTAATAAAGGAATGTGACATCAGCAGTCTAAATGAAGTTGATTGGTAAATTGTAGGTTTTCCGGTGCTGAATGAGTTGTTGTAAATTTTTGATAATTGTTGTCTTGGGTCCGCGTTGTAAATTGAATTCCGGGGTTTTAAATGAATTAGAGGTCGGGGCAATTATTTAATTCGCAGGATTCTTTGGGAGTTCTGCAAAAAGTCGTTGTTTTAAGGGGGATGTTGAAAGTTTGATGGGATCGATTTCTTGGAGACAGAATCGGTCTTTGAGTTTTCCTTTTTTTTCCCCTGTGGGATGGTAACTAATCGGGCGTCCCGACGTCGGACGCCGGTAACCAGGTGCGCTAATGACAAAATCGATGCGGAGTATTGTCAAGGATCCCCCAATTTGTCAGCCGATACAACTACAAATTCCATAAATAATATGCGAAATGCATTAAGTCCTGCCTATTTAGGGGTCGACCGCCGTCGATATATTATTTCGACTTTACATTACCGATATTGATAGATCGCCTCGAGTTATTGTTTTGACTTTGGCGAAGTGTTTTCGCCATTCTCCGCCACCCTCTTCGGAAAAGTTCACGTCGAACGTTCTACGTGACGAGACCGAGTCTTTCGCGGTTATTAAATTATTCCGGAGCGCGGAAGAAATTTTTAACTGACAATCGAAATACCGGAGAATTCGGAACTATCGATTATCGGTTAGTATAATAACGTGACGTCTCGTTATACGCTCCGTTCGGGGGCCTCCCGAGGAAATAAAGGCAATTTACCTCATTTTTACGAGATAATACGTTATCAAGGCCCGAATCTCCGCCCGGAGGAGGGAGGAGGATATAACGGTTCGTTTAGGAACGGAAGAAATTGGGCGTAAAAATTTTGTGCAGACGCCGTCCTTTTGGAACCACGCAAATTGGATCTGTTTGTAAATAACTTAATTTTTGGTTTAATAGCCGGAGAGTGAAAAGTTTCGGCCGACGGGTTAAATCAATTATGGTTCCGACTCCCCGTTAATATTAAAATTTTCAATTACCCAAGTTTGTCGAACGACCCAAAATGTCAACTTACTTGTTTTCTAGCGAACACCATCCGCAATACGGATCCTTTGCATTTAAACATTCCCAGCAACTCTTGTATACACTGCATTCTTGCACTTTCACCTTCGACACCTATAATCAAAAAGAATACAAATAGTAATAATCAACAAAAATTGAATATAGCGATCCCTGGTGATAACCAAGGATCGAAACCGGTCTTAATAGAAAAAAAGGCAATTGAAAAATTTTTAAGTTAAACATTGTTGAGTTTCAAGTATCTCTGATAAACCTGAAGCGGTACACGTCTAGGTTTGCTTGATTCCGAGACGTCGGCCAATTAGATTACTCGAGCAACAAAGACTTCGCCTATTTATTTAAGAGACACCAATTGCGAGAGAGCATCCGTGCGTATTATAACTTTACCAAATCCCTCCAGCGATTGTAGATGTAATTCCCCTCTCGATTTTATATTTTTTTTGGTAAGAATCTTGCCCCTAGTAATAAGAGCGAGGTCCTAAATTGCGCTGCTATAATCTGCCGGAGCGAATTTTTCAATAAAAACGTGTTCGCAATTTATAACGATCCCGTTCGAGTTCGCTCGGCGTTGTTCTTTCTCGAATCGAAGCGGCTTCGTCGGCATTTATTGCAAGGTTTTAATTGTTCCGCACGTAGAAAATAAACATAACAATACGGACCCGGAAGGGTTCCTTTTAAGGGTCGTTTTTTGTTTGATTATTTTGTCGACAATCGAAAGGTCCCTGATTTCTCATTTCAGACGAAGGAAAACCGACTCCGAATCTGATTACGAGGGGCACTGAAAAAATATCTGTGACAAGGGTAAATTAGATTAGGATACACCTCCACTTCGCCCGGGCAATCTTAATCAAAATTGAATTTCCGCGGCATATAATGCGGGTTCTTGCGCCCGGGATATCGTCCTCGGTATTGGATTTAGTCTCCATAATATCTAAATTTATACATCAATACTCCACTAAAGATACCCCAAAACGAGAGGAAAATAAATATTTTAGCTAGGTAAATTAAAGCTCGGATTGTTTAAATTTAATTCCCAACACTAGACTAAACGGTCGCTAACCGTCGTTTTCCCTAATTAACGAAGGGACCTCCGACGTACCTGCCCCCCCGAAGTTATTATATTTTGCAGATTCAATTAGGCCTCGAACCGTGCTTGCGCGAATTTCACATATCGGGTAATATTAAGTTTCAACCCTCAGTCCGCGTTTGCGAAACATTTTACTCTATTACATTGCAAAATACCACGCGCTTAATTCCACTCCTAAAAGGATTTTTAATATCTCATTGCCAACCTTTTTCAAAAATATATTCATTTAAAAGAAATGTTTTAAATTTACTCAAAATAGGGTTAGGAATTTAGGGATTTATTTTTGACAATTATTTTTATGACAAACTTTGGCAGATGAAAGGTGATGCGATTCTAAGGAAAAAATGTTATATGAATATGGATCCGATTCATTTTGGTTAAAGAGTTACAAGCCTTTGAAAATTTTACACAGTTTAATAGGCAAATGAAAATGTAACATAAAAAATAAGTTTAAAAATTACAAAAATTGTTCGAAATGTCCGCCTTCAGCTTGAATCCACGCTTCACATCGACGAAGTAAAGATTTGCAACAATCGCAACAATAATTATGAAACACAAATACAGAGTTGGCTGTGATAACAAAACTGAGTTCTTTATGTCAAACATTTCAATTTACTCTATTCTGTGTGTTTCAAAGTTTATAATTGTCAGAGTTTTGATCGAAAACGAAAATGCATGTATTTACGACTGAAGAATATGCAGATATTATTTTTGTATACGGGCTTTGTAACGGAAACGCTCGGCAAGCAGCAAGAGAATACCTTCGTAGGTTTCCAAATAGACATCAACCTGCCCATACAGTGTTTAGTGCATCATTTCGCAGACTGAGAGAAACAGGTAACCCCGCTCCACTACATTCCGTTCGTCCCCATGATGTGAATGTACAAAATGAAGAACGTGTTATTGATTTAGTACTTGACGACCCTTCAATTAGTACTCGGCGTATAGCGAGCATGTTACAAATATCCCAAAGTTTTGTATGGCGTGTATTGAATCGAGAAATGTTACATCCGTTTCATCGCCAAAATGTTCAAGCATTACATCCTGGAGATACTGAGCAACGCTTAGCATTTTGCCACTGGATTATTCAGCAACATGCTCAAAATAATAACTTCATTTCCCAAGTTCTGTGGTCTGATGAAGCGTGTTTCACTAGGGACGGCATAAATAATTATCATAACGAACATGTGTGGTCCTTGCAAAATCCACATGCAATTAGACCAGGAAGATTTCAGCAACGGTTTAGTGTAAACGTTTGGGGTGGCATTTTTAACAATTCTTTGCTACCTGTATGGGTGATAAATGAACGCTTAAATGCAAATATGTACAGAAATTTCTTGGGACATAACCTTTTCGATTTTATCGACGACGTACCACTTAACATCGTTCAAAATATGTGGTATCAGCACGATGGTGCACCACCACATCGAGGAAGAGAAGTCATCGCTTGGTTACATGAACATTTTCCAAACAAATGGATTGGCAATGGAGGTCCAGTAGTCTGGCCACCACGATCCCCAGATCTAAATCCGCTGGATTATTATTTCTGGGGACACATGAAGCAGCTTGTGTACCATGTAGAAATTACTACCCGTCAGCAACTACTGGACAGAATTCAAGATGCAGCTAATAGCATACGGAATGATCCAAATATCATACGTCGTGTGATAGAATCTTTACTTCGTCGATGTGAGGCGTGTAAAATTTTCAAAGGCTTGTAACTCTTTAACCAAAATAAATCGGACCCATATTCATATAACATTTTTTCCTTAGAATCGCATCACCTTTCATCTGCCCAAGTTTGTCATAGAGCTAATGAATCACCCTGTATATATATAATATTAATTAATTATCGTACCCGACGTCATCATTGCAAGTATGCAACCAATTTGCGTATTGCAATACCAATACTGTGATATTGGTTGCATATTTGCAATGTATGAAAATTGGTAATAACATAAATTTAAAAAAAACCAGGATTTAATTAAAATTTATATTAGTTTAAGTTACTTGATCACAACTAATTTGAAATAGAGGGATTTAGAGCCTTCTAGTTTGAAGGTAAGCGCGGGTAAAATGTAATATGGTGGAAGTAAAGCAAAGTAATTTTCAGCGATACGTAGAGCCGTCACGACATAATGGTGTGTCAAGTCAAAATATTTTGTCAAGGTATATAATAGTGTGTCAAGCGACAATAGTCGGGTCGCTGTCGAGAAACGTGGGTTGAGAGATGGAAGTACTCCGTAAAATATGTTCTGACATTAATTGTATTTAGTGGTAAATACTCTTTTCTTTAAAGAGTTTTTTCTTGAACAAATTGTCTCGGACGTTTTATTTAAAATCTGTGGAATGCTGCGTTCAGTAACGCAAACATTACCGGGATCGGATCAGGTGTTGGGTTTCTCTTCTTTCCTCACCGACGCCTCACTCTTCGCGTTGCCATGTGAAACTTATTTCGATTATATCCCGAGTACCACTTCGGTTTTCCGGTACGTTTTATCCCCTAAGGGAGCGTTCAATCTTAAACTCGCATGATTTACAAAAATTCCGATCAAAAAATAATCGCATTTACCTAGATTTTATAATCTTTTTATCATGTGACGATCTCACTTTCTCCTTTAACCATTACCGGACGAGCTATGAAATATTAGCGGTTTCTATATATTTCTAAATTCAATCGCGGTTACACCGACAACATGTAATTCCATTTACCACAGCAATCCAACTTTAAAACATTATATAATTATATTTGAAAAATCTACTTTTAATATAAAAATTGAAGTGATCCAAAGATGGATTAATGGAATAAATCGTGTTTTGCCATGTTTATTATGGTGACTTAGTATGAGAGGTTATTAAGTTTTATTAACAGGTGGGAAGCAGTATTAATTTGTCGATTACGTGAAGGTCGAGCGTGCGTTTATGATGACCACCTGTATGTACATATAGGGCGCAGATGTGGTGTGTAGAAATGAAAAAGTGTATTTAATTTTCAATCTGATGCAACCTTCGTCCGTGGTCTGCTTCAATAAGGAGCGTCTTGGAATACCAATGTGTGAGAATTTCTTGTACAGATGTCCGGCGAAGAAGTCAATTAAGTGCGAGTCACAAACCTTTCTCGCGGAATTTTCCATTTACATGGACGGTGTCCATGAATATTTATGTTAGTAAAACTCGCTATTGTCGGGGTAGACGATCAACTTAACTTCTTAGCGGGTAAAAGGGGCGCGACATAATCTGCCATCCTCGACGCTAATCATGATTAAACCATTTTTGACGCGCCCCGAATAACAAGTAGCAAGCAGGTCCGATCTTCTTCCTAACTTCGAAACAAAAGGTTTTTCACGAGTTGGACCAAGTTTATGTTTATCTCGAAATCCCTGTCGCGTCGAAGACAAATCAATGTCACGCGATTATCCACCAGCCGTCCTTATGTAATAGCATTTTATAAGGAATCCCCAGCTCCTCGTGACGGCTTTTTGCCCTCGAGAGTCCTTTTGTCCGCCTAACTTCACTTATTATCCTGCGACGCTGTTTGCTCCCCGCATATTACCTCTACATCAATCACGACCTGACACCGTCCCGTTGAAACTCGCACCCCATTTTTGTCTCCGGAACCCATCAAGACTTCACTATTCAAATAGCTACGCAAATTTTACTAAGAGATTTTAAATCTACCATCTCCCCTTTACAACTACGATTAAATCATCTTATCTTACACGCAGTAAATTAATGTAAATGTTATAAAAAGTTGTAGTGAGAAATAAAATTTTCTAATAATGTATAATGTATTATGTATAATGATATGAAATATATGCTAAATTAAAGCTTGAAGATTCTAGTTTATGATATGATATGAAAATTGTAAGATGGTATTATTAAAAATTTGAGGAAAAAATTATTGAAGAAGAAATTGTCAAATTTATAAATAAAAGAGAAATTTTCAAAAAATCATATTTTCTATGTTTTTGTGTATAATGATATGAAATATATGCTAAATTGAAGCTTGAAGATTCTAGTTTATGATATGATATTAAAATTGTAAGATAATATTATTGAAATTTTCTGAAAAAAATTATTGAAGAAGAAATTGTCAAATTTATAAATAAAAGAGAAATTTTCAAAAAATCATATTTTCCATATTTTTATGTATAATGATATGAAATATATGTTAAATTAAAGCTTGAAGATTCTAGTTTATGATATGATATGAAAATTGTAATATAATATTATTAAAAATTTGAGGAAAAAATTATTGAAGAAGAAATTGTCAAATTTATAAATAAAAGAGAAATTTTCAAAAAATCATATTTTCTATATTTATATGTATAATGATATGAAATATATGCTAAATTAAAGCTTGAAGATTCTAGTTTATGATATGATATGAAAATTGTAATATAATATTATTAAAAATTTGAGGAAAAAATTATTGAAGAAGAAATTGTCAAATTTATAAATAAAAGAGAAATTTTCAAAAACATTTGATCCTCTACTGTTTGAAGAGGGGGACATCTAGACATCAATTGAGTCGTGACTAGGGTCCTTGGAACAGAGCGAAGGACTACGATTATTGTTTTTTATGGGCCATAAAAGTTCCGTCAAAAAGAACTCTGACTTTCAAGGTCTGGTAAAAGATGTTTCGAATGGGACTTGTCGATATCTCCCCAGCATCATGTTTTTTTTTTTTTGAAATTTTAATAAAGGAGAACCGACTTTGTGCGTTGAATATAGAAAAAGAACTTTCCATTCTAAGGCAGATCCCGGTCAGTTTCCCGGGAGAATTTGCCCCCTCTGGCTTTCACGGGGCATTGAATTAGAGAGTAGTCGGGATGTATCGACCGTTTCACATTTCTGGATGGGTATAAGTCGGGGAATCTGGGATTGTAATAATATTTAACGCGAAACGGCGAACTTAATAACAGAAAATTGCACATTTCAAAGTGCTTTGTGAAGGTGAGTCTCCCACCTATCGAGATCTAAAAGTTTTCCACTCGACTTAATTCGTACATATTCCGGGGAATTTAATACCAAGGGAATTTTCTACACCTAATTCCAATCTGGCTGGTTGAAAAGTTGAGAGATCTAATATCTGCTCGGCTGCGAGCAGAATTCTCGAGAAAAATGTATAGTGAACTTCTTTAGAACTCCGCAACCCCTAAGTGACTGCGAACTCGGTTCCTGTACTCCCTCGTTCGTTAAAACACAAACTGGCCTTGATTGAATAGGTGCTGTTGATAATAAAATTAAGGGATCAATACGGAGGGAACTTTATTGAATTAAAGGAGATAAGAAAATAAATCGCCGTAGTTTTAAATAGAAAACTTCTCCGGGAAGTCTTGACGCGAAAATTAGTTTCCAATTCTTTTGATTGGTCTTGACGCGGTCAGGGGAGAACCGATTATCGCTCGACCATCGAGAACCTCCTCAGTAAAAGTTGAAAAATTCATTAAGGCTTGAGAGGATCGTTTCTGCTACCATAGTTATCAATCAACCCAAATCCTACTCTTACAACTCAACCACTTCCTGACATCTACCTACTTTTTCTTTCTCATTCTAATCAATAAAAAGAATAAAAACATTTTTTTTTAATTAACATTATTTCTATGTTATCCAAAATGTATAATACCAAAACTTTGTACATGGTTTGAGATTATCTAGCACAATCAAGCAGTGCATAGATTATTTGGTCAATGCAATTTCAGACTTCCAGAAATTTTCAAAAAATCATATTTTCTATATTTTTGTGTATAATGATATGAAATATATGCTAAATTAAAGCTTGAAGATTCTAGTTTATGATATGATATGAAAATTGTAAGATGATATTATTAAAAATTTGAGGAAAAAATTATTGAAGAAGAAATTGTCAAATTTATAAATAAAAGAGAAATTTTCAAAAAATCATATTTTCTATATTTTTATGTATAATGATATGAAATATATGTTAAATTAAAGCTTGAAGATTCTAGTTTATGATATGATATGAAAATTGTAAGATGATATTATTAAAAATTTGAGGAAAAAATTATTAAAGAAGAAATTGTCAAATTTATAAATAAAAGAGAAATTTTCAAAAAATCATATTTTCTATATTTTTATGTATAATGATATGAAATATATGCTAAATTAAAGCTTGAAGATTCTAGATTATGATATGATATGAAAATTGTAATATGATATTATTGAAATTTTCAAGAAAAGATTATTGAAGAAAAAATTGTCAAATTTATAAATAAATTTGCTATCCAGACATTTTCTTGCCGTTTATAATGTTGGCTAGACCTCGAGAATACCAAAACTTTGTGAATCCTAATACGTAGCGTATTGCGAGTTAGTCGAGCCTATCTCTTGAAACTGAGGCAAGACTTCGAAGACGTCGGCCGCCCTAAGTTCAAAGTTTTAGGCATCAGGATTACCATGATTCTGGGATTTTTTTTAATTATTCTGGATACTGCTTGCAGAAGATCAAATTTCCAATACATATTTAAGAGAAGAAACTTTCGTTGTAGTTCCAGACAAAAAAAAAGCAAAATATGGAATTTAAATTTAATTAAATGATAAATAAACGTATTATTTATTAAAAACGATTAATGTTTTATAGAAACATTAGAAAACAAAATAAACAAAAGGTTGTTTTGAGCGTGTGATAAAATGAAGACAGAGCATACAGATGGCATGTACGCCAAATAAACAAAACTCTATTTAGAGCACAAACGTGATCAGTTAGTAGTTCGTAACGCGGCAATTTTGAAGATAAACGGCTCGTCTAATTATCGGCGGTTTTAATTCATCTCGCGAAGGGCTGCTGCCCGATGAAGCCATTAAATACGGGTTCGAAATGGGCGATATCGCAGCTATCAAAATGCAATTGGAAACGTTCGCGTTTGGGATAGAGATCGTAGTTAAATTAGGTGATGGTTTCGATTTAACAGTTAAGCGGAAAAGCATATTTTTTAAAAAATACGTTTAAAATAAATGTTCTTACCTTCTTCTCGGTCATGACATAGAGGTGCATCAATTGGACGTCGAAGTGTAAGTCGGGATTGACTGGCGAGCCTTCTTCGACTGTTAAATCCCCATATTCCAACCCGGAGGACATTGTTTCTACGACCACCTGCAACAAATCGAACAAAACGTTAGGGACGAAAACAATCCCCCAGCATTGAATAGACGCCCTCCCCCTTTTTTCTCGTTTTTTTTCGCTTATTCCTTTTTTGTTCGTGTTTCCTCGGCAAGAGTTTCACGCGAGGATATGAAATTCGCACGATTCTCGTCGCTCAAAGAGCAAACAAAGTAACGAGGCCTTGATCTCAACGCAAATCTACAATTTCTATGTTTACTCGAGATTTCTCTAAATCTTTGTGCCGTGTTTTGAACCCCACGATTTTTCTGTTGAATATGAAAAATCTTTGCTAAATTCATTTTATATTTACATCAAATTGAGTGATCTCAATTATACGCGTACATATACAGCGTGTCCCGTATCTTCCGCATCAGAGCATTATACGATTGTACGATACATTATTCTGAAGCGATCTTTCTAATAAAATTTTTTCGAAATGTTTATAATAACCGCACGGGAACTGTTTAAACGAACTGTTTTTCGTCCAATTAGCAGATCGCAAATCAGCCTCAGGTAGTCGGTGCCTCCTTCGGCCGGTCCGCTACGCCGATGATAACTCGTTTCCCACGTGTACTCACCAATAGATTCGTCACGGAAAGAGAAATAAACTTTTTCGGTGAATCAAAGGGGACACGCTGTATATCCATTATTTTCAATAAAATACTCGATCCATCATTAAATCTAAGAATCCTCGTTTTAAGATAGATTTAGAAAAGAGGAGATTCAGAACGTGACTCGAGTCTTTAGGAATACTGTGGAGGATTGAGGTTATTGTTTTTTATAGACGATAAAATTTGGTCGGTTCTAAAATAAATTTGGCGAAATAATATTCCGGGGAGCCTTTATTGCCTCCCTCGGCGTCTCAACGTTCATATGAAAACGCTCCTTTTCTTCGCAATTTTTGTGTTGTATGCGCGGAAGTCGCCGATTTGATTGCACGTCGGTAAACCGTTTAATCACAGGGAGAATCTAACGGCTATTCCGTTTTAACAACACAATAAAAACCAGCTCGCCTCACGCAGCACACACGACTAAGTAAATTGACTTCTTCCCCCGAATAACCCAACCCCTAAAGCCGGAATCAATAAAATATACTACCCGACCACCTACGCTATAACACAATTTGTTTCAGCTAAACACAAAAAAAGCTAATAAAATACAACAAATTGTAAGCATGCGCAATCAATATTTTCGATTGATATTTTTAAAATGCGCATGCGTCTAGCCATGACGATAAAAACGTCTTATTTGAAATGAGACAATTAAGATTAAATTAGGAATGGGGGTGAGCTCCCCTTATATCTTAAACAGAACCCATACGTTAGTGTGGATGAGCTAATTCTATGACCACGTAAAGTGCATTACGTTGCGGTTACACCGAAATGACCGTCCAGTGACTAATTTTCTCACGCACGATGATTACGTGTGCGATACGCCCTCGTAAGTGCGTTTATGGACCCGATCGACACATCTACGAGGGTGGATTTTGGTTTTTGGGGGTCGAAGTTTATCCTCAAAATTGCCTGATGCCAAAGCCGCTTTCCGATACCGAGAATTCTCGGAATTTTTGTTCATGAATGATTGATTTTCGCGGAAATATTGCGAATACCGCGAAGTTGCCTATAAATTCATGATGACCAGGTTGCGGGGATTGCGAAAGGAATTGGGTTACCGGACGAATAATCACGGGTACGTTTGGAACGCTTGAACGCCAAAGCGGCGGCTAAATAGAATTTTGAATTTACCCGGCTTAATTACTATTGTAAAATGACTTTGTAAATTCAAGGGATTTTAGTGTTACACGCACATATGACTAAAATGTTTAATTAACATCGTGATGTTCTCATTGTTATGAATGAATCATTCTGACTAATACTTGACAATGAGATATTTCACGATATGTTTATCTGTTACAAATAGTAATTTCATTATTCATTGGAGTTGGGTTTATACATACGGTTTCTGCGAAAAAAGATTATTATGTTTAAATTTTAGTATTTTCGAAATTTATTTTGAATTGAAACTATTCTTTGGTACACTGTGGGAAGTACTCAAGAAGATATGGCCATTGTTTCCTATGATCAGAAGTGTGCGTTTTATACTATTCAAAGAGTTAAAAAAAGATGGCCTCTTACATTTTTTTCGAATCCTAGATATTGCAGGAATAAATTCTGAAATTATATTCAATAACACAAAACCACTAGAGAAACCCCTTAGACGACGGAAATTTTTAAATAACCTAGGGTTGGCTCTTATGGAAGAACATTCAGAAAATTCAGACACTTCCGAAAAATTTGGTAGAATTTTTTTCCCAAGAGATATCAGAGGTGCCCTTAGTAATAAACCAAAATCGAAGTGGTAGGTGCCAACTTTGTAACGCCCATAAAAATAATAAAAATACAGTTACGCCATCAATTTGCTTGCAAAAATCACTCGAAAAAGAGTGTCCTTTGCGATACTTGTTGCCAAAGTTGTCAAAAGGAAGAAGACTGATACTATAAGACCGAGACGATGCAGTATAGCCTAACCAGACTTAATCATACGAAGTCATAAATTTTCTGTTTAGAGGTTAACCAAGGTCGCTTGCGGCCGAGGCGCTGCAATTAATACCATATAAATCAAAATCTGATTATTCGACTTATTAATTTTTTTAATTTATTATCATAAATTTGTTGTTACTAGATTTTGAGTATTATTTACGTAAATATTTTTGATAAAAATTCATCAATTTGACATCAATGCCATCTAGTAAACAATACGACCTAAATAAATCTGACATTAATAAAAACGAAAGGCATTTTGTAATTGATTTTAAATTTTAAATGACAATGAAACATAACCTTTACATTCGCTGTCAAGTGTCGTTTAAGTTTTTAAACAAAAGGCAAAAGTGAACATCAATGCCACCATAGGTTATGGTGGCATATTATTAAAAACAAACTTATTCAATGTCAATTTGTTTGGAATCAGATTCTGAGATTCAGAAATTTAATAATAATAACTCCATTGATAATGATAATATGAATATTAGCCAAATCGATAGTGGTCAAGCAAAACAGGATGATGTCGACTATGACGACAATATCAACGTACAAGAATTGGTAAGCAGTAATCATCTAATTAGTTGTTTTACAACTTGTAGTTTTATATTGTTTCTTAAATATTCAGGCTGCCTCTGAAGAAGCTAATAATACGATTGATGTTTATGTAATACAAGTAGTACAAGTGAAATGTTGCAAATGTTGCCATCAGGTTCAACTTCAACAGCCGTTACCATGGATTCTCTACCAAGTGCAAGTAGACCTTCAAGTTCAACAACTACGTCTAAAACCGCCAAATCAAAGAAAAAAGCGTCAAAACTGGATAACTATATAGACACCATTTCTGTTAAAGAAGAAGACAGCATTACACAAGCAATAGCAGAATTTTTTTTTGCCTGCAACATTCCATTTAATGTAATTGAATCTAAATATTTTGACAACTTAATAAAAAAATTGCGTCCTGCCTATGCAAAAAGAAAACCTGGTAGAAAAACTTTATCAAGTACTCTATTGGATTCTGTATACAATAACTTAATCACAGAAACAAAATTTGGAATAGATCAAGAAACTGTAGTTCTTATTGATGGATGGAAAAACACCTCAAGTAACTCAAAAATTATTACATGTACACTTCAGACAGTTGGAGGTATATTTATGTCTTTATTATTTTTCTGATTTATACTGGGTGCAATGTGCAACAAAAATCTGGAATACAATACCAAATAAATCCAACATTTTTGGTGTTATATTATGGTTAATTGCAATAATTATTTTTGATTATCGATTATTATAATTAGAGCATTTTTTGTTTAAATTAAAAATCATGGAATTATTTGCTATACACCAGATTTTTGTGAAATCCTTTAAAATTAAACTTTTTACTGTTTAGGTCAAAGAGCATTCCTCAATGCTTGGGATTTAACTGGTGAAGCAGAAACTGCCCAAAAACTGGTTCACATAATAAATGAAGCAATAGATTTGGCTAAACGTACATACCATTCCCAAATATATGCAATTATATCTGACAATGCAAGTGCAATGGTACGAATGGGGAAAGATATGAATCATTGTCTCTGGCATTCAACGTGCAATAGCCACACCGCCAACCTTCTAGCCAAAGATGTACAGGATAAAGAATGCACCAATTCTGTTACAACTGTTTTAAAGGAATTTAAACAAGCGGACAATGAAAGGGCTATAACAGAAAAAGGTGGTACCAAAATTAAACTTCCATGTGAAACACGATGGTGTAGCTATCAAAAATCATACAAATGTCTGTTAGATAATTTAAGAATAATGAGGGTTATTGCAGCTGAAACTGATTCAACTTGTAAAAGAATTAAATCAAAAGTAGTATCATTACTTTTCGATGAAGATTTCATCGATAAAGTAAGAAATCAATTATCTTTATATGAGCCTATTTGCCAGCTAATAAATAATTGTCAGTCCCAAGACGCATCAATAGCAGATGCCGTGCACTTTTGGCTTGAATTAACTTTGCCCGATAATTTCAAAGATAAATATTCTGCGGCTTTGGCTGCCNTATACAGCGTGTCCCGTATCTTCCGCATCAGAGCATTATACGGTTGTAGAATACATTATTCTGAAGCGATCTTTCTAATAAATTTTTTTCGAAATGTTTATAATAACCGCACGGGAACTGTTTAACAACGACCAATAACGGACGACTTTGATTCACCGAAAAAGTTTATTTCTCTTTCCGTGACGAATCTATTGGTGAGTACACGTGGGAAACGAGTTATCATCGGCGTAGCGGACCGGCCGAAGGAGGCACCGACTACCTGAGGCTGATTTGCGATCTGCTGATTGGACGAAAAACAGTTCGTTTAAACAGTTCCCGTGCGGTTATTATAAACATTTCGAAAAAATGTTAAGAAGAACCTGTAAATTATTCTAATTTTAATATGTAAAAAAATCTGTAAAATACACGCCCCTGACCATAACATCTTCCAGTGCTGGATTTATTGATGTTTAGTAATAAGTATAAGTGTAAATATAGGCTTATTTTGATGGAAAATAGGTTTATTAAAATAGAAATTTCATTAGAACGCAGAGGCGAGCGATTTTCCGTAAAATTTTAAAGCAGAGAAAAAAGTGCTGAAACATGGGCGTTTCGAGTACGAATAGGGGCGCCATAAAAGTGAGGGTTCGGGTGGTTGGTAGCCGGAGGCCGCCGGGTTAGAGGGAAGAAGGGAAGGTCGGATGTAGAATGGACCCGTCCGGCGTGGAAGTGCATGTATTCCCCGGGAGCGGAACCGCGTTTTATTGCGAGTTACGTAACCAATATAAATCCTACCCGATCACTTAACCTAATGAGCAGCCATGTGAAACTTTCGCAAAACGAACTCGCGCCCGGTTCGGGTAAAACTCGAATACACTCCGGTTTATCTAACTTAATTTGCCGACACGGGGATACGTCCCCGTAGCCGCAATGCTATTACCCTCCGTTGGGAAACAGAAAAACCCCAACGTTGAACCCTCACCCCCCAAAACATACGGCTACGACCATATGTTCATACATAAAAGATTTCGTTTCCATTTTTGTTTTGACTCGAAAATGCCGTCGCGAAATGAGGAAGAAAGATGATTTCGACGTAATTAGTCGACGACACGAAATATTTTACACGAGCTATTAGTCTTTATTTATTAGGGGTGATTTTGTTTTACGGCTTAAAAAAAGTCGGGGGTCTTAAAAAGGCCTTCGATAGGCGGCGGCTTCATCTTTTAGGGTTTATTACTACCGCCCCTGAGTGGGTACGTGAGGCAAATATACGGCGTTCAGATTATTAATGTTGGCCAGGCGTTATAATGTGTCGACCTCGTGTATATCTTCGTTTTCGTTCGGTAGGAAAAGGGAACTTGAAATATCGACGTATCAAAAACGTAAGTCACTCAGATGAACGATCATCCACGCGGCCGCAAAATGGGGGAATCGTGTCCGTACAACCGGCTACTGAAAATACGAGACCTGAAATATTCAATAAACATGTCGCCCCTTCCAGGTGTCGCTCCTACGGTTAAAAATTTACTGCGCGCCCCGTGGATTTTCGCGTACTTCCGAAAGGCTTTAAAACCGGATCGCCCGTAAAATGCCGGTCCTGCATTGGACCGACGTCTTAAATTATTCTTCGACGACCTCTATTTTTTATTAAGCCCTTCTACCTTCAGCAACTTTAATTAGGAATTTCTAATCGACGTCTAAACTTTCTTAACCGTTCTTTATTCTTAAAACGATCTACCTACTATATTACAAAAACAAAATTATGTCATGAAAAGTTTTTCTCACAAATTTTTAATTTTAGCCTGAAGCTAACTTATTTCGATAAAACCGGTCGAACAAATAAAATATAAAAAATAAACGTTGTTGTTTAATATTGTATCTTTTAAGATCCATAGATAGTGGTTTGAATATTTAACTGGGATGTTGGAGCTAAAATGCAGCACTTAATTCGAAGTTTACTAATGCATGTAGCCTAAAGTAGCTTAACAGTCTTTGAGAAATTAGTAAATAATGATATAAAGGAAGGTAAACACGTATGAATAATTGAGAGAGAAATTTTCTGGATGAAATTGCTGTAAAGACAAAAGGGGTTGTTATTAAACTAGTATAAGTAGGGAAACCCTATCGAATAGCAATACGTGTCACTGATTACATATTGTGCTCTTCCTATCCGGCCGAGAAATTAATTTACCTACTGTCACTTTGTGTTACCCACTCTCGTAGCATAGCAGGGGTAAACAATAACCTATTTCGACTAGCCACGACAACTGTTAGGGGCCTATTAAGGGGAGCTTGACGCGATCGATTTTTATTCGAGCACTAGCGCCACGCTCGTCGAAATGGAAATCCTTTATTGGGCCACGCCGTCCGGAGGTGAAAATAACTTTATGACGATTGGAATTTAAATTGGCGTCCGTTTCCGGCCGGTTTTTCAATTTTTCCAGTAAGGTCGAATTCGATCGTTCCGAGCTCAATGCGCACGCGCTTCGCCCCCTGTACATCTTCGTATGACTCATCGTTGAATTGGTCAAGATCGGAGGGGCGCGGTATAAAAATGACGATTGTAAATCTTGCGTAAACCAAAAGTAAATTGAATTGTGTTTGTTTGTCGGAGAACGCGGCTCGGTTTAAACTCACAGCTAGAGGTAATCGCACTGTAATCCTAGTCTGAGAACTGTAAACAGATGTATCCCTAGCCCATTACAGTGCGCAATTATCACCGATGGGGATGAGGAGTAAGGGACGAATAGGGGGCAAACTGCAGGTCGGCTACGCTACGATGAGGGTTTTTGAAATCGACTAGGGCGGTGCCTCCCTCGCATTTGGATTTTATACTTAATCAATCCCCCCGATATTTATGCAACCGTGCATTTCGCTCCAACATTTACTATATATCTGTATATATACATATCGACCAGTCCCGGTAAGATTTACAATTTAATTAAAATCACGCGTCCGGACACCGATCGGTTTCGAATTTATCTAACTACGCTAATTTATCAAACCGCTCACTTTTCACTTTTGACACCCTGCTACTGGTTCGATATGTACCGATGCGGTTTTTTATAACACCATCACTAAATTTCATCTCTCAAATCAAATTCATAAAATGAAATGCAAAAAATCTCCAATTTCAAACAATTAATCAAATTTACCTAAATGACAACTAAAACCAGTATAGAGTTGCATGATATTGTAGCGCCTCGGACGCAAACGGCCTTGGCTAAACTTGCATTATCATTATTAATATTGTCACAAATTGATATTGCATTGTATAAAATTAAAATTGATTTTGATTAATATTTAATATAGAAATTAATTTCGATAACAATTTGAATATCGATTAAATATATTAGTTAAGTTGGAAAACACAAACGCAATAAATAAATAATTAATGAATCTTTAGAGTTGGCCGTGTCAATGATGGTGTGGCTTTGAAATATTCAATCGACACGGTAGATTCCAAAGTTATTGGTACCGGAAAATCAATGGGATTGGATGGTGGTTTTGATGGCGTCCGGGAAATTGTGGCCACAAGAAGTTCTGGGGCGTTTGTCGTTCTCGAATCGGTAAACGTAGAAAGGCGGTTTCTGGTCTGGTGACCTTGAAGGACAAGAAGCTATTGTACGGTTAGAAAGCCGAGACTTTCTGTCGCTCTCATAAATATGAAGTTGGCAAATAACAATTAAACCGTTCAAAACAATTACGACGCAAATCGGTGGTCATTTCTAAAAGGCACCGCCCACGAGAAAGTTTGTTATGTAAGGTTTGTTACAAAAAAAAAACGACAAATTTTGACTAATTAGAATCAGATAATAAGATCGAGAAAATTAACAGAAAAAAACTATTATATGAACAATTTTTTATTTGCATTATAAACTGTGTTATAATCAGCACCAAAACTAACACTAGACATAGAACTAGAAACATTCGGATTTAGCCGTACGTCTTTTAAGACGGCTAAACCCGAATGTTTCTAGTTCTAGGTCTAGTGTTAGTTCTAGTTTTAGTTCAATCAAAAATATGCAATATTGAACTAAAACTAGAACTAACACAAGACCTAGAACTAGAATCATTCGGGTTTAGCCGTGCGACTTCAGACGAAACTTTCTAGTTCTAGGTCTAGTGTTAGTTCTAGTTTTAACTGCTATACAGTGTTAGATTGTTGTATATTTTTCAATGAACTAGAACTAACACTAGACCTAGAACTGGAAACATTCGAGTTTATCCGTGCATCTCTTAAGACGGCTAAACTCGAATGTTTCTAGTTCTAGGTCTAGTGTTAGTTGAATAAAACTTTAAAGTCCGTTATATCGAGATTTTACTGTATATATATATAAAAACGATTTGTCCTTGCCTTCGGCTAACATATCACAAGACCGGTTTTGCTACCGTCTATCACAACATGCAAAGTCTCCGACAGAGGCCTATTTTCTAATTAAATTTATTGCACCTGATTTATGTGCGCCGATCGACGCTCTAAATTACCGCAATTGTTCGATATCCGAACAAAGAACGAAAAGAAAACCGCTGCCGTAAATCGGCTCGACCCTGACAATAATTTAAATCGAAAGGAAAAGTAGCCGGCTTAGTTTTCCGGTTTTATAATTAGTTTTGTCAAAATGATCTATTTCGCCGTGTGAAACGTATTTATGACCGTTTTCTTTTGCGTAACGGTATCTGGGTCGATAGATAAGTTACCCGCACCTTGGACACTTTTCAATTCCAACACATATGACTCGTAAGTTGTATCATTATCAACACAACATAAAATTTATTTTGGTGTAATTATTATTTTTTTCCATTATTCGTATTAAAATAAGATAAAGAATTGCACTTTTTTTAATGGATAATTTATGTTCTACCGGTTTCGACTCAACATAGAGTCATCTTCAGGAGTGAGACCCATAATTTGCGCATTTATTAAATTTTGATTTCCTTAATGTTTTTTAATCACGAACAAATGCTTAATAATAATACCAGGGCTTTAGTTCAAATTGTGACGCGTTCCTGAAGATGA